CAATTTTCAAGTGTCACCAAAATCTGACTTTTTTTGCATTGGAAAACATTTATAGAGTAAACTGTCATAATAAAAACATGACAAAGCCATTTGACTATCTTGTTAAAAAACAATAGTGGCAGGACTTTTCATCTTGATGACACTGACACTTTCATTGACATCAATACTTGCTTTTAAGGAATGAGCTATCCATTTTGAGCAAGTGAAACACTTTTGCAGGTTATCAGCTAGGTTTTGCAGTTTGTACGAATTGTTTTGAGAAATGCATTAACTGTTGTGCAAATGTAAATAGTGTTGTGAGAAATGCACCAAAGTAACTGAGAAAAACTGTCCCATGCCTTCTAGATATTTTTATGTATGAAGGGAAAATCCCAAAATAAAGCTGCAAAAACTTGCTTGTATGTGCATTTTTGGATAGATAGATAGATAGATAGATAGATAGATAGATAGATAGATAGATAGATAGATAGATAGATAGATAGATAGATAGATAGATAGATAGATAGATAGATAGATAGATAGATAGATAGATAGATAGATAGATAGATAACATTTTTTATGGAGAAAGTCTTATTTATTTTATTTCGGCTAGAATAAAAGCAGTTAAAAAAACTATATATATTATATATATATATATATATATATATATATATATATATATATATATATATATATATATATATATATATTTTTTTTTTTTTTTTTTTTTTTTTTTTTTTTTTTTTTTTGATAATCTAGTAAAATATTATTTATTGTCATCATGACAGTATTATTTACTTTCAAATGTGTTGAAATAATCTTCTCTCCGTTCAACAGAAATTGAAGAAAAAATAAACAGGAGGCTTATAATCCATGGGGGCTAATAATTCAAACATACATAATTCGTGTTTGTTTTGTTTTGTTTTGTACAAAACATATTTTGTACATATTTTCATACACACCATTTACTGTCATTTACTCAATTCTTAGATTCTTAAGTACGTGCAATTGTCAAACAACAATAACCTTTTTTGGTTAAAAAAAAATAATAATTTTTATTTAAAATGTCTGAAAAATAAAAGTTACTCTGATTTTCTGAATTTAAACCAGAACTATTTTTTGTCATCTCATATTGATAAATGCAACCTCCTTTAGTTGAAAAATAGAATTATTCTGAAAATATTTGTAAAGCAGAATAATACAATTACACTGCTTTACTGAACTAATTTATACTATTGAATTTAGTCATTTAAGCCAAGTATGTTATAAGGGGCTGTAATTACATTACCTTAAAGAGCCCATATTATGGGTTTTTGAAAATTCCCCTCCATGTAGTGTGTAACACAGCTCTAAGTGAAGTGAAGTATCCAGCTAAGGCTTAAATCTGTAAGAATACAGTGTTTAAAACGGTTGATTCATCTATAAAAGAGTCGACTCATAGTGCTTCAAACGAGTCGCCTTGATACCGATTCATTAGGTGTTTCGCCATGACGTACGAACGAAACCAACCAACGCCAGCGACAGTTCACTCACGTTTAGTATCAGATGTCAATGTTGAGCAATGATATGCAATGATTATATGTGCGGAGATGGCCCAGCACAATCTCTCATTTTGTTATCAAAATGTGGAAACATCATCAAATTTTCCTTTATGTTAGTCGTAAAGACAAATAAAAAAAGTTATTAGAGGCTTAAGATTTGGTTGAGTGTTGTGTCTGTGATGTGTTTGTGTTTAGCAATTCCTCACAAATGGATTGCTAAAATTCCAGTTTGCAACATTAAAGTGCATGGTGAGCTCTTTTATATGGCTAAAAATGAATGGAAGTGAATTAGATAGGAAGTTGTGACGCATGTATGTTACAATGGATGCACCTGCTTTTACATGAAATATGAGGTGGATGTCAATATAGCTATTTTTATCATTCAGAATGTATGATGGTTCTTAATGTAGACAGGCCTTTACTTGTAATCAATTATTTCCTCATAATTAACATGTGCTTACATTTGGGATCCATATTATTGGAAATCTCTTGGTCTTGATGTGCATGTACATGTAACACAAAAGCAGAAAGAGTCAATAAGAGCTTTCTGGTGGTGACGTCAGCGCTGTTTAGATAGCAGTTTACTGATTTGATGCTTTCTGATGAGGAAAAGATAGAGAGAGGCTAAAGGAAATCAGGTTCAGCTACAATCTATAAACATTTATTTTTTAAGCCAGCTGAAAACGAAGTCTATGACTTTATTTTTAAACACAACAAATGCTTCACTATATCTACCACCAAAACTGGCTAACGGATAAAATGTAATTTAAATTATGTAACAAGATTGCAAAAATCAAATACTTGTGGTTAGAGTAATAATGTAGTAGTGTATGCTACTTTTTATTGATTACATGTGATATTATGTGCATAATTGCAGTAAGACTGTTCATGATTTATTGATTATTCTAAATTTTCTTTTCTTTTTTTTTTTTTTTTTTTTGGTATTCTGCTTCTTGTATAGATTTATGATTCCATGTGATTTGTCATGTTTCCAAAGTTATTGTTTGATGTTTCTCAATGATACTGTCATATGTGCTCTGTGTTTTTTAAGATATATAATATTGGTTGTGGCAGTGACAATGCTGTGAATTTCATGTTTTTCAAATTCAGTTTTTGTCAGGTTGCTTACTTATTTTTTTTTTATTCATTTCATGGTTTTATGTTAAGATTACAATCAGCAACCACTAATGAGGTATATTAATGCATATTGAAGTATTACCTGTCTATACATTTCAGTTTAAACAGAAGTTGTTGAGACTCTTGATGGTGATAAAGAATTATATACAGTATATATATATATATATATATATATATATATATATATATATATATATATATATATATATATATATATATATATATATATATATATAAACTCTTCTTGTATCTGACAAAATAGAGCAAGATTATCCTACTTCAATATGTGATATCACATAAAGTTTTGCATGAATGTAATCTAAATGTAATCCAAACTAATTAAAAATCTCAAGTAATCTCTGTCTCTTGATGAAAATAAGAGAAAATGTTCTGCAGTCTTCAGAGTCGTCCGTGTGTGCGAATGAAAGTGGAAAAGGAGGAAGAGAGAGAATGAAATGACCTGCATGACCATGTGTCTCATTTGTTCGGTGGGCTCGGGCATGTAATTCCTTCATGCTGAATTTTAATAGGATAATGTACTTCATGTTTCGCACAGTGCTACACTTACAGGTCTTATGAACTACCAGTCAGAGGAATACATGAATATATAACGCCACGAAGCATGATGAAAAACATCATCTCCACAAATCCACAAGGATGAACTCCCATTTTCACACCTATTTTTATACCCAGATGGAACTGGCTTGTACAGCACAATACATAACATACTGTAAGGTTACTAAGGGTGTGAAAGGCAAATAATTAAATAACACTAGGCAAATAATTAAATGTGTGTGTGTGTGTGTGTGTGTGTGTGCGTGCGTGTGTGCGTGCGTGTGTGTGTGTGTGTGTGTGCGTGTTTATCTTTGCCATGCTGACAGTAAATAATGTTTTACTAGATTTTTTTCAAGACACTTCTGTACAGCTCAAAGTGCCATTTAAAGGCTTAACTTGATTAATTAGGTTAACTAAGCATGTTAGGGTTATTAGGCAAGTTATTGTATAATGATGGCTTGTTCTGTAGACTACTGAAAAATATAGCTTAAAAATAGCTTTTAGGTCTGGACTTAACCAACTAAGCCAAAGACTAAAACTACAAACTCTGTTGAATTCAGTGTTGGGAACATTACATCAAAAAAAGATATTAATTACTAATTACATTATTAAAAATAAAAAAATTGTAATTACGTATGTGTGCTTAAATTACCATATCTGAGGGGTGTTTTAATTACTCAGTAAGGAATTTATATACCTATTAAATATTCCTGCAAACTTCAATTTATCAGCAATAGAAATTAAATTAAATAAACTCTTGTTTTTAACTATTTAGATCAAACAGGGTATTTTAGTTGTATTTAAAAATGCAATACTTAAGGAAAGTAAAAGTAAAACATCATGTCAGCAATGACATCATATTTCCATACACACCATTTACTGTCATTTACTCAATTCTTAGATTCTTAAGTACGTGCAATTGTCAAACAACAATAACCTTTTTGGTTAAAAAAAAAAAAAATTTTTATTTAAAATGTCTGAATAATAAAAGTTACTCTGATTTTCTGAATGTAAACCAGAACTATTTTTTGTCATCTCATATTGATAAATGCAACCTCCTTTAGTTGAAAAATAGAATTATTCTGAAAATATTTGTAAAGCAGAATAATACAATTACACTGCTTTACTGAACTAATTTATACTATTGAATTTAGTCATTTAAGCCAAGTATGTTATAAGGGGCTGTAATTACATTACCTTAAAATAAATAGTAATCCTTTAGTAATAGTAACATTTTAATTTTTTAGAGGATATGTAATTTAATTACATCCAATTAAATTGGTTATATATGCTCACATCTGAGAAAGCATACTGTATACATTTCACAGACAGGCCCGGTTCTCCCAATGCATGCTCAGTCACCCTAATCATCACGATTACAGTCACCTGATTACTAATTAGCCAGGCACCAGCACATCATTCACTGTCATCACACCAGTACCATAAAACTTCTCGCCAGTCCTCAGTGTCTGGTGTTCTGTCGATTTGTCCTATCTTGGTAAATTGTCCCACCTCCCATTCAAAAAGTAGGTAGCATATTTTGATGATGCAATATGCTACCCATCAGATTTTGCTTCCAATGTAAATTTTAATGTGGAGTAGTGTGATATGAAGCTGCCTACCTAAAACCAACATCAGAACCATTCAAATACACTGTTAATCTGATGGGTAGGATAAAATGTCAGGACATTGGCCTCATTGGTATTAGAAAGATTACACTCACCACACAGTCAGTGTCTAAAATCTACTCTATCTATAAAATCTAAGTTTACTCTCTCATTTCCCTAGGATATCCAGTGTCTGCATCTCTCCTTCATAGTGTGGTTTCTCCTGAACTTCCTTTGGTTGTCCCTGATCCCATCTATCTGTGTGCCTGGCTACCAATACTCCTCTGGCCCCTTTGATTCTCATCCATATACATCCTGCAATTCATCTCCATTAACGCCTGTTATTCACCCTGCCATTCTATTTAAATAAACTGTTTAATTCCATCTCTGGTTCCCGTCTCCTTTTGTGTCAATACACATGAATAGAAACTGTAAAACTAAGATAATCAAAAACCTTAAAGATTTTCCATTAATTAAATGTAAAATTATTTGGAATACATTTTTCATTCTTTATTGATTCATTGCTCGCACAAAAAATGATAACTTGGATATATAATGTATTTTTGATATAGCTGCAAAGTCTGATCAATGTGCATTTTAATCTGATTTGTCTGTGTCCTTGAGCAAAATGTGAAGATTCTTTCAGTCTCGTTGATGGAGTGCCTCCAGGCATTGCTATAAGCTCACAGTGAATATTGCATTGCAGTCTATTCAAAGGAGGTCTATATTCTTTCGAGGCCAATTATTGCAGCTTACTTTGGGTCCCACAGAGGCCGCAATTACAATGGCAGACTCTTGTAATCGTGACACAGTAGGTCACAAAGGCAGCTGGTGAGATCTGAACACTGACCTTTTTTTCCAAGAAAGCAAACGGAACAGAAAAGAAATAGATCGCAAGTGTTTGACGAACTACTGCAAAATCAGCAAAACGATTCATGCATTGTAGCATCTGTATATCACCTACAGTACATTGTGACCTGCACAGTCATCATCATACACACATTTGTATGTATTTAAAATCACTTAGTATAAAACGAAAATGACCAGAATATTACAAATACTAGAATAAATTCAAACACTGGTTATGTTACAGCCTTAAAGGGATGCCAAAGAGAAATCTGATATATGGGAATATATGCAAATTACTTATGACACATATGATGATATTTAGAAATATTGCAAAAGCGGCAAGCGGCAAATTATATATATATATATATATATATATATATATATATATATATATATATATAATTTTAACCAGTAGAATTACGAATTACATATACTCACTCTTATTACACTCTTATTAGGTACACCTGTCCAACTCCTTGTAAACACAAATTTCTAATTAGATCAAATGGCAGCAACTCAATGCATTTAGGCATGTAGACATGGTCAAGACGATCTGCTGCAGTTCATACCGAGCATCAGAATGGGAAAGAAAGGAGATTTACGTGACTTTGAACCAGTGAGCGGCAGTTCTGAGGTTGCAAATGCCTTGTTGATGTCAGAGGAAAATGGCCAGACTGCTTCGAGCTGATAGAAAATCAACAGTAACTCAAATAACCACTCATTACAACTAAGGTATGCAGATAAGCATCTTTGAATGCACAACACTTCAAACCTTGAGACAGATGGGCTACAGCAGCAGAAGACCACACTGGGTGCAACTCCTGTCCGCTAGGAACAGGAGACTGAGGCTACAATTCGCACAGGCTTATCAAAACTGTTTAATAGAAGATTGAAACAATCTGGACAATAGAAGTTTCAATTTCTGCTGTGACATTCAGATTGTAGGGTCAGAATTTGGCATCAACAACATGAAAGCATGAATCCATCCGGCCTTGTATCAACCGTTCAGGCTGGTGGTGGTGGTGTAATGGTGGGGGATATTTTCTTGTCACACTTTGGGCCCTTTAAAATCAAATGAGCATCTTGTCAATGAATTTATGCCACCAAAGATTAAGGCAGTTTTGAAGGCAAAATCAGGTCCAACCCGTTACTAGTAAGGTGTTCCTAACAAAGTGGGTGGTGAGTGTATGTACATATTTGTAATTACAATGGTTGAAAAATATATATGCAAGTGGCCATATTTGCCATATGTCTATTAAAACTTTCTCCAGAAGAAAAATTATTATTAGACATACTGTGAAAATTTCCTTGCTCTGTTAAACATCATTTGGTAAATAGTTAAAAAAGAATAAAACACAAAGGGGGGGCTAATAATTCTGACTTCACTGTATATGATGTATATTTTATATGTGTAAAATCCACATATGAATGTGTATCTCATAGATGTAATTTGCGCATATTTCCATAATTTTACAAGATATTTCATCCAAAAACTTAAATTGCTTAATCTTTATTTTGTTAAACAGAAAAAACTCATATATGTTTTGCACAAGTGAAGGGTGAGTAAATGGTGACAAAATGTTTATTTTTGTGTGAACTTGCCCTCGCCTTCATAAAGCAATGTCTAAATCAGCTCTGTTTGATTTGAGCATGTCATTTTAGAAGTGATAACAGCAAATTCAGCATTTTCAGCACCGACTGATTAATCATCTGAGAAACTGCCTCAAATACATCCACGGAACCCGTTTAGATCATTCACCAGCTACTTTATAAGACACTTCTGGCCTTGATCCATTGGGAACTGTTCCCTGCTTGACACATGGAACCAATTTCACTGTTGTCCAATTTATCTTCATTTTGTCCCAAACCATTCCAGGCTAATATTTATGGTATACAGTACAGTGTCAGGGGGTTGTGTGCGCGCATGTGTGCGTGTGCATCATTTCATTTCAAAGGGCAATTTAGGTTTACTCTGTGAGCCATTTCCTGTCTGCTTTAATGAACACTAACTGTCTGTCTCCACCGAAGTGTTCATTCCAGCAATTACAGCAAAATATCAGCAATCTTTAGACCCAGCTCATATTTAAGTCTAATATTTTAAGCTCACATTTTCTATCCTCGTGCTTAAAATGTAACACGTTTAGCTCGAATTAGATAGATCTTCTTTAATCAATTTTAGAGGCATTATCTGTTTGTTGCTTAACTGAAGGAATTTTATTATGACTGCAATTTTAATTTGAGGTTGTTTGGGGAATAATATTAAATCACATTTTGTCTGAAAAATTGTCTCATGCATGTGACTGTTCCTTTCAAGGATCAGCATTAAAATGCTGGTATTTATGCAGAATCTTTACCTAAAGACAGCATCCTTGCGCCCTCTGTTGATGGACATTACAACTGCATGTAAGAATGAATGTTGCTTTGTACTTACAGACAGATAGACAGATAGATAAACAGACAGACGAATGGACAGACAGATAGATAGACAGAAAGGAATATAGACATACACACAGATAGATAGACAGACATCCAGAAAAAAAGACAGAGAGAGAGAGAGGGGGATACACAGACATGTAGAAAAAAAAGACAGAAAACAGACATACATACTGACAGACATACAGATCGATAAATAGACAGACGGAAAGATAGACATACAGAGGCAGACAGAAAGACAAACAGAGGCATGCATATACATACATACATACATACATACATACATACATACATACATACATACATACATACATACATACATACATACATACATACATACATACATACATACATACATATAGATAAGACAGATAGATAGATACAGACAGATGAATGGACACACAAAGAGTAAAGATACTGAGGCAGACAGATAGACAAACAGAAGTAGACAGACAGACGGGCAATGAACAAACGGAGGGATGGACACACTTCGGCAGACAGACATACGGACAGACAGACACAGACATACAGAGAGACAGACAGAAAGACAGACAGGCAGACAGATGATTGAATGAATGAAGGGATTGGCAGATGGACAAACGGAGGGATGTACAGACGGAGGCAGACAGAAAGACAGATGGGCTGACAAGACAGACGGACAGATGGGCAGATGAATAAATGGAGGCATGAACATACAGAGGCAGACAGACACAGATATACAGATAGACAGACAGACATACAGATAGACAGACAGACATACAGATAGATAGACAGAAAGGCGGATGAACGGAGGGGTGGACAGATAAACAGATAGACAGACAAACACAGACATACAGAAAGAAAGAAAGACAGACAGACAGACAGACAGACACAGACATACAGAAAGACAGACCCAGACATACAGAAAGACAGACAGACAGACAGACAGACAGACACAGACATACAGAAAGACAGACACAGACATACAGAAAGACAGACAGACAGACAGACACAGACATACAGAAAGACAGACAGATAGGTAATTCAAAGGGTTAAACTAGAACATCTCTAGTGAGATGTTCAGATATCACAACAATTTAAAAAGTCTCTTATTTTCAGTGGCTCAAATGTAACTTAACAAATAAATATAAACAGAAATAAAGATTTTTTTATATATTTAGTTGCAAAGTCTAGAAACCATTGGTAAAAAGTGTATATACAAATCTAAAAAAATTTGCCCAAAATTACAAACTACTGCAATACAAATGGCTCCAACAAATCTACTTTATCACGGTTAAACTGCATAAATTCAATCCAAATAATCCTGAGAGTTTTTTGAAATGCAAAGTAGTGGGTTTCCTTTGTCATTGTATTTTGGAGTGTATTGAGATTCAAAGGTTTTGAAAGGACTGCTAAATTATAAGTGTGAATGCGCCTTTAGTTGTTAAATTGTTTGTTTATATCACATAAACTTTGTGGTGAATACAAGCACAAACTATTTTAGTTTGCTCCAGGCTATTTTTGTTATTACTTTACAATGGAAAGAGACTTGAAAGAATCAATGGATTAAAGAAATGACCGGCCCTGCTTTAGTTAAAGGGAAAGTACAAGATTTTTATTAAATATGGACCCCCTTTTCTATTGTAGTAATCAAGTGGAACAGACAGCATTGGATATTTAAAATGTCAAACCTTATCTGTTAAATTATGCACTTGTATTCCAGCAGAACAATTATTTAATGAACAAATAACTAATTAGTGACCTTGGTCAAGAATCAGTATGCAAAATTGAAAGCTGTGTGAACTGGGCTGAACGATATATCACTTGAGGATCAATATCTCAATGTGTGTGTTTGCAAAAGTTACAGGATTAGATTATTTACAATATACAATTATTTGTACAATAATTATCAAGTTATTATATGTTTAATCATGTGTGAATGAGAGTGTATGGGTGTTTCCCAGTGATGGGTTGCAGCTGGAAGGGCATCCGCTGTGTAAAACATAAGTTGGTGCTTTATTCCACTGTGGTGACCCCTGATTAATACTGGGACTAAGCTGAAAAGAAAATGAATGAATGTTAAATTTTTATATTTGAATACTGTTAGGCCAAATTACCATATTTGTCCTCTGTTCTATTTATATATTATATAAATTATATATTCATATTTTAACTTTATCCTCTGTTCTATTTGAATATTATAGATCTCAAGCTCAATTCCTGGAGGGCCGCAGCTCTACACAGTTTTGCTCCAACCCTAATCAAACATAGCTGATGCAACTAATCAAGATGTTCAACACAGATACTATTCACCTTATTCTAAAATGCGGAAGTACGCCTGTTTTCGTGATTGTTTCAGAACTTCCGATTCAGTCGCCTATGGAAAAAATGACTAGGAATAATAAACGGCAGAAAATGGTCAAACTACTTACTCTGCAAACAAATGTTTGCATGACTATACAGACCAAGTAGAATAATGTAATAAGAAAATATCAGTTAGCAACATCAAAAAGTGAAACGAGCAGTTTTTAATGTCTAAAAATGAATGGAAGTGAATGAAACTGGAAGTCTCGAGCCAAAAAGATTCAAATGGCTGCGCCCGCTCGTCGGCAAAGAATAAGGTGAATTAAGCAGGTGTGAGTTGAAAAAGCTAAATATTACAATTTTAAGTAGTAATTTAATAGTAATAGTGACTTAGTGACAGTTAAAGCGAGTACGTCTCTAAGTGGTTCTATCACTATGTTTAATCCTTTCTGCGCAAGACTGCATGGTATAGTTCAGGGGTGTCCAAACTCAATCCTGGAGGGTTGGTGTCCTGCTGAGTTTAGATCCAACTTGCTTAAACACAGCTGCCAGGAAGTTTCCAGTAAATCTACCAAGAGCTTGATTAGCTAGTTTAGGTGTGTTTGATTAGGGTTGGAGCTAAACTCTCCAGGGCACCGGCCCTCCAGAACCGAGTTTGGACACCCCTGGTATAGATAATGCCACACACACTGTAAAGTGTTTTATATTGGTAGTTCATTTTGAAATAAAATTAGCTAAATGTTTGTTAAGATTTACACTTTTTGCTGGAGGAGACAGCTGTGCTGATGAGGTGAACGCCGTAAAAACCCCACTGCAGGTGGTGTTTATTAAAAAATTATAAACAAAAGACGAGGATTTCCCAGAGATGGGTTGCGGCTGGAAGGGCATCCGCTGCATAAAAACTTGCTGGATAAGTTGGCGGTTCATTTCGCTATGGCGACCCCAGATTAATAAAGGGACTAAGCCGACAAGAATATGATGATGATGATGAAAGACGAGGAGGAGCCAAATTCAGCTGCCATTTTCTTAGCAAATTTAAAAAGGACTGAGGTGATAATTTAATGTACAATTTATGAGCTAACCGCAAAAGTTTTAGGGGGGTTGAGTAGAAATATAAGGGGCTACAGCCCCCCTAAAATAGGCCTAGCAACGCCCATGGTTGGAGCAAAAACAATGCAGAGCCGCGGCTCTCCAGGAATGGAGTTTGAGACCATTGTTATATATGCTTAATTTATTCGATTTTATGCAGATGTAAGGCAAAGAAAAAGACTTCATCACCCTAGTCGATCTGAATTATTGAGATACAATTGAGATAAATTTTAATCTTTTAAAATGGAGCTCATCAAGCCATCTGGTGAAATTGTATTCATTGATTAATTTTTTCTTTCAGCTTAGTTCCTTTTTTAATCTGAGGTCGCCACAGCGGAATGAACTTATCCAGAATATGTTTTACGCAGCGGATGCCCTTCCAGCTGCAACCCATAACTGGGAAATATCCATACACTCTCTTTCACACACATACACTATAGCCAGTTTAGCTTGTTCAATTCACCTACACCGCATGTCTTTGGACTTGTGGGGGAAACTGAAGCACCTGGAGGAAACCTACGTGAACATGTGAAGAACATGCTAACTCCACTTAGAAATGCCAACTCACTCAGCCAAGGCTTGAACCAGCAACCTTCTTGCTGTGAGGCGTTTGTGCTACCCACTGCACCACCATGATGCCCGCCAATGAATTTATTTTGTATTTAAAAAATCTGTTACTGTGTTTATAACATTACATTCAATTTGAATTGCTTTTAGTTTGCATTCATAACCTCAAATACGCATGTGAATAACTTGAAGTCAATCCGAGTCCTTTCATATAGGCCTATAAACATTGAATTATATATACTTTTTTGTTTTTTTTTTAGATAGTAAGTTAGGCATATTATATTTAAAAAAATTAAACCGTCATGATGTTCCTTGTTTTAAACATAAACTGTACAACACATGTTTGACCAGACTGATTCGACCTGGAGGAAGCACGTCATTTCAGGGCGGAAGTGTCATCTGACGTGGCATGTTTGAGGGGCGGAAACGCTTGTTTGTGTTTTGGTTCTAAAGGGGAAGTTGCGAGAGAAAAGAAAGGAGGAGACTTGATCGGGGTTGGTAAAATTCCCTCTAACCGACCCCAATAATAAGGAAGACCTCTCAAAAATTTAATTACCCCGTCGTCGGAAATCAGTTCAAGCAACCTGTCGGCTGTCATTCAGGTAAAAAGACACCGAATACCTCCGCTCAATGCGCCGTTTACTGCTTTGGCGTATCCCTCAAGCTAGGTAGCCACTTTAGCTTGCTAGATGTCGACAAAATGTTACAGGCCCCTTGTCCTTAGTCTGACTTCTTAAGTCATCAGATCGGTTCTTTTCAGCCAAGTATATGCTTTATACGTAATATTTTTTTCTTAAAAGCTTGAATATATAGTCATCCTGCGTTGTTTGCTTAGCTGAAGCTTATGTCGAAATGCAGTTTGGCTCCAAACAGGGTGGGAATGCTGGAGTGAAAGTTGCTTATCGCTGTATTATATTCTCGTTATTAACTAATTCTTCTAGATTTATGGCCGATTACTGGAGTTCAACAGATTTGGCATCTGACCTGATGTGGGCTGTCTTTGCAAGGAACAAGACAGCTTGTTCCTTGGCTTGAAGCTTAGGGCTGTATTGAAAAACAGAGAGATTGTTTAAGTTGGGCGATTTAAAGTCTAATGTCGACTTGCTTTTTTTTTTACTTGAGGAAGCGATGTGATAAAACGGGTTTATTTTGAGTGGATGATTCATGGTCAGAATGACTGTGTCAACCTTCAACACAGAAATCACAGGTTTGTTTGTGTTAGGTCTGTCATTAAAATGACACTACAATCCTTCCAGAAGAAGCTGATTAAATTCTTACAGAGAAGATATGATTTTTGCAGTGTCATGCAAAAACTTCATCCAAACACTGTACTTTTTTCTTTCACTTTTGAGGTTTGTATGTTAGCAAGTAGCAATATTGTACTGGGAAAGTGTGAAACAACAAATGTGGTTGTTAAATCCGCTGCTATATATGTAACGTTAACAGCAAATCTACGCTGTTAAAACTGTATGATCATTCAGTCATGGCAACATATGTTTTTAAGTCAATTTAATGAATTTTAAGTTAAAAATATGCACAAAATTAGTTTAATTCAACTTAAAAATTTAGGGCAACCATGTAATTTTATTTAAAGTATGAATATACAACATTTTGACATGGTTTGGTTATCTTAAACCAGAAACGACAGGCCTGCTTCTCAAGGAATTAGTTTATGTCCTGTTATGCAGATAGAGATCCTGTTGTTAATCTGATGTCAGTGTGAAAGCAGATCTCGGTGTCTCTTATAGAAAGTTCAGCTTGTGATGCTGCAAACCCACATGGGCATTCTGTTTTTATGCTCTCCTATTTCACAACGGCAGTAATAGCGGAGTTTAGAAAGTGTTTTGAAGGCTCTTTTAGGCTTTTATTATTGACAGTTGGTGGATTTTTCTGTGGTTTTGTAACCCAAATATGTGTGCACTTAATTGGGAAGTGACATGTTTCTCCAGCTGCTGAATTGTTTCATTGAGCTAAATGGGCCTGCTTGTTGTGTCTGCTTAGTCAGGACATTCTATGCGAGAATGGGTTACCATGGCTACAGACATGTATTTCAGCTATGTAAATTATGTTCAATGAAGCAGTGGTTTTCTGTGTTTTTGTCTGTAGAAATAATATGTTGACTCAAAATATTATTGAAAAATTAAGGATGTTTGTAAGTCTTAAATCTAAAGAAAGTTTTGATATATTTGATAGGTTAAAGATTTGATAGTAAAGTGAGTTTATAAATATTTGATAATTTCACATTTTTATAGTAATATCAATATAATAATATAATAAAGTTGCTAAACTACTTATCATTTTAAGACATGTTAGATTTTATTGTTAGACCCTTTGAAAAATCAGCATATGTTTTGAGTAATTGTGTTATCTTTACTAGTGCAGAATTGTCAGTTGATAGCGTGCAATGTGTATTGAAGTAAAAGTTTTAGGTAATCTTTTTTTGACATTCAGAGAGATGCACATATTCTGTGGTACACCACCTGTTTATTGAATTAAACTATACATTAGAGCTGCACAATATATCGTTTCAGCATCGATATCGCAATGTGCGCATCTGCAATCTGAAATATAGTTGACCAGGAGCCACAGAACACATGTGATTTGTAGAGTTTGCATGTGTTTTTGAGGACCGTGACTGAGCATTTCAACAGAGTTTAGAACATTTCAGCACACACAATTAGATAACACATTATTTTGATGGTCCATTTAAGTATTATTTATTTATTTTTTATTGCAATAATAACAATACATTACAACAAATACAGATACAAAACTGAAAGAAGTATGGTACAATCAATAGAAATGTTATCCATTTAAGTATTAGTAGACTGTCTGCTTAATATCTATACTTACACTAACCTTAACCCCAACCTAACAAATCTACTTATAATCTAATGAGAATTAGTTAGCATGTAGATGCAATGTAACTTAAATTCAACAAATGGACTATCAAAATAAAGTGACCAAAAATGAAGAAGGTTTTCTTATATATATTTTTTATTTTATTTTTTTTCTAGTCCAAATCTCTACATTTCTAAACGAAAACAAGATTATTTTACTTACCACATTGGCAGATAACTTTGCCTGTTTTTAAGGGGAAAAAACTATTAATTTCTTCTGACGGTGAAAATAAAACAATTTTTATTTGATCTAAGAATTGTTAGATATCTGGACTAAAAACAGAACAAAGCAAAGGAAGAAAAGCATTTTTTTTTTTTGCATTGAAATGTTTTCTCTAGGATTTTTTCCAGCGGTGGCGACAGGCCTTTTTTTATACACAGATCTACCAACTACCTGTGGCGTTATTTCAATGACAAATGTTGTTTGTCGAGATCGCATTTATAGCCAACAAGCATGTAAATCTCTTTGCTTGTGTGCCGATTTCCTCTGCTCGTGCACAAAACTTCCTACACGCCCCTCAAACATATGCTGCTCAAGCACAAATCTTCTTGTGCGCTCTTAAATAAATGCTGCTAAAGTGCGATTTAGTGCGTTTATGTAATAAGTATGTCTCCAACATTGATTAGATTTGCTAGAAATATTTATGAATGTCTCAATAGACCTACGGAGCGGTATTAATGCGTCCTGAAGTAAAGTGAAAGGGCTACATCGTGTTTCCTGGCCTCACGCATTATGCACCCCCCAGTCAGTCAGTCAGCACCGTCAAATAGAGCTATTCAAACCTTCGTTTCAAATCGAAAAATTTATTGCAGAAAAATAAAATTTCGCGATATCGGATTTTTCCAATATCGTGCAGCCCTACTAATGTATAACATAATGTATATATATGTTTTATCATCTTATTGATTGAAAGAGTTGCAAGGCACAACAAAAAACACTACCCCAGTTGCTATGGCAGCACTCTTAGCAAGGAGATGAGAACTATATTAAAGATTGCAATTGTCAAGAATTACCACTCTCAGGACAGAAGCTGTGTCATAAGTTTTAAAGAGATCATTTGAGAATTATGAAATGCCCATTCTGACAATGTCATTCATGTTGGCAAATTAATGAAACTATTCATAAACACCGCAATACATATTAAGTAGATCAAAATCAAATTGATAAGCTAAGCAAGCAGGGACATTCTGAACATGAATGAAATACCGCTGAAGTAATTAGTTAACTAATTTATTAATACAGTTCTAAAAATATTGTTATTCAAATAGTCATTCTTTTTCTTTTGCAGTCATTCAAAGTAAGAGATATATTTATGAAATAAAATTAAACAACATACTTATTCTGACGTGCACTTGTTAAACTTATGTGTTATCATACTTGATGGTAAGTATTTATTTAAGTGATTTTGAAGAATAGATGCAAAGTGTAGATTTAAAATTATAATAATTAGAGTTTTATGTGTGCAGTGTCATCCTTGCATAGTCTTTCAATATGTCATTAAGTGATTTTTTTGCAATTCCAATAAGATGATATTGGTGTGCAAACTTGCTAAACTAAGTTTTAGTAGGTTTCTTCTTTAAAAAATGTATAATAGACCTTTTTTGCTTAGGATGTTAGGTTCTTTTTAGGACCTAACATCCTTTTTAGGATCTTTTAACATTCTAAGGTACATTTTACGATTGTGCAGCTTGCTTTGTGCAGTTTTGCAATAGACTTGTATTGTTTTATTCTGTATGAAGTAGTTCAATAAGCCTAAACTGGATCCTAACAAAAATTGTTTTACACACAAACAAATGAAATGTGTTTGAAAAAAGCCTTATATGCTCACTAAGGCTGCATTATTTGATCAGAAAGAAATACTGTACAAAGAAGAATATTGGTGTGTATTACAATTTTATACTTTTCTATTTGAAGATATAATAAAAAGTAATCTAATCATGTGTGGCATTTAAGCTGTATTTTGCAATTAAATGAGCAGCCATTATAGCAGTCTGTAGTGTCACATGATCTTATCTAATGTTTTTAGGGAAATGGTGATGGTTGTGTATCCTTACTAAATAATGTCAAAGGTGAAGAGGTGTTGAACAATAAACATTATATTGAATATTATTGGTTGTTTCATATCTAAAACTGTATAATTGGCTTCATTTTGTATGTTTGAATATAAATGGGAGTTCACTGTGACTTGTCACATTGTCATATGTTCAGCCGTAAAGTAGAAAGCATGACAGAGATGCGTAAATCAATTCAGTATTGAATCATCCAGTGTTTTTAAAGTGTCCAAACCGAAAATAGCTTTTGAGTTATTAGTCGCTATTGCTAAAACCAAGATTAGCGATTCCCTGTAAGTGAGCTCTGTATAGAGGAAAAAAGAGAAGAACGAATAGATCTTTGTCTGTAGTCAACATGAAAGTGCTCTTTTTCATTTCTCTTTTTCTGGTTACATGTCGAACTGTGCAGCCAGTACTGGGACAGCTCTCGGCGTGTGTGTGAGCACTCAAGAAGACGGGGTGATTGACAACTGTCATGGCCAATAGGGGAGGAGCAACACGCCCCAACGGGTCCAACGCGGGCAATAAGATCTGCCAGTTTAAACTGGTCTTGCTAGGAGAGTCAGCGGTGGGGAAGTCCAGCCTCGTTCTGCGCTTCGTCAAAGGGCAGTTTCACGAGTTTCAGGAAAGCACAATAGGAGGTAGGGGGTTTTGCTACTAAATTGGTATACACCCGCTTGCACATGTTCTCACCGACTTTTGAATATGGCTTCCAGCGGCCTTTCTTACACAGACACTGTGCTTGGATGACACGACGGTAAAGTTTGAGATCTGGGACACAGCTGGACAGGAGCGCTACCACAGTCTGGCCCCCATGTACTACAGAGGTGCCCAGGCCGCCATTGTAGTTTATGACATCACCAATGAGGTGAGTAGATTTGTTCAGTGGGCCTCATTCATGAAATGTTCCTAAATATAGGAGTATGTTAGGAGTGAATTCTGTATAACGCAGACCATTCTAAAAACACACACACACACACCTAGATTCACAAATGCTTTGTAAACATTAGATTTATTTGTTAAACGTGCCATTTGAGAATGCTTTCAGTGGGAAAGCATTTTTCCGGTTGAGATGCTTTGGTTACTATAATTTGGAATCTACGGCGGTATTGCATTCCAGCCTCATTATAAAAAGTATTACTGAATTAAAAAATGCAGGATCCGGTAATAATAAACTTCTTCTTGTTACTCAAGTAAAGTTAGGTAGGCCTATTGCGATAGTCAATATATTGACTTATCGTGCAAAATAAATAAACGAGGGTGGTTAAAATTGGAGGCACAATATATTGTCTATTAAATATAGAGAAATGTAAGAAAATCCAACATGATATTGAAGTCAAATACTGGCATTTATTTGTCAGGTTTGGCAACCAAAATCCAACATTTGATAGACATCATAGTGGTAACATCCACACTACCTCAAGCTGTAACATCATTAGATATTGATATATGGTTGATTTTAGGTTAGATGTTTTCTAATTCCATAGACGATGGTCTATAGATACTGCACTAAAAATGTACTTAAAATAATGTAAAAGTACACACACAGTCCCGAGAAGAAATACTCAATTACAGTAGTTTGAGTATTAGTAATTTGTTACTTAATGACTTTAAGCTTGTTAATGTGAACAAGCCAATATGTCAAAATTGTTTCATAACAATGGCTACGAAAAAAGGCAACACAACTAACCTTAAATCACACATGACACATAACCACTTGATGTATATTTTCAATATGGGAACAACAACTGCAGTTGGTACTGAAGGAGGGGTCTTCCAGCCAGTATAATGCAACTGTAATGGATGCATTTAACCTGCCAGTGCGAATATAAACGTGACAGCGTGAGGTGATGCACACTCACAGACAGGTAACTTACTATATAGACCATTTCAATATGGCAATATCATTGTTCCATTAACAGTTCTTGCTTGTCGTCAAACAATTTCAGAACTGTAGCAAAAGGTGATTCAATCATAACTAATGTTAACACAGCTGTCTTTGAAAAAAATTATCAATATCTGGAGCTTTCTGTATTCTTAGAAGCTATGGAAATTTAAAATTTATAACAGGAAGTACAGTAGGACTATTGTTATTGTTTACACCCCTCAAATGGTCTGTAACTAAAGAGATGCAGCTGTTAAACATGGTCGAAAAAACTGCGATTAAAAATATGTGCGCAAACCTTTAACAAATGGTCCTGTCTCGGAAATCAAAAAATGCCCTTTAAAGGTGCCTGAGATTATCTAAAAGTGTAAGTTTGACATGTTATTTTATTCTTACATTTTTTTTTATTAGCGTCTATTATCTATTATTAATTATTTGTTTTAAGATAGTTTTTTCATGTTCCAATTTTAAATGTCTAAATATTCTTAAAAATAAAAAATTATTTGATCTTTGAAACAGTGTACCTGAATTATTCCACTTATGTTGTAAAAAATATATATTTTTATTAGTGATATAAGTAATATGCACAATTAATTTGGGTGCAATATATTGCCAAGAAAAAACTGATATTGTGACAGCCCTATAGATAGTTAAAAAGGGACATGAACATAGTTTTTACCCAGCTCTATAGCTAGATAAAAAAGCACAAAAAGGCCCACAGCCTGGAGCCCAAGACCAGTTACTTAGTCTGGAGTCTGGTCAGTGCCTGGATGGAAGACCACATGGGAAAACTAGTTTGCTGTTGGAAGTGGTGTCAGTGAGACTAACAGGAACCTGCAGTCTGTGTCCTCATAACAGGGGCAACAAAAAATGCAACACAACTAACCTTAAATCATATGGAAACAACAACTGCAATCGGTACTATAGAGAGGGGTCTTCCAGCCAGTTAACTATAATGGATGCATTTATACGCCAGGGCACATATAAACGTGACAGCGTGAAATGGCACACACTCACAGACAGGTAACTCACTATATAGCTAAAGAGATGCAGCTGTTATGCTTGAAAAAAAGCAGCATTTAAAAAAAAATACGCTGCAAACCTTCAACAAACAGTCCTGTCTCTGACTCTCTGCCTGACTATTAAAAGAGCCTGTAAAGGCGCCTGAATCTACTTTTGACTTAAACATGTTATTTTGTTCTTACACTTTTTGTTAGCATTTATTATTTATTTGTTTTTTTTTTCATGTTCCAGTTTCAAATGTGTAAATATTCTTAAAAATAAAAGATTCTTTGAAACAGTGTACCTGAATTATTACACTTACAGTTGAAGTCAGAATTATTAGCCCCCCCTGAACTGTTAGACCGCTTGTTTATTTTTTCCCCAATTTCTGTTTAACGGAGAGAAGATTTGTTTCAACATATTTCTGAACATAATAATTTTCATAACTCATTTCTAATAACTGATTTATTTTATCTTTGCCATAATGACAGTAAATAATATTTTACTAGATTTTTTTCAGGACACTTCTATACAGCTTAAAGTGACATTTAAAGGCTTAACTAGATTTATAAAGTTAACTAGGCAGGTTAGGGTAATTAGGCAAGTTATTGTATAACGATGGTTTGTTCTGAAGACAGTCAAGAAAAAAATATAGCTTAAAGGCTAATAATTTTGTCTGTAAACTGGTGTTTAAAAAATAAAAAAACTGCTTTTATTCTAGCCGAAATAAAACAGGTAAGACTTTCTCCAGAAGAAAAAATATTATCAGACATACTGTGAAAATTCCCTTGCTCTGTAAACATCATTTGGAAAATATTTTAAAAGGAAGAAAAAAATTCATAGGGGCCTAATAATTTTGACTTCAACTGTATGTTGTAAAAATTATTTTTTTGTTAGTGATATAAGTTATAAAGTAGTAGTTATATCGTTTATCGCAATTAATGTGGGTGTAATATATTGCCCAGCAAAAAAAACTACAACTGTTGTGGCAGCCCTATAGCTGGGTAAAAAGTGACATGAACACTGTTTTTTCCAAAGTTTAAATGGTTATCTGCACTCGGCTATATAAATAAAGGACAAATGAACTTGTACATTTTTTTAGGGCAGTCCCTCATAATTATAATGTTTTATGAATATTTTCAAATTTACATTACTTTTTTGCAAACATTTCTTTTGGAACATACAATCATGATACATTTATATACGACTAGCTTTCTGAAGTATTTACACAAAAACTTGTTCTGCTTGTATCATGACTGAGGCCCAGCATCTCCATTAAAAATAGTTCAGTTTTATGACCAACTTTTTTGTCGTTTTGCTTCTGTCATTGTGCCATCTGCTTTTACCACCTTGAAGGAGTCATTTGCAAGAGCAAAGAACTGGGTTAAAGAGCTTCAGAGGCAGGCTAGCCCAAACATTGTCATCGCTCTGTCTGGGAACAAGGCTGACCTTGCCAACAAGAGAGCTGTGGACTTCCAGGTATTTTTAACTTCATGATCATCTGTGTGTGTCCATAACTGCGTCCTTCACGAGCTGATTTATTTTTTTTCTACAGGATGCTCAGTCTTATGCAGATGACAACAGTTTGCTGTTCATGGAGACGTCAGCAAAAACCTCCATGAACGTGAACGAGATCTTCATGGCCATTGGTAAGGTTTTATATCATACAGACTAAATCATCATTATTGATTGTTACTGTCTACACCTGGTTTTACAGGGATAGTTCACCCAAAATGATAAAAATAGTATCATCAGTTACCTTTGCTTGTTCTAAACCTCTAAGTTTATTTTTTTCTGTTCAACACAAAAGTAAATATTTTGAAAAATTATGGTTGCCTGGACCCATTGACTTGCAAGAGTGGTGCCAGTAATCCTTCAATAGGGGTTGAATGACTTCAGATTTTTGAAAGTTGTCTTTTATGTTATTATAGTCGATTCGACGTCAACTAGGTGCTTGTGACGTCATCAATAAAACACAAGGTGCAAATATTTTGCAACACACCACAATTTCCTATTTATTTGCTGGAAATACATATACACTTGCTGTTTGACAGCTCATAACACATTGCAAAATCAATTTAACATTACGAATGACTAATTTTAATGGAAAATGAATGCCTCAACACTTCAATTTCATTAATAGTGCAACATTAGCACAGGCTAATTTTAGTGTAAAATAAATCCAGTCAACACATTGGTCTTGGCATGTACTGCAAAAAAAGGTAACAATAACATATATTTAGTGCAAAAGCAATGCGTACATCGAACACACAACAAAACATTGAACACCAATTCATGGCAAGTTATTTTATAACAACAAAACGCATAAAAAACAAAGCCAAACACACCGGCTCTCAAATAAAGCATGAAAGACAAAGGCACCGACTCTGTCAGAGACCTCCTCAGATGGAGATTTTACCGTTTTGATGTGCAGGTCAAAAAGCTGCTAAAAATCTTGCTCACGTCTTTGTCATGGTAACTGCTCATCTTGGTTATCAGAAATCTCCTCACACTGCATGTCTTTTCACACTCACCTGGGATAATGTTTGCTGCACCAACACGCTTGATCGTTTCCCAGTTCATTCACAAAACATGTCAGTGGCATCACAGAGGACCACAGCCAATTCCATTACTTTTCCAGTGTTGCATAAACATGATTGGCTATCATCTGCTCGTGGGTAATTTGCATGGCTGGATTTAACAGACTGACACCTGTTTGATGATTTAAATTTCTCTCAAAGGTTATGTGAATCATTGACTACAATTACATGGACTCCAATAATTCGATTGTAATGCGATTAAGGCAGTACTGTGATTAAGAGTTAACCATGTAAACAGCGATTTTTAATTAATTTAATAAGATTAAGGTCATAATCAAACTAAAGAGAAATCGAATTAAGACGTGTGGTGTATGCTTATTTTAGTCACATTATTGAAGTATAGTACCCCCCCCCCACCCCACTCAGCATGCGGTATGAACTTCTATTAAAACAACAGTCTTCCAGCAGTTTATAGTTGCATCCAATATCTCGTTTGTCACGGAGGGCGTGCATAAAATTTTTGTGAATGAAATTGAAAGTGCCAAACTGCTGTTAAAGTCCACAAATTAAAAATGAAGCACCCAAAATTACATGAAACTCCGGAGGAAATGCGATAGCAGGGTGACGCAATCAAATTATGTGCTACAATGAGTAAAACAGGATGGTGAAAGGAACATTCAAAAAGCAACTCATGTAAACACCTTAGTCTTATTATTCTCTTAATTAGATAGCAAATAATTTGATTACTGATGTCCATGTAAGCCTAGTCATTGACGCTGACATAAGAAATTATTTAAATTTATTGCAATTATCCGAGGGCAGTTTCATTCATTGAACCTACATTTGTGTGTAAGGCTGAATGTAGTTCAGATCAAAAACCACGTGATTTGCGTATCACAAATAGTGCAACCCCTACCCTTCAATATATCTTCTTTTGTGTTCAACAGAAGAAATAAACTATTAAAGTTTTAAAACAACATGAGGGAGAGTAATTTAAAAAATTGTGTAAACTAACTCTTTAAGATATTTTTTCAATTTTCTGAACAGAGGTGGTTAAATCTAGATGTAAACAGGTTCTAAAATGTTTTGCGCTTGTCCACTTTTAACTACTAACAGATATATTTAAACTGCATTTAACTGGATTGCTTTTGAAGTGTAATAGACACTAATGTGGTCTAAAGACCAGAAAAGACCACCTACTTTCAGTAGTCTATTTTGATTTGTAGACATTATGGGATGTTTTGTTTGGAACATTCTTGACGAGAAAGGATTTAACATTACTGCCTCACTCCTTGTGATGCATCTAACACCAAGTTTAAACATATAAGTTCTTTATCAAATCTTGTAAATTCAACCTTCTGTTTTTGTGTTTTTAATGCTTTGTTGTCTAGATGTTTTATCATTATTTTTATTAAACTGGAAGTTTCTGTGACTTTTATTTGTACTTCCAAGTGAAACAGAATGTTGAATAGGTGGCGGGGCTTTCTTTTTGCACATCAATCCGTCAAAACAAACTAACAGTAGAAAGAGGCATGGTTAAGAATATTGCGACTAAAGTCTGACATCAAAAGAGAAGGACCACCATGCACAACATTAAAGCAAATGGTCAGATTTAATTGAAAATTACCTAAACACAATTTTTTAAAAGTCTGATACCTTGCACTTAATTGTTCACCTAAAGAATAGCAATATGTGCTTGCAAAATAAACCTTTATTGAAATAAAATAAACGCATATCACTCTCTCTCTCCACTCCACCGGTGTGTGGTGAGTGCACTGCCACCATTTTCCTGTGGCTGCTGTCTCATCATTCATGTAGATGCTGCACACTGGTGGTGGTGGTGTGGAGAGAGAGATTGTGATGCACTTTGGTTGTATGACCATACATGAAAAATGCGCTATATAAATACACATTACAATATATTTTGCTGTTTTCATGGAAGTTTGTTATGTTGATGGATTTTGATAATGCATGTGTATGCAACATGTTACTTAATGAGTCTGATGAGGATGATAAATGTTTATTGATGACCAAATTAGCTTTAGAATGACGGTTAATGTCGTTTTTTTTTTAAAGGAAGAAAATCACTAAGTTTTTTTTTTCATGGGTTAATTGTTTTTCTTTTTTTTGTATTTCAACAGCGAAAAAGTTGCCTAAGAGTGAGCCCCAAGCTGCCGGAGCCAACAGCGGGCGGAGTAGGGGTGTGGACCTCACAGAGACAGCCCAACCCACTAAAGCCCCCTGCTGCAGCAACTAACGCAAAACAAAAATCCCCGTCCCCTCACCAAACTCTGTTACCGCAACGACTAACGCAAGGTCCTGCCCTCCAACTATGGTTTTGACTAACTAATGAAATGCCTCCGCTTCCCCCATTTTCCATCACTCTCTCTTACGCTGTAACAAAGCTCAGCCCCGCCCATGTATCTGCGGTGTTTTTGTTTGGTTGTTTTTCTGTAAAGACCCAGGCCTCTTACTGTATCCATGCTTAAGGTCATGCCTTGTCTCCAAACTGTAATATTTGCCATAACAAAAAGAAAACAAACAAACAAACAAAATCTGCCTGGACGAAAAGGGGTGGGGCCTCTGCAATAGTTCACCTGCCCTATCATAATTCAGAACTTTCCCAAATCTCTTTCCACATCCTTTTTTTTTATTATGACTTTGTTTTATAGAAATCTTTCAGAATAATGGATGCATGTATCACTACAGAGCCTGAAAAAAGGTCAATCAGAGTTTTAACTTTCTCCAGCAGCACACATAGTGAGAGAGGACAAATTAACCCACCCCTTTTTTGCTCCACCCCATCCCCGCTCTTTCCCTCTCGCTCTCATTCTGGATGTCCCAGTGGCTCTGTTTAGTGGCTGACTGCCCACTTCCTAAGGCTGCGCCAACAACAAAAAGCCCACCTCCTTCTTAACCACACACACGCGCGCGCACACACATACATCCAAGATCCTGCCTCCTTGTTATTCTCTCACCAGTTAGCAAGCCTTCACTTTTTTCAGCATTATTGGCAACTAAGTGAATATGCGGCTGCGCTTTCACTCGCCCTGCACATGGACTTAGATATTCATTTAGTAAAGTTTCCACGTCACAAACATGCACCATTACACTCACTCTCTTCTGGTTTTAACTCACCCAGGTGTTTCTTACTCCATGCCTTGCACTAATTTTTTTTTTTGGTCTTGATATTATCTCTTGCAAGTACAGCCAGAGTGATATAAATATATATAAATAATTTACTGTAAATAGGGTGTTGCAATGTATTCGTCTTTTCCATTTACTGTTGCAGGACTAATGCTCGATAGGGAGTTAGATAATCATTTAAAAAAACAAAATGGCAAAAAAAAAAAAAAAAAACACAACTGTACAGTAACCAGGAATCGCTTTGATATAGGGGGTTGTTTCTTTTTCACAAAATGGTTAAATTATAATCAATGGTGGTCTTATAAAAATGTATGTAGTGTTATTAACAAACAAAAAAAAAGCTTTTCTTTAGTGGTCTGTTTTGTAATTTTCATGAGAAAGCAAAAACATTGTCCATGTTTTTGTCACTAACTGTCCACAAATGATGATGGCTCTTCCTCTGCTTTTGTTTCTTCCCAGTATCGGACAGCACATCCACTTTTAACATTGTCAATTCCCCCTACCCTTCAGGATACTGGTACCACATCAATTCGCTGCTATGTTCAATTTTTGTCTTCTTTTTTTAAGCATTTCCCCTTTGAGACAAAATGCAGTCATCTAACTATTACTGTTAATGTATCAAATAAATTTCTTATAAATGGTATTGATAATATTGTGTGTTCAGAGGGCCAAATTAACTACTAGTCTTATGGGATTCCCATCGCAGTGCGGATTCTTGTGTAATAGCGTTTGTTTGTGATAATGACACATAATAAGTAAATTGTACCTTGAGTCACAACACTTATTTGTTTGCTTATAAAGGACTGATTGCTGATTTTATGCTATGATGAGTGATTACGGATAAGCTTTATTCTGCAAAGTGTACTAATGTGAACCTGCCTGTTTAATGAATGCCTGTCGTAATTATTTTTGCTGAAAGGTGATCAGTGTTAGTTTCAGTAGTATTTATGCACTATTCAATAATAAGTTGAATGTTTTGTGATTTGTACATACATACGCATGCAGTTAAAGTCAGAATCATTAGCCCCCCGTATATATTTTCCCCCCAATTTCTGTTTAACGTAAAGATTTTTTTAAACACATTTTTAAACCATTCTTTTAATAACTCATTTCTATTAACCGATTTATTTTGTTTACCATGGTGACAGTACATAATATTTTACTAGATATTTTTTGAGATGCCAGTATTCAGCTTAAAGGCCGATTTGAAGGCTTAACTAGGTTAATTAGGGTAACTAGGCAGGATAGGGTAATTAGGAAAGTCATTGTATAAAAGTTGTTTGTTCTGTAGACAATCAAAAAATATATAGCTTAAAGGGGCTAATAAAATTTACCTTAGTTATTTTTTTAAATGTAAAACTATTTTTATTCTAGCCAAACTAAAACAAATAAGACTTTCTCCAGGAGAAAAAATATTATCGGAAATACTGTGAAAATTTCCTTACTCTGGTAAACATCGTTTTAGAAATATTTAAAAAAAAGAAAAAAAAATCAACTTCAACTGTAGATACGCATGTATGAAAACAATTAACAGACTACTTAAAAATTCTCAGCTTCTCTGGATTTACTAGATTAATTATTGATGGTATAAGTGACATGCTTATATTAGTTTTATTCTATAAAAGGCTGCAAAAATATCTTTTAAATTTTAAGTAATATATTGCCCCTTTGTGTTTTGAAATCAAGCACTAAAATATGATTTTTTTTCTCTCTTACACATTGTTAAAACATTGGTACTTCGTTGTCTAAAAAGGAATTGAAACTTATCAGAAGTCATGGCACCTTTTTGCTATTTTATATAAATAATAATATTAATTGCAACATAAAATTCTGTAGATCACAACATTTATTTTTTAATTCAGAAGAAGTGTCATCTAGGCATGGGCCGGTATAAGATTCTGATGGTATGATAACCTTGGATAATAATATCACGGTATTGTGCTGTAAAATATATTCTTTTCAAAAGTCTGTGTATAAAAAAAAAGCTTTTTCCCCTTTAAACACAATACATTTTATTTTGAGAAACATTTCCGAAATATTTTAACATTAAACATGTCAAGCTAAATAATTAAAATATATATTTGACTTCTGGTGTCTTTATACGTTTCTTTACAATTTAAAATGTTATTTTTGGATTTTTTTTTTGCTGGAGATACTGTTGTCCTAAAAACAAAGACCAAAAAAAAAAAAAATCACACGTACACTTACACGTACCTTAGGAATGGTATAGCAGAAAATTTTAGCAGTTTTAAAACTTTGACTTTTCCAAACTCCGGTATACCTTGAAAACGGTTATCGTCCCATGCCTAGTGTCATCAATTGTTTACAGAATAAAAGATAAATTACGTTATTTTTTTATATTTTTATATTTTACCATCTAAAATTCATCACAGCATCATAAAATTATTTACTGCATATATTACATTAGGGCTAGGCTGTTATTTATAACAATGATGTTATTCATACTTCAAGAAGCCTTTGGTTTAAATCTCTGCAGACAAACTAAACCCAATCAAAAATGGCATTCTGGCCTGGTCAGGCTGGTTTTAGAGAAGTTTTGGAGACTATTAAACTGGTCGGTCCAACTTCTGGGCTAGATAAATCAGCAGCTTAGTCGGGGATGGGAGAATTTTCAAAGCAGTAATGTGCCTACAAATCCTGTCTAACGCTTTTAATGTATTTGACCTTGAGTGTTCTCTCAGAATCTCGGCATATTTGTATCCCTCTCCGAATAATAACGGGATATTCATTCCGTGCCTCCCCTAGTGGAGACGAAGCGGATTTACAATGTCAAATAAAAAAGCAGGGATGAACGCCATGTCTGATCCCGCTGTTGAGGGGTAGAGAGAGCGAATACAGCGGGCGGACTTCGAGGATTCGAGCCGGAGCGCGCAAGCAGGTTCGATGTCGGAAAGCACGGGGATCCCTCAGGGCTCCCCGGCGGTGGGCGCGGCAGGCTCGGCTCCGGCTGCTCCAGGAGTCGGTGGAACCGAGTGTTCGGGCGCTGCTGTCGGTTCTGCACGTATCGCCGTCAAGAAGGCGCAGCTCCGCTCCTCCCCGCGTCCGAAGAAACTGGAGAAACTCGGCGTTTATTCCTCGTGCAAGGTAAGTTTTAACGGAAAACCATTGTTTACGTTTACAGTGTGGAGGAGAGGTTCGCGTTTATTTGTTTATCTGACCGCCGAAAGTAGCTGTTACCTTACTTTACCCACTCTTGAATCTGCAAGCACAGCACAAAAAGCCGTTGCTTTGTCCTCCATTCTTTTAAACTGCGAATGCGTGTTTCTTTATGCTAGCCAACTAAATTAAGTGCTTAAACCAAAATGTATCCATGAAGTGCTCATTTCCGTGATCTGCAGAGATACTACCGCTGTGTTTACCCGTAACGTAGTGGGCAAAATGACGTGCACACTTGGCGCTCGAGTCTTGTTTACAATTTATTTCTTCTTTCGGCAGTGATTTTTGTTGATTTTTTTGTTTGTGTTTTGTAAAGTCGCACTGGACTCGTTGTGCTTTAGTGCGAGAGTTTTGCCACAACACAACACTCAATCTGAAGTTGATTACTCAAGAGGTGAAAGCGGCGTCTTTGTTTTGACAGGATGACAGCTGCTGAAGGGGCGTGGTCTGTTACTGGGGGCGCGGTGTGTTGCTGGGGGGCGTTGTCTGCTTATCAGATCAGGCACTAGAACCATACGGAGAGCCAAATTACTCATGTTGAAATATTTCAATAACTTGCATTATTGAATTGTTAATAAAAACATTGAAATAACTATTAGGCTACATAACAAAGCATCAATAAATTGGATTTGACATTTTTAGCATTAGTTTTGCTTTTCTTTTGTTATCAGATAAGGTTTCGTTTAATGCCATCATGAAGTAAAAATGACTATTTTATTGACTTTGTAGTGTTATAAATGATGTACTTGTATATCTTACTATTAATATTCTTTAATAAAAAAAAAGTTTTTTTTCTCTCTCTCATACCACAACATCTCGATGATGTAAGACTACAATAAAGTTGTATTAATTAATGAACTCACTAATGTAATGTAAAACTAACATGAATAAACATTGAACATATACCTTTATCACAGTTTATTTATCTTTGCTAATGTTAATGGAAATAAAGTTTACATTTAGTTCATGTTAACAATGCATTGACTTATGTTAACAAGCACCGATTTGGATTTTAATGATGTATTAGTATATGTTGAACTATGATTAATAAATCTTGTACATGTATTGTTTATTAATATTTATGTAGTAATGTTAATAAATCCATTAACTTATGAAACCTTATTGTAAAATGTGACCGATGATGTGTTTACTGTGAGCCTGTCACTCAACATTTATCTAGGTCTACATGAATTGAACTTATTTTCGAAACAATCATGTTTAATAGTGGAATTTGTGCAGAACTACTACATTATTCATAATGTCATGCTGAATATCAGAGTGTTATCAAGCATTGCTGAAATATTTGAAGAAATTTGCATATTTTGCAAGCAACTTAAAATAAATAGTTTCTAAAAACAATTTGTTAAAGAATTAGTCATGATGTACACAGTCTTGCACCTCTTTCTTTTTGTCTAATTTTCATTTGGTTCAAAGCTTGTAATGCTTTAATGAACTTTAGTAAAAATACCTACGGGAAAAAGGAATGGGATAAATGCAAAAAAAGAAAATAGTGGGCAGTTGCACTTTATAATGGGCATCACTTTTTTTTAGAATGGAGTGTGGTTAGGGATGTTTCAACAATCGTGTAATGGTTTAATTTTAAGTAATTTGTTCTTCTTTAGAAACAAGCCCATCAGCAATCATAGATTAAGTAATATAGTTCTTCAGTTTGTAGTCCTAAAGCCTTTAAATTCAGAATTTTCTGTACATAATCAGTATACTTGTTTTCTTGGTGCATGTATAAAATTATACAATTTTGGATTAGTCGTCCTTAAATAAAATAAAATATTTTATTTGTTACTGTTTATTATTATGAGCTTCCTAATACAGGCCTGTAGCCAGCCTGGTGAAAGGGGTGGTTTGTTTTTCTCAAAAAGTTTACCTTCTTGCATTTATTCGCCTCATTTTCTATTTAATTATGAGGTTTAAATACTGCATTGTAGTGACATATTAAGCATTTTTGCTTGATTGTTGAATGGTTATCATACCCACATGTTTGATGTACCAAAAACATTTCTTAAAGATTTAGAATAAAGAATAAAAGATAAAAAAAACAATATTAAAAAATATATTTTTAAATAACATATTGTAGCGTATTGTCATTTATTAGGCAAATAACAAACTGTCAGCTCAATCAATGTCCCTCAGTCAAAATATGGGATGCCAGAAGTCTTCTTTGATGAGTTATTTTCATAGGTGTTTTTTTTTTTTTTTTTTTACTAATTACGCCATAGTGGTCAAAATAGGGCAAATGAGCTCATGGATGGGACAAACTCTGGATCTTTGTCAGTGAGGGGTGGGACCCCCCTGGCGACAGGCTTGTAATATGTCATTTTCATGTCTGCTCCTGAATGATCTGTTTGGTTTTCACACAGGCTGAAGGAGCTTGTAAGTGTAATGGCTGGAAGAGTCAAAACCCTCCCCCTACTCCGCCTCCTCCAACCCCACCCAGGGCTGAGCAACCAACCGCTGTCAGCCTAATGGAGCCATGCAGAAGCTGCAGCCACGCCCTCGGTAATGACTGTTTGTGTAATAACAGAGCACAACGACAGAGTTCCAGAAGAAAAAAACCTTGTGCTCTCAACCATAGAGAAACTAAGGTTTAGGGATAATGCATTTCAGTAAACCTTAAGTAAAAAACTTTTAGACCAATGTCATCAATCCCTAGGGTTCAAATAAAGTCTCAATTTCATGTGTTTGTATTACTGCCTAGGTGACCATGTGACGCACCTGGAGAATGTGTCAGAAGAGGAGATGAACAGACTGCTTGGGATTGTACTGGATGTGGAGTACTTGTACACGTGTGTCCATAAAGAGGAGGATCCTGACACTAAACAAGTTTACTTCTCTCTCTTCAAAGTGAGTCATTTGGGTTGTTACACATTGGTCCCACTCAGGTTTCCCACTCTTTAGAAGAAATAATTTCCAGAACATAAACTATGACAGGAGTTGATCTCAAATGGACTTGTTGTAGGCATTTTTTGAAATTGCAATTAATTTAACTTTTGCTTTTTTGTTTAAATGTTGTTTTTTAATTTGAATGTGAATGCCATAAAGGTATGGAAAATGGAACGGTAGTAGGCCAGAAGAATGGAAGTGGGTCAGACACATGATTTTTTGACTTATTCAGCATATGTTTTAACGCAGCGGATGCCCTTCCAGCTGCAACCCATCACTGGGAAACATCCATTCATACACACTCATTCATCCACATACACTAGGGACAATTTACCTCACTTAATTCACCTATACCAAAAGTTTTTGGACTTGTGGGTGAAACCGGAGCACCCGGAGCAATTTATTTAAAATTTAAAATTTGTTATATTAAAATCGTTATAAAACAAAAAATATATAAAGTGGTCAAAAAAATGTGTATGATCAATTTTCGTTCTTCCAAAATAAAACACTAAAATTTAACTAAATGAAATGCACTTTCAAAAAAAAAAATGGCTACAAAAGCACTTGAGAAACCTCAGAGGGTGAAAACTGAAATATACAGTTAAAGTCAGATTTATTAGCCCCCCTGAATTATTCGCCCCCCATTTAATTTTTTCCCAATTTCTGTTTAACAGAGAGAAGATGTTTTCAACACATTTCTAAACATAATAGTTTTTGTAACTCATTTCTAATAACTGTTTTATTTTATCTTAGCCATGATGACAGTAAATAATATTTGACTAGATATTTTTCAAGACACTTCTATACAGCTTAATGTGACATTTAAAGACTTAACTAGGTCAATTAGGTTAACTAGGCAAGTTAGGGTAACTAGGCAAGTTATTGTATAACAATGGTTTGTTCTGTAGACTATCGAAAAAAAAATAGCTCAAAGGGGCTAATAATTTTGTCCCTAAAATGTTTTTTAAAAAATTCAAAACTGCTTTTACTCTTGCCGAAATAAAACAAATAAGACTTTCTCCAGAAAATAAAATATTATCAGACATACTGTGAAAATGTCCTCATTCTGTTAAACATCATTTAGGAAATATTTAAAAAAGAAAAAAAAATTCAAAGGGGACTAATAATTCTGACGTTAACTGTAATTACCATTCTGCCGTAGAAGCCACAACCTTGCTCAGCTGTCATCATATTTGGCTTATCAACAGTAAGTAGATTCAAACTGAAAAATACATCAACAACAATAACAAAATCTAGATCAAGAAGGACTTTTTCCAGGACACTTGGTCATTTCGATAATTTTCCAGATTATTTCCATGACTGGAAAACAAGGATATTTGGGAACCCTGGTGCTTAAATGATTACAGAATCTGTTCTGATTATATATTACTATGAATATAATTACCAAAGATTTCTGGTCTCTTTTGCTCACAGAGTGTTTTATAAACAAATATAGTAAATCATACTATAGTATTATTGTGGCATAATTACATTTTAAAAGAATTGGTTTCTATTTTAATATAATTTAAATTCTATTCTTTTTCATATGATTGTAAATTTTCATTTGTCACATGATTGTTCAGAAGTCATTGTAATATGCTGATTTGGTGCTCAAGAAAATTTCTTGCTATTATCAATGTTGCTTTCTACTTAATATTTTTTGTGGAAACCAAAACACATAAAGGTAAATAAATCGCTCAATGGACCAGTATTTATTTAAAACATATTTTTTTAATGTCTTTAGTCACTTTTAATAATTTTAATCCGTTTTTATTTGTTCATTAAAAATGCAAAAATACCTCATAATTTACTCACTCTCAAGCCATCCTTAGTGTACATGCCTTTCTTCTTTCAGACAAACACAGCCAGAGTAGTTTAACATTTTATCCTGACTCTTCCAGGTATAATGGTGTTGGGTAGTGGTCATTTTTTAAGCTTGTAAATCTGTCATAAAATGAACCCATATGCTGTCACGAGGTTAACGCATGTTGTATGAAGTAAAAGTAAAAAAAAAGTATGTTTTTGTAACAAAAAAATATTTATAATTTTAAAATTATAAACTCAAATGCCTGACTTCCGGCAGCTGCTGAATGCGCATTTTCAACAACTTGTACAAAAGAACCAATGTACTTTTGGAAGCTTTAAAAAACGCAACACCATAATTCAGCATGGTGTTAATCAGGTTGCGTTCATCTGAGAAAAGGAAGTCATATATTCTGAGGATAACTTAAGGATAAGCAATTAAAATTTCATTTCATTTTTAAAATACTTTAAATGCTAATCACTGACCTTTAGTTTTGAACAGCATTATACACTCACCACTTTATTAGGTACACCTTACTATTACCGGGTTGGAGCCTCCTTTTCCTTCAGAACTGACTTAATCCTTCGTGGCGCAGATTCAACAAGTTACTGGAAACATTCCTCAGAGATTTTGGTCCATATTGACATGATAGCATCACGCAGTTGCTGCAGATTTGTCGGCTGCACATCTATGATGCAAATCTCCCGTTTCACCACATCCCAAAAGTACTCTATTGGATTGAGTTCTGGTGACTTTGGAGGTCATTTGAGTGCAGTTAACTCATTTTCATGTTCAAGAAACCAGTCTGGAATGATTTGTACTTAAGTATAATATTCAGGTATGCTGTGGCGTTGACACAATGCTCAATTGGTACTAATGAGCCTAAAGTGTGCCGAGATTAAATCCTCTACACCATTACAACAGCACCACCAGCCTGAACCATTGATACCAGGCAGGATGGCTCGATGCCTTCATGTTGTTGATGCCAAATTCTGATCCTACCATCCAAATGTTGCAGCAGAAATTGAGACTCATCAGACCAGGCTACGCTTTTTTAATCTTCTATTGTCTAATTTTGGTGAGCCTGTGTGAATTGTAACCTCAGTTTCCTATTTTTAGCTGACAGGAGTGGCACTCACTGTGGTCTTCTGCTGCTGTAGCCCATTCGCCTCAAGGTTGGACTTGTTGTGCATTCAAAGATGCTCTTCTGCATACATCAGTTGTTACGGGTGCCTATTTGAGTTACTGTAGCCTTTTTATCAGCTTGAACCAGTCTGGCCATTCTCCTCTGACAAGGCATTTGTGCCCACAGAACTGCCGCTCACTGGAAACTTTCTCTTTTTCAGACCATTCTTTTTAAAACCTAGAGATGGTTGTGCATGAAGATCCCAGTAGATCAGCAGATTCTGAAATACTCTGATCAGCTCGTCTGGCACTAAAAACCATGCCTCGTTTAAAGTCACTTTATTCATCTTTTTTCCCCATTCTGATGCTCAGTTTGAACGGCAGTAGATCAAATCGTCTTGACCATGTCTACATGCCTAAATGCACTGAGTTGCTGCCATGTGATTGGCTGATTAGAAATTTGCGTTAACGAGCAGTTAGACAGGTGTACCTAATAAAGTGGCCGTTGAGTGTATATTAATGTAATTTTACATTCCGTATATGTTCTGTGTATATTATTACAACTGTATATATTCGGTTTGCAACTGTTTGTCCAGCTTATTTGTTTAAACTGTTACAGCTGCTAAGGAAATGCATCCTGCAGATGGGAAGGCCAGTGGTGGAGGCTCTGGAAAGCCCGCCTTTTGAAAAACCAAGCATCGAGCAGGTAACTTCTCAACTGTAAATAGCAAGAATATTTTTTCATCATTACGAATGAATCATTGTCTTAATCTTTACATTTAATAAGCTGCATGTGTTTGGTGACATACTTAACTAACAAGTCAACCTCTTCATCATGATCATGTGCGAACATCAGTGATATTGGTGTCAGGAATGAGCATTTATGATATAACTTTTTATAACTTTTCTTCTAAAACAGACTTTGGTGAAAACCACAAGCTCCAGCTTTCTTGCTTAATTTGTAGGCATTGTACTATAATTCTGATGTACAAATATGCTAAACACCCAAAGACACATTCCTAAAATCCTTGCTGTTGGAGACACATTTATGTTTTTTTCCTGTGTTGTTTTTGTTGTAGGGTGTGAACAACTTTGTGCAGTACAAGTTTAGCCACCTTCCGTCTAAGGAAAGACAAACCATTGTGGAGCTCGCAAAGATGTTCCTCAACCAGATCAACTACTGGCAGCTAGAAACGCCCTCACAAAAAAGACAAAGAGCACCAGATGATGATGTAGCTGGTTATAAAGTCAATTACACCAGGTGATTGCTAGTTTTTTTTACTTTACACTAAGGATTAGTTCACCCAAATATGAAAATTCAGTTATTAAGGGCTCATAATCATGTCATTCCAATCCCCTGAGACTTTTATGCAACATTTAGAACACAAATTAGGATATTTTAGATGAAATTTGAGAGCTCTCTCATCCTCCCTTAGCCATGTTTCCATCTAAAGATGGAAATTAAATTTATGTGCAAAACTGGAATATTGCATAAAAGTTTTGTGAATGAAGCAGCATTTAAACCCAAAGAGTCAAAGAGAACAAAATCGTTAACTGGTGCCGAATATCAAAAATAAAAACAGAATTTGCTGTGGTAGGATGAGCTGCATTAATCTTATTCATTTAATAAATTATTTGAAGACAATGCCGACATGCAATAAGCGCGTGGTGGCGTTTGAAGATGTGAGATGCGGAGCACAGTCACTTTTGACAGTTCTGGACGTAATAAATAATATATTACCACTAATACTGAAATAGTTACAGCATTTTAGAATGACCAAAACAACATTTCAGATATTTTACAATGTGGTCAGCCTGCTGGTTTGTCCATTCACTTACATGTTATTATAATCACACGCTCTCCTCTAAAAAAAATCACATGACTTTTTAATGCGCATCCTGAAATTAGTTTGGTAAAAGTGTTTCTATCGTAGTTTATAGCAGTTGTTTCTTATTGAATAAAAAGTTAATATTCAAAGTTTATGTGCATCTTGGCATTTCTATCAACCATTTTTTATGCGCACATCTAAAATGCACATAATAATATTAGGTGGATGAAAAACATAGCTATTGACAGCACTGCACTAAAAAGTCCAAAAAAGGATCTAAATCATTCCATGTGACTTCAGTAGTTCAACTTTAATCTACAAGGCTCCAACATCGCTTTTGTGTATGAAACCACATTCACTTTTGGCAGTATGTAGACATGGGGCAGAATAAGTTTCTGACGGTGTCAACCTTGGATAAAAATATCACAGTGTTGTGATTACTGCTGTAAAATAAGTTATTTTTAAATGTCTTGGTAAAAAAAAAAAAAAATTCCCCCCTAATGAACACAATATATTTTATTTTAGGAAACATTTAAAATTTTTTGGAACAGTAAACATCTCAGACTAAAGAATAATAAAAAAAGGCATTTGCTATCTTCATTAGTTTCAAAACCAGGTTTCTTTACAAACCTTAAAAAACTCTTAAACATACATTTGAAGTGGTTAAACAGAAAGATTTTGCGGGTTTTAAAACTTTGAATTTTTCAAATCGCGGTAAACCTTGAAACCGGTTTTCGTCCCATGACTGACAGTGTGACATATTGCCAATAGAGTCAGCAGTGAAACTTCCTTGCATTGTATTGCCCATATGAAAGAGATAATTCATCCAAAAATGCGTATTTAGTCACTATTTACTCAATGGGTTCCAATACTTTATGAGATTATTTATTCTCTTGAACACAAAAGAAGATACTTTGATCAAAGCTTAAAACCTGTAATCATTGACTTCCATACTAGGAAAAACAAATACTATGGAAGCCAATGATTACATTTCCAACATAGATCTTCTTTTGTGTTCAACAGAAGAAAGAAGCTCAAACAGGTTTGAAACAAGTAAAGTGTGAATAAATATTGACAGAATTTTTTTTTTTATGTGTCAACTATCACTTTAAATTAGTACCCTTATTTGGGTAATTTTTATTGTATTATTTTCGATACAAAAATATTCTTATAGCTTTTGTATGATTTCAGTTGAATCCCTAAAGTCACATGAAATGTTTTGACAATGCCTTGGGTCCTTTTTAGAACATTTCAGCATTGTTGTTTTCTGTAGATGAAGAAGCTCTTGGATATTATCTAAAATAATCTTCGTTTGTGTTTCGAGGATGAATGCAGGTTCATAAAAAAAGTTTTTCTTACTTAGAATTTTTTACTTGTTTCAAGTCCAAATATTTAAAAAATTGTGAATAAAAAAATTCTAATTTATTTTTTTTAACTTAGTTTTACTTTTAAACAAGCTAAATTATCCAACAAACAAAATAATCTTCAGTTTATTTTTAATTAAATTATATATCTTTTTAAAGTGATCCGCTTATAACGTTATAAAGATTTTGACCAACAATTATCACAATTTAGAAGTATTGGTCTATTTTCTACAACACACAAACAACATTTCTAGTAAGTGTTTTGTGTTGGAGAGATTTACTCCCTTTGGCTTTAACAAAATCATCTTTAATAAATCATCTTTTCGAAAGGTATCCAATTGTTCAACAGATGGTGCACTAACGAAACTGTTTAAATCAAACTCAGCCATACTAATATTATGCTCTAAAACTCCACTCAATCACTAATCTTCATTCACTCAAAACTCAAAATTGATCCGCTGTCAAACACACATCGTCTCACTTCATCCCATAAAGAGATAAATTTAAATAATCTCACCGCTGCCACCAATTAAATGTTACGTGTTTTATGATGTTAAAGTGGGATGCTGTAATATTTAAGTGACACAGGTGTAATGTGTGCGACAGATCAAGAATGAGGCAAGGTTCAGTTACTCTTATTTAAGCTTTTTACTTAATAATTGAAACATGTAACAATAATAAATGGGGAAAAAAAACATTTATAATTATTATCTTTAAACAAAAACAATGAGTGTAAGCCAAATCAAAGAAATTAACAAAACAAAGCAATCCTTAAATCTAAAATCTAAACTAGGCGTCAAAAAGAAACACAAAATAAAAACCTAGATCTTCAGTGTATACGACACCCAAACTAAACTAATTAAACTACAAAACTCAAAATACACGGGTGGCAAAACACTCAAACTAATCTAACAAAACATCAATTTAAACTAAAACAAAACAAACCGGATAAGTCCATCAAAGCTTAGTTTAGAATCACACAACAACCATCATATTATGTTACTCAAAGCCAACGAAGTTCAACAAGCAAACTCAAATTACCACAGTAACTGAGATAAATCACTAAATAGACGAAGCATTTGCACAAACAAATTGCGTGGAGCACAAAAGGGTACGCCGAGGCAGAGCGCACACACACACTGGTCTGTCAGGGCTTTAAATCCTTGCGGCTCGTCCTGGGATTGGTGGAACCGGAGAACGTCATAATGATGATGGACAGAATAATAAACCAATAAGAAACCTAAGGGTTGAGCAAACGGAGAGGAGGGTAAAAAAAAAAGACAGAAAGAAAACATAAATCATAACATTTATTATGTAAAATTCCAGATTGTTTACATGCATAAACATTTACTACACGTTTGTGGCCTTTTCGTGTGTTTGTGTCGTAGGTGGCTGTGTTATTGTAACGTGCCCCAGTTCTGTGACAGTCTCCCAAGGTACGAGGCCACACAGATTTTTGGACGCATTTTCCTGCGCTCTGTGTTCACCATAATGAGAAAGCAGCTGCTGGAACAGGCCCGCCAGGAGAAAGACAAACTACCACCTGAGAAACGCACACTCATTCTTACACATTTCCCCAAGTAAGCACACAACACAGTGCCAGAAGCCTCCACAAATAACTGATGTTGTGTGAATATGAGTGTATGTGTTTGTTTGTGTCCAGGTTTTTGTCTATGCTGGAGGAAGAGGTTTATAGTCATAATTCGCCCATCTGGAGTGAAAACTTCATGATTGGTTTATCAGGCGGACAGATTCCAACAGGTGAATGTTAAAGGGTTTTTTTATATTTCGTTATGTGGGATAGCTATGTAAACAAACCTTTCTCTTTTCTGATTGGTGCAGTGGTTAGTGCTCCACCTGTGAATCGCTCCCTGTACTACAGCAGCAGTCCAGCACCAGTGGAGCTGGCTGGAGGAGGAAGTGTTAGCCCGGCCCGGAAAACAGCTTCTGTCCTTGAACCCAATCCAGGTATTAACTTATTTTATAAGACGTTTTATAAATGAGGCAATTTTTATTTTATTTTATTTTTGGTCACACTTTATTTTGATGATCCGTTTGTTGAATTTAAGTTACACTGCATATACATGCCAACTAATTCTCATTAGATTATAAGTAGATTGTTAGGTTTGGGTTAGGGTTAGTGTAAGTTGACATGTACTTGCAAAGTTTCTTATAGTCAGTTAAATGACTGTTGTAGTAACACTATCAGCAGAAATTAAGCAAACAGGCTACTAATACTCAAATGGACCATCAAACTAAAGTGTTACCTTATTTTCTTGTCTCTATACATGACGACAACAGAAAAACTGGTTTAAAATTGTGTAAAACGTATGCTACAACTCTATGTGGCACTTTAAACAAACAGAGCCGCAGGACACAATAAAGTCACAGAGGAATGCTCATGAAGTTTTTCTTCTTCAGCACTCTGTGTAAAGACATAAACAAGACATTTTTGTCAATTTACAAATATCTGATGTGTGTTGATGTGTCTCCACCGGTCATCTAGTTCAGGTGTGATCAATCCTGTTCCTGAAGATCTGCCTTCCAGTTTAGCTGCAACCTTAATCATGCACACCCAACTTTAATTGCCTGGTGCTCCTTCAGATCCTGCTTAGGTCCTGTTTACACTAATACATTTTAGTTTTAAAACTCATAAGTTTTGCTACGCCTTCCGTCCATACTACCCCGGAGTGTGTGAGCCCTGAAAACTAAGCGTTTTGCTGAAGAGGCCATTTTCATTTGGAAACACTGCTGCTCCATGTCAGTGTGGATGGGGGGAAATGTACACATCTGAAAATGGAGGCATGGCTGCAGACATTCGCCTATCTAATTGTTTTTTTTTTTCCTCAATATTAAGTGCACAAAGTTCAATCTTGCATCCTTTCCTTAAGTTCAGACTTTGCAAGTTGGATATGTAAAAACAAACTCCTGAAAACTCGTCGGGTAAAAATAATGTACTGTATAATGTTATTCGCATCACTCTGGCTACGTTCTTAACCATAAAATAAAAACATGATATGAGGAACTGTCTATTTTCATTTTGATATTAACTTAACAGCCACCAAAAATTTTGAGGCGTCCTGTAGCTATATATCGTGTCCGTCATCTTCGCTGTATGCATATTCATTACAAAACGGAGCCTAGAACATAACTGCCTCTTTTCATTTTCTGTGAAAAATATGAAACACCCTGACTCTTTTGCCATTTCAAAAGTATAACACACAATAAGTTCATACAATATGGGAAATAAAAGCAAGCAATCTTGTCAAATGTGCAGAATCAGTGTACTTATAAGCGTACTTGTAATCAACTTATCTTTGTGCTCAGCCAAAACACGTTAGCTGAGAAAAAGTAATAGATTCAATAGACCATTAAATAGAGACAAGATGAATTTAATATCACTTTTGACAATTAAAGTGAGATGAAATCCAGCAGAAGATCCTTGATTAACTGTCCGACCTGCACTGCTCTCACCTGGGGAGCTGTGCTCAAAGCACTTGCCGAATGCCTGGAGCTCAGATGTCCACATATGCTCCAGCGCATGCCAGATTATATGTGGTCATGCGATGTGCATTTTGAGTGGTTTAGTGTAAACAGAGATTTTTTCAGAAACGCTATGTGGAACGCCAGTGTGGACGTGAATCGTTAACGTTCTAAAATGTCGTTTTAAAACTAAAATGTATTAGTGGGGGCCTTAGCGGGTTATTTGTGTTTATAAGGATTGGAGCTGAACTCTGCAGGAAGGTAGATCATCAGAAAACAAGATTAAGCTTCTTTGATCTAGTTGATAGAGCATTAGAAGGTTGTATTGCAATAGCACTAATAAACACAGCTCTTTAATCGAGATGGGTCTGGCTCCAGACATGGTGTAGTGCAATCTGGGCTGCATCCAATGCTTTTTAATGGGCTCACCTAACCCCACCCCTAACCCTACCCGTCACAGTGACCTCACTAACTCCATTTGAGTGCATTGTGTCTAACTTTGCATCGCTGAGTGATGCAGTCTCAGCTTGCATCATAAAGGCTGCAGCCAGATACTATTGCTTTAATCTGCCATTGTTGTTTTGTCCTGGTTGTTATGAGTGGGTTTCTTCCTTTCTTCTGGTCATGTGGTACTGTGATATCCCTTTTTCTAAAAAGGGTGTTTTGTCTATAAATAGGGCTAGACGTTTTGTGGATTTACCTAAATCTGTTGCTGTGTGTATGGGGCCTGAGAGCCTGAAATCACTTTATGAATCAATGTAGCCTTAGAGCTGGGTTAGGTACTGGAGAGCCACTCTTCTGCAGAATTTATTTTTAGCTCTAATCAAATATAACTGGACAAGATAGTGGGCTCTATGCACAGAAACAGTTTTTTAGCCACCGATAAACTTCCAGTAAAAGTTTGTGTGAATATTTTCAATTTCATAAGGTTCCTTTTACAGCATCAATAATGTAATTGAGTTAAATATAATCTGCTAAATAGACTTAAGCATTCATACAGTTGATCAAGTGTAAAATGAGATTTAAAACCATTGAAACATGGGTTTGAACATGGTTCACTGTTTAAACAAGTGCTTCTTGTCCGGTCAGAGAATCACTTTATAATGTATCTCAATCAGGTAGTGTAGATAAATTCGTCATAAACGCTGACAAATAACAGTTTCTATGCACACACCCTATTAATGTCTGAGTGTTAATTAATAAACTACAGACAGATTAAATTTTGTTGTTGTTGTTGTTGTTTTTTATCAAGGCCAGATCAAAACTTCTCTGAAATGAGTTTTTGCAGGGTGGGATATCTGATAAAATATGACATGAACAAACAGTGATTTTTTTTTGGATTAAATGTTTTGTGGAAATTGTTTTGTTTGAACCTTTTTTAAGGAATCAGTTCTTTTATGGGTCCTGTATTTTATCTTTTATAGATTCTGTGTTATATGTTTTATGTATTATATGTATTATCAAAAACAAAACATATTAATTTAATACATATTCTACACTCATTCACAGCATCATCAAAATATGCATTTGTTAGTTGTGAATACATGCCCTCTTGTGGTGACAATTACATACTGTGCCTTTAACAACAGTGTGTAGCTCAATCTGCTTGTAATTGCACTTTATCTTAAAATCAGGTTTAAATGGGACCGTAAAAGATGTTTCTTGTGAATCACAATGACTACACAGTATGTTTCACTTTGTGCACATCTAGGTGGAGAAAAGCGAAAGCCAGCTGAGCCATTATCTCATGAGGACAGCAAACGGCCTCGTGTGGTTGGTGACATTCCTATGGAATTAATTAATGAAGTCATGTCTACCATTACAGACCCTACTGCCATGCTGGGACCAGAGGTAAACACACCCACTTAAAAAAAAAAAAACACTATAGTAATATACTATGGGAATTGTTTTTGAACCCCACTATAGTAAACTACTTTAATTAACCTGTTGTGGTAATCCGTAATATGAAAAAAATAACCAAAACTATTCCAAGTTTTTGACAAAAAGGTACAGTATATGATACAATACAATACTAAAATTCATATCATTCAAATTATACTACAAAAACTCAAATATATTAGTTTACCATTTAACCACTGTTATCTTAAGTATGCTGTAGTATTCATTATCAAAGTGTTGTAAATACTATAATATATACAATATGCTATTCTTTTCTAGAGTATGGTTCAGAAACAATTTATTTACTAGGAACTACTAACTGATGTATTTTTTTATTAGTGCTGCGAAAAAAAATTAATTGGTATTAATTGCATCTAAAATAAAAGTTAGTTTTGACATAATATATGTGTGTGCGCTGTGTACACTTAATATGTACTGTATGTAAATACACACATCCATGCATATATATATGGGTAAATGTTTATTTATATTTATCGTAGATAAATAATCTATATGTTCATTGTACAAATTATCTATACATTTAAATATTTATGTAACAAAAAATTAGTTTTGTCTATTTTTATTTCTATGTATGTGTATCACATAATAAACATATATATATAATACACACAAACTTTTATTTTGTATGCGATTAATCTTTGCTCAGCACTATTTCTTATCTAAATATATAAATGTGTAAAATGTATATTTTAGGACAATTGAATCATATCATAGTGTCTTTTTCTCTCAGACCAGTCTTCTCTCAGCTCATTCAGCACGTGATGAAGCTGCTCGATTAGAGGAGAGACGAGGCGTCATCGAGTTCCACGTCATTGGAAACTCCCTCAACCAAAAGCCCAATAAGAAGATCCTTATGTGGCTTGTTGGCCTGCAGAACGTCTTCTCACACCAACTGCCTCGCATGCCTAAAGAATACATCACAAGACTCGTCTTTGACCCGTATGTTCCTTAGCATTTACATTTAGATGTTAAAAAAGGGATAGTTCACCCCCCAAAAAAATCAGTTTCTGTCATCACTTACTGATCCTCTACTTGAGTTTCTTTCTTCTGTTGAACACACAAGAAGATATACTGAAGAATGTTGCTAAAAACAGCCTTTGACTTCCATGGTTTTTTTGTGTTTCTACTATAGATGCCAATGTCAATTTTTTTCAACATTCTGTAAAATATTTTTTTTTTAAAGAAAGATTTTCGGACCACTCAATCTAGTACCACTTTATTAGTTGGTATTTTGGTACCACTAAAGCTAGTGACAAAAAATCTCTAAAATCATTTTCATCAAGTTTAAAACTACTTGAGTGTGGGTCAATGGGGAAGATATTTTCATTTTCTGGGTGAACAATCCCTTTAAGAAGTGTGATGCATATAGTAACTAATGTACAATAGAAATTTTGAAGCAGGCATAAAATTGAAGTTGTGCAAAGGAAGGAAGGGCGAGGCAGTGGCGCAGTAGGTAGTGCTGTCGCCTAACAGCAAGAAGATCGCTGAGTCGCTGGTTCGAACCTTGGCTCAGTTGGTGTTTCTGTGTGGAGTTTGCATGTCCTCCCTGCCTTCGTGTGGGTTTCCTCCGGGTGCTCCGGTTTTCCACACAGTCCAAATACATGCGGTACAGGTGAATTGGGTAAGCTAAATTTTCTGTAGTGTGTGAATGTGTGTGTGGATGTTTCCCAGAGATGGGTTGCGGCTGGAAGGGCATCCGCTGCGTAAAAACTTGCTGGATAAGTTGGCGGTTCATTCCGCTGTGGCGACCCCGGAGTAATAAAGGGACTAAGCCGACAAGAAAATGAATGAATGAATGAAAGGAAGGAAAATTTAGGGCAAGACTTGATTTTGGATAGTAAATTGCTATTGTTTGATTGTACTTTTTTGATAGATTATCCCAAAGGGAAGATATTTAAACATAAAGAAAACACATAAAGAAAAAAATAATGATTATGTAAAAAAAATAAAAATAAATCTCACCTAGACCTTTATTTCGGAACCTGGCGCATTTGCCCCTTAGTTCGGTTCATTTGTCACCATTCAAAATTAAAGTGCACCTTTTCGCTTATAATGTCTCATTTCTTATTGTCATAAATTAAAATAAGTTTGAATGACAGCTAAGCGGAATCCTGGAAAATAAACCAAATTCTGACTAATGTGGGTAGAGTTTACTCTACTTTTGTGAAAGCGAACCGCACCAAGAACAAAAAGCAACAATTTTCCTCCCTGTTTTGGAACAAAACAATCAATCTACAGGTGTGAAAGAACTCTAAAAAAGAAAAATTAGAACTGTCAATTTTGCCCTCATGGGGCCATATTTAGCAACAGATTACTTCAGTGCAAATGGTCTTTTTGGCATTAAAATGATACTGTTGGCATTTACTAAACACGTGTTACAAAGTAATGAAGAATTGTGCACCCCCACATATATTGTCTATTGCGCTATGCCTGGTCACAGTAGATAACCTGCATCTTATGTCCATCAGCTCTGCTTATTTGCCACTATGCTAACTAGCACTATGCTGATTATGTTGGTTGATACGTAAATAAGATGTTGCGTCTTTGTTCTTTAATTTGCATATTGTCTATAAATTATCTGCAGAAATTTTTATGCCCACTGTCAGTGTTTTGGAAATGCTCTCATGCCAATTTGCCCAGCTTAGTAAATTTGGACCATAGTGACTTTAAAACTGGAGTTTTTTCATGGTGATTTTAAAACTGGAATTATAGCAGTCAGCTTTAAGTTGTATTTGTTAAGTACTGTTTAAACTTATAGCATTGTTCTTATCTGTTTTGACTCTGAACAGGAAGCACAAGACCCTCTCTCTGATCAAAGATGGCCGTGTCATTGGGGGAATCTGCTTCCGGATGTTTCCTACTCAGGGCTTCACTGAGATTGTGTTTTGTGCTGTCACCTCCAATGAGCAAGTGAAGGTGTGTGGTTTAAAACATTGTGATGCATTTTCATTATTATTTGTCATTTGGCACTCATGCTTAACTTGACATTTAATGATTTCACTGTTGTTTAAGGGTTATGGGACTCATCTCATGAACCATCTAAAGGAATATCACATCAAGCATGAAATCCTCAACTTTCTCACCTATGCTGATGAGTACGCCATTGGCTACTTCAAAAAACAGGTCAGTACTCTTCTTGGTTTTTGAGTGCCAATAAATTATTATTGAAAGGTGATATTAAAAACAAGCAATGCTAAACTTGTAGTTAAAGTGATAGCAATCAATAAAGAGAAAATGGACCCTATCCTACACCCAGTGCATAAAGGTGCAAGACATGTTTGGTACAATTTGTTGACATTTTCAGACCAGCGCAACTGTAATCTTCATATTTTGTGCCACGTTGTTTAAATAGCAAATCCATTTGTGACACTTTATGGACTCATAGGCGTGCTGGTCTATAAAATAAAATAAAATAAAATAAAAAGTCCAGCTCAGATCTTGTTAGTCAACATGACTAACATGACCAAAATGCATACATATTGCTTAATACACACAGGGTGTACATATCTTTACATTTGAAAAAAGTTAAAGGATTAAAATTTCACAACATTTATCATTTTCTACATAAATATAAAAACCACTTTCTCCATGCCTTCTTCATGTTGGGGGGCTTTTCAGTTTTTCATGACAATCTGCATTTGTATAATGTTATTATTATTTGCAGTATTATTTGTTTTAATAAAAGGACACTACTCTAATGCTTTTGTACCATGTGCCTTAGACTTTGCACCTAGATCGGTAAAATAGAACCCTAAATCTTCTTTTTTTTGCTTGTAATAAAAAACAATTATATTAAAAATCTTTCATCTCTTACAAAATTTGCAATTAACTTTAATGGCAAAGAAGAAGAACGTATCTTTGTATAAGCAAGAATTAAATAATGAGTTTTTTTGAGGTGTAATCACTTTAATTTTATGTACGTAGTTAACTAAAGCAAAAAAAAATAAAAAATCCAAAATCATTTTTTAACTTGACCCTTTTGTTTTGTAAACATAAGTGATAACTAAAATAAAATAGAAAACATAATTGGTTTCAGCTAGTTGCCAATGAAATATTTCGAATTTGATGCACTAAAATAAGAACATTTTTTGACAAAAAACAAAAATTACAAAACTGAAAAAAAGGAAATTATTAAAATTTATTGATTAAAACCAGGGTGTGATTTACAGTGGGGTTTGACCCGCTTTGATTAACTTGTCAGAACAAGATGTCCAGTGAGATGGAAAATAGTTTATATACAATGGTCTGGATCTTAAATAATGAATAATATAATAATAATAACAATAATAGCTTATTATAAATATAAATATTATTGCATGATGTACCTAAAAGGAAGGCAGTCTAAGACCAACAGATCTAGCCTTTACACAGAACGTTTTCCAAACACTTTTTCTTGCAAATTAGGTTTGTATCTACATTGCATATAGCTTAAACATAAAGTCATATTAGACTCATAATGTGTATTTTAAAAGCTCGCACATGAAAGTTTTCCTGTGATCTTGTCACCGTTCTGCAAAATTGACTATTGTTTAATCAAAAATAGGTCTTCTTTGAAAAGCACGTCTGTTGAAATAGCCCATCACAAGTTACTGTACGTCAGAATCATTATCATTACCAATCATTATCCAATAAACACTGAAAATAAGTATGATTAATAAATGAGATGTTCAAAATAAAAAGGTGCACATTACTTCATTACAATTTAAATCAGAAAAATGAATTAGTTGTGTATAGGGGGAACATTAAACATAAACATAATTAACCTGCAGTTACATAGTATACAGTGTCTTTCCAAAAACAAATTGATATCTGTGTGTTACATGTTCAATTAAGTGTATTTGTGTATTAAGTGTATGTGTAGTCCTCGGCTGGTTGGCATTTATTGTCATTAAAAAATTTATTTTATTTACTGAACCATGAATATACAACACAAAAGGCTGTATAATGTATCATTCGCACACTGATTAATACTACAAAAGTGTCTCATTGTACTAAATAACTGTCTTCTCATTTTGTTTCTCTATTTCTTGACAGGGATTCTCTAAAGACATTAAAGTGCCGAAGTCAAAGTATGTGGGCTACATTAAAGACTATGAGGGGGCCACACTAATGGGCTGTGAGCTGAATCCCTGCATCCCTTACACTGAGTTCTCGGTCATCATCAAGAAACAGAAAGAGGTGTGTGTGATAGAGAAAGAGGTGTCAAAAAGGTCCCTCAGTATGGTGAAATTTATGATTCTGTTTTTTTCTCTCAGATCATTAAGAAGCTTATAGAGCGCAAGCAAGCCCAGATTCGCAAAGTCTACCCAGGACTGTCCTGTTTCAAGGAGGGAGTTCGGCAGATTGCCATCGAGAGCATTCCAGGAATCCGTATGTTCCCCTTTATATATATATATATATATTCCCCTATATATATATATATATATATATATATATATATATATATATTTTTTTTTTTTTTTTTTTTTTTTTTAGGTAGACAAAATTAAATATAATGGTACAGATTTTTAAAATGATGAACATTTTGTACATTTTCATATACAAATAATTTTTATATGTTAGGTTTATAGTCTGAAGAAGTTTTTTTATGCTTGCCAAAACTGCAGTTATTTGATTATAAATACAGTAAAATACAGTGAAATTATCTTTTGATTAAAAAAGCTACTATTATAATTTATATAAATATTTTATAATGTAATTTATTCCTGTGATTCAAAGCTTAATTACTAAAATGTCAATGCTTCAGAAAGTCATTCTGCTGATTTTATGCTCAAGAAACATTTGTTAATGTTGACAACAGTTTAACTTCTAATGCTTTTTTGAAGGAACTTTAATATTGATATTTTCAGGATTGTGTTGGTGAAGAAAAGTAAAAATAATAACAACAAAAAAATGCATTTATGGTTTTGTATAGTAGTATAAATACATTCATTGGTAGCACTTTACAATACGGGCGACACAGTGGTTCAGTTGTTAGCATTGTCACCTAACAGCAAGAAGGTCGCTGGTTCGAGCCTCGGCTGGGTCAGTTGGCATTTCTGTCTGGAGTTTGCATGTTCTCCTTGTGTTCGCGTGGGCTACCTGGGTGCTCTGGTTTCCCCCACAAGTCCAAAGACATGCGCTATAGGTGAATTTAATCATCTAAATTGGCCAAAGTGTGATAGTGTGCCTGAGTGTGTATGGTTATCTCTCAGTACTGGCTTGCAGCTGGAAGGGCATCCACTGTGTAAAACATATTCTGGATCAGTTGGCAGCCCAAGGAAAATGAATGAATGAATGAATGAATGAATGAATGAATGAAACTAAATGTTAATTTGATTTACTTCTGTCTTTGGACAGGTGAGACTGGCTGGAAGCCTTTAGGGAAAAGGTAAGTGTGTATTTTGTTTACCAAATCTTGAAAGGATATTTACAAATTCTCTCACCATCCACTTGTTACAAACCTGACACAAACCTGACTTGCTTTTTTTGAGATAAGGTCATTACACACTGAATCCAAACTTTACGCATGTCATTATCGCGTTTGATTTTGTTTCCCATTTTCGCATCCAAAAAGGCATTTTGAGAATTGTTTTGACAAATTCAGGCTAAAATTCTAAATGTTGTCGAAGAGACGCATCCACATATGTGTGTGTGTGTGTGTTTATACAATACAGTTTTTTTATTATATTATATTATATTATATTTTATTTTATTTTATTATATTATATTATATTATATTATATTATATTATATTATATTATATTATATTATATTATATTATATTATATTATATTATATTATATTATGGGCGAGGCAGTGGCGCAGTAGTTAGTGCTGTTGCCTCACATCAAGAAGGTCGCTGGGTTGCTGGTTCGAACCTTAGCTCAGTCTGCGTTTCTGAGTGGAGTTTGCATGTTCTCCCTGCCTTCGCGTGGGTTTCCTCCGGGTGCTCCGGTTTCCCCCACAGTCCAAAGACATGCGGTACAGGTGAATTGGGTAGGCTAAATTGTCCATAGTGTATGAGTGTGTGTGAATGTGTGTGTGGATGTTTCCCAGAGATGGGTTGCGGCTGGAAGGGCATCCACTGCATAAAAAACTTGCTGGATAAGTTGGCAGTTCATTCTGCTGTGGCGACCCCAGATTAATAAAGGGACTAAGCCGATAAAAAATGAATGAATGAATATTATATTATATTATATTATATTATATTATATTATATTATATTATATTATATTATATTATATTATATTATATTATATTATATTATATTGTATTATATTATATTATATTATATTATATTATATAGGGGGCAATGCAGTAGCACAGTAGGTAGTGCTGTCGCCTCACACCAAGAAGGTCACTGGTTCGAGCCTCGGCTCAGTTGGTGTTTCTGTGTGGAGTTTGCATGTACTTTCTGCGTTCACGTGGGTTTCCTCCGGGTGCTCCGGTTTCCCCCACAGTCCAAAGATATGCGGTACAGGTGAATTGAGTAGGCTAAATTGTCTGTAGTATATGAGTGTGTGTGAATGAGTGTGTGTGGATGTTTCCCAGAGATGGGTTGTAGCTGGAAGGGCATCCACTGCGTAAAAATGTACTGGAAAAGTTTTTTATGTCTTTATATTATGCTGTGTCACCACAGCGGTTCATTTCGCTGTGGTGACCCCCGATTAATAAAGGGACTCATCCAACAAGAAAAAGAATGAATAATATAATATAATATAATATAATATAATATAATATAATACAAATGTTCTGTGGTTTATTGTATTATGGTATGCTGTTTTGTCGACGTGTGTCTGTCTGTGTCTTCGTATATAAGACAAACTGCCAGTGTCTGTTCAGGATCAATTGGTCTATGGAAATCTGTGGTCTTCTTTTTAATATGTGGCTCCAGTATTGCTAGCAAAGTATGAAACTGAGCCACGGACATCCTGAAGTAAACTTTGAATATCTCAGAATAATCCTGCAGCTCTTTGATAAGAAGGTGGAACTCTCCTTCCTCTCTCTGCAATCTAAGGATATGATGGACCAAAGATTCCTCTCACTTTTTATTTTGTTAAACATCTTCACTACTCGATTTTGTATTGTTTTGCAAATAATTTTGCGATAGATAGATTGATATGCACAAACTCAGTAAGCAAGGTTTGTGTGCATGACAAATCAGATTTGAATACGAAAAAAATGCATCAAAAATTTTGGACTTTTGTGTGCAAAGACCTTTAAGCCTGGGACTCACCAATGCAGACATAAATGCGACGATGAAATCAGACTGTTGTATCTCTGCGTCCGTTGCATCAGGATGAGTTTTTCCATACCTGCAGGTTGCAGTAGTCTGTATTGTCATTCCCCAAACGGGAAACCTGTACTAGTGCTGCACACATGCAAACCATAAACAAAGCAGCATACTTCTTTCTCACCACAGAGGGATTAAATCGTGAAAATATATTTGATAAATTGATAATCCATATCGTTCCCAAATTTTTAAAGGGCCATGCCCTATATTCACGATTTCACATAAATCAGAACGCAAAAAATAATTATTAATTAATAATTTCCTTTTCTTCATACCAAATTAACATGCAACTTGACTTTTGCATAAAAATAATAAGTTAAATAACTAAATGGGATTTAATCAACAAGCAAATTAAATATATTTTCAATAAAATGAAATTGAAAGAGCCAAGGACTGAAGCCAGCTCAAATGTTCTTGAATAAAACGTGTTACAGTAATGTACATATGTACAAATATGTCATGTCCGAAAAAGCCTTTTTTAGAGGTGTTTTCAGTTCAGAGCCACCGTACAAGCGAAAAGCTGTGTGCGTGTGTGCTGTGACAACCCTCATGCGCGCTCGTTATAATCAATATGAATATTCCGATCAAACTGAATACAATCTTACATCAATAACACATGGCAAGCAACGCGTTGATAATAACAAATAATCTAATTTAATTACAAATAACCCAACAAGTTGTTTAGCACATGTGCATCGCTGCTGTTATGTGTACACATGTACTATTTTTTCCTGAGGCGATTTAAAGCAATATACACAATGGCACTCAATTAAACATATCTACAATGATAAGGAACATGGTTACTTACTGAGTTATTAACGCACAGCAATACCACATGAAAAAAGGACGGACTTTGAAGGAAAAAACAATGTGAGGAGAGCTCTATTATAGTGCACGATACCAACTAACTTTGCCATCTAGAGAAACATAAACGACGAATATTGATCACACACTTATCAAATCTGTAGAGACAGGACAATCATCACCAATTGGAACCACATCTTTTTTTAAAAAGAAGATGAGCGACAAATCATGATTTCATCATTTCCAGATTCAAAAAGCTCTCGGGTGAAAAATTTTTTTCTTACAAACAGATTTATTAATACTGACGACCCATGTCTCCGAACAATTCTTCTACTAATTGTTTAAATTACTTTTGGCAACATAACGTTGTGTGTCTCTGAACGCTGATTGGTTTGAACCAAGTCATTCTCATGAGTTAATGCTGGAAACTCAATCTCATTACTTTGTACCGTCCAGTACAGACATCCAATCTCCACGCTGGAATTTTCACAATGATCTCATCACCTTGACGTACGTAGCTTCAAAATTTCTTTTCAAACTGGAAGAATGGATTGGCTATAAACAACACATAAACAACTAATTTTCACTTTTTTGTGAAATATATGTGTCCTAATAGTGTTTTTTGCAACATGGGACGTATATATGACTGTCGAAATTAAAAAAATATATATATTTTGGTGTTTCGTGACCCTTTAAAGAAAAGCAATAAAATCACAGCCGGCTTCTTTGTGTTCCTTTTTGACTTGTGTAGTTTGTGTAGCTTCATTACTTTAAATTTTGTTCTCCTGCTTTGACTTATAACTGAACAGTCAATCAGAATGCTTTCTTCACCAAAGGACAATGACGATTCTACATGCCGAATTAGGTAAACTCCATCTGATATGATGAGAAGTGATGTGTGGAACACACCAAACAAACTAGCCTGACAGAAACTCACCGATAACTCAATCATTTTGGTCTGTCCCGACCTTTAAATAGAAATCAGGATCATTTAAAAAATCTTGGAAACCTGTAGCCACTGACTTCCGTAGAAGTTTGTTGAAGCTACCAGTTACTAACATTCTTCAAAATGTCTTCTTTTGTGTTCAACCAAAAAAAGAAACTCAAAACAGTTTTGGAATCTCTTCAGGGTGAGCTAATGTGTAAATTAGTTGAGGTATCCCTTTAAACAAATATGTGGGTTCATTTTGGTGTCATTTTGTTTTATAGCAAAGAACTGAAGGATCCAGATCAGTTGTACAGCACTTTAAAGAACATCTTAACACAGGTCAAGGTAACGTATCAGATATCTGAATTGCTTTACATGTTTCAAAGACAACTTAAACAAATATATGATATAAAATGACTAATGTTGAACATATGTTGTATCCTTTAGTCACATCCAAATGCATGGCCATTCATGGAGCCTGTAAAGAAGAATGAGGCGCCCGGGTATTACCAAGTCATCCGCTTCCCTATGGGTAGGCAAAAATGTATTATCTGCCATACAAATACACTGCCATCATTTTTTTTAAATAAATGGATTTTAAAACAAGCCTATCCTGTTCTCCAACGCTGCATTTATTTAATCAAAATATCAATTTACTTTAAAACCGCATTTTCTATTTTAACTTATTTTATCATGTAAAATTATTCCTGTATTTTATAGCAGTATAAAACATCCAATGCTGATTTGCTGCTTTACTATGATCAATTATTACTGGTGTGGATTCATTTATAAGGATTTTTATTATTAGTGATGGTGAAAACGTTTTCCCCTGCTTCAACGTTTTGTGAAATCGTATATTTTACTTTTATTTTTAAAAGTTCAAAATGACTTGTTTTTAATTTTAATTAAATATTTATTTTTAATTCATAAATATCTTTACTTTCACTCTTAAGCAATTCAATGTGTCCTGATGAACATAAGTCAAGACATACAATTTTAATGGGGCTTTTAAATAATTCTGTATTGCATTCTCCACAAAAATATGAAGCAGCCCAACAATTTCTTACACTGATAATAATAAGAAGAAATGTTTCATAAACAGCAGATCATCAATTTTATTACATTATGGTATTTTTAAATTAATTTAGTTAGTATTTTTTTATGTGCTCTGCATTGCAGTATAGTTTTAGTTCATTTCATTAATGGCTTTGTTAGTTTTAGCATATATATATATATTTTAATATGTAAGCAGATTTTTTAGGAATAGGGTATATGCAGAGCTAGTGTTTCTTCCCATAATGATAAACTTCCGGTGAAAGGTTAATGTGACGTTTTTTTTTTTTTTTTTCATTTTTTACGGTTCCTTTTACAGCATTGATGTTGTAATGTAATTACAATACAATCATTTAAATAGACTTTGGCATTCATTTAGTTGCTCAAGTGTAAAACGAGACAAAAAGACATTTACTCGCACGCACCCGTCAGAATCGGCAGGCTAGTAAAATAAATGTTCATGACATGGCTGGGAAAAATTTTTATTTAATGCAGTGCTTCTTGTAAAAATTGAGACCCACTTTATATTTGATATCACTCAGCTAGTAAAGATAGCTGGTTTTTAAAGAAAACAGACCTTAAACACGCAGATTTTGCAATGACATACAGTTCACAGGAAACACTTAACTTAGGTTACTGACAAATTAAAGTCTTTTAGCATACTTCGGCATATACCTATTGTAGTTTAACAGCGTTAACAAAACATATCCAATGTCCACCAAATTAAAGTTAATAGTTGCACAGCTTACATTAACTCTTGTGCAAATCCAAACATTAAATAATTATTTGAACAAACACTGAACCCAAAAACCTTACAAATTAGGAATTCAGAAAGATCAATCCTTATATAAAGTTTAACATACCCAGGCTGCATCCAAAGCTGCCTACTACTCAGTAGGTACTGCATTTTAATTAAAATGTACTTCTTGACCATTAGAAAAGTACTTTCTATACAGTATGAATGTATGAATGGAGCTCGGACGTACTACATCAGCCATTTTGTCATGATCACGTGACCTACCCGTGTCAGTTGCCTCGATTCACTCCCGTTCATGAATTCTCTCGCGGGGCATTATGGGATAGCGTAGCACACATTGGATGCACATTTCAGAATCTTGACTGACATGTTTGACCGTAAAACCACCATTAACAGGTTCTTCTCTAAATCGTCGCTGGTCCCACTGTAAAAAATGCTGGGTTTCACACAATCGATTTGTGTTGGGACAACATGAAGGAGTTCAGTTAACTTTTACAAAGTTAAGTGGATTGTACATAAAACAATTAAGTTGTCCCCTAAAAACCTTAAGAATTGTGATTGTTTCAGCTCATTTTAAATAAACAAAGTGTAATTTTTCCAAATTGTCCACAACAGAATGAGTGCTTACGAAATCTGAAGATAATGATTTGTTTTTGCTAATTATTTTTTTATTTGAGTTAGTGTTTCAATGTTAGTTTCCTTTAGTTTATCGTTTATTGTGAATTTTTTTTCATTTTATTTTCAAGCTAACAAAAATGTTTTAATTGTAAATTTAGTCCTCGTTTGCTAAAATAACCTTGCAGATCACTGAAAAACAGGTTTATTAGTTAAATAAAAAAATATACTTTTTTACACCTAAAACTTAATTATTACTGAAAACCATAATAAATTAAGTGAAAATGGATTAATTCATGTAGTTGTAACAAGCTGAAGTAATACTTTCAAGTTTTACTGTGTATTAAAATGAATTTTGATGGATCATGTGACACTGACGTAATGAAGCTAAAATTTAATCTTTAAATCACAGAAATTAACTACATTTTAAACTACATTTAATAAGTAAAAAATTATTAGTAATTCATAGTAAATTTGAGTTTTTACTCAGGTAAAACTTAAATTAAGTAAAAGCCCCTTTGGTGAGCAGAACAGGCTTCTTTTGAAAAACATTATAAAATCCCAAACTGATCATGAATGATCATGGATGTCTCCTGTTGTAGACCTGAAGACGATGAGCGAGCGGCTGAAAAGTCGTTACTACACCACGAGGAAGCTGTTCATGGCCGACATGCAGAGGATCTTCACTAACTGTCGAGAATACAACCCTCCTGAAAGCGAGTACTACAAATGTGCCAATCTACTAGAGAAGTTCTTCTACACCAAGATCAAGGAGGCAGGCCTCATCGACAAGTAATCTAACCGAGGGCACGTGCACGCAGTCCGTTTCCCTCTTTCTCTACCTCTTTTTAGCATATTTAACTCCATTTATCCATATGGAAACTTGTTTCCTCCACAGAATTATAAAAACAAATGCAATTGCCACGTTTTATCTCACAAATTTGAATATTTATCCATAATTGTGAGTTTACATCTCTCTTTTTGGAGTTTTGTTTTTTTATATTTGGGAATTTGACATAACAGTTAACATCTTGTAAATCAATTTTTTTTTTCCTCAAAATTGCAACTTCATATCTTGCAGTTTCTACTTCAAAACTTGCAGTTTATATCACCTTTCTGAAGAAAAAAGTTAAATACATGTCAAATATGAAGTCAGAATTGTGTGAGAAAGCCTATAAACTTGCAATTGTGAGAAAAAAGTCAAAGCTGTGCCATCAAACTGATAATTATAAGAGCATATAAACACAAAGGTTTGTGACAAAATATTTTATATCAGGTTTATAGCTCTTAATTGTGAAAAAATAAATGTATATGGAGGTATAAACTCAGAATTGTGAGTAGAAAGAATTGCAACCTGAATAATAAATAAAATAAATAAATAAAAAATACAATTGTGATACACAGTTATCCAGCATTTATGATTGTAGTTCTGTAACTTAAAATGGTGAGGAAAAAACTCTTTTCTTAGATTTTATCTTTTTTCAAAAGTTTAAATTGTGAGATATAAACTCTTTTCAGAGTTGACATTGTCTTTAAATTGGTAAGAAAATGTCAGCATTGTGAGATAAAACGTAGCAAATAAATAAGCTCCCATCACCTCTATCATTTCTGTGTCAAACAGAAATGAAGGTGGGTCATTCCATGCCAAATAAACCACATTTCAGAAAGTTCCCTAGCTCAAATTTTTAGATTTTGTTAACCAAAATTTAGAGGAAACACAAACAAGCAGTAAAAATGGCTACATATTAAATGTCACGGAAGTTAAAAACAAAGTAAAACAGAAATTTGATAAAAAATGACAACATACATTCAATAGAAATGTTTTATGTTCTTTAGACAGCATGTATCAACTCTGAATTGTGAAAAAAGTCAGAATTGTGAGATAAAACGGCACAAAGAAATAACCTTCCAACACTTCTGTCCTTTCTGCGTCAAACAGAAATGAAGTTGGGTCATACCATGTCAAAAAAAAAAACACATTTAAGAAAGTTCCCTAGCTCAATTTTTGATTTTGTTGAACAAAATTCAGAAGTAACACAAACAGAAAAACTGAAAAAAGGCTAAATATTGCATGTCATGGAAGTATAATTACGCAGTTTTTACAGGGTCGCAATTCCATTCTATGAACTCTAAAACTGAAATAAACACGCTGTAAAAATGAAGTATACTAAAGGAAACTGTGTTAAGAATGAGAATATAAAAGGATATCTCTATTTTCGAGATATTTCAAGAGTTTCAGGTATGTAAACGTTGGAAAAAAATATTTTTATTATTCTATGCAGATACAGTTGCTTTGATAGAAGAAAACAAGATATATTTATACTATAGTTTCAAGATGTAGTGACATTCCTCTACAAAATATCAGCTGTATGCAAAGTGGTCCGTTTATTTTTCTGACGCCTGATAATGTGTACAATTTAACAGAATATTTATCACGTCTGCGAATAAACCATATGAGGTCGTACAAATTACCAAAACAGTAATAGATACCAAAAGAACACATACCAAAAATTTCTTTGTTAAGAACCAAAATCTGAAAGGGTATTCAGATATGTTTAATAGGTCTTGAGTTACAGGTATGGGAAGGCACAATTTTCCCCATGTTTGAATAGTCAAAAATGAAATTTAATGTAACAAAGATTAGTAAAAGACGGGCATACATGGTGCAAATTCAGATGGTTTGAAAATCCACACACACATTACCAATGAGTTTGTGTGAAAATAGTACAGATACTAATTCCAAAACAACCGCATGAAAGTTCCCAAATAAATATGGACAGAGAAAAAAAAAAGGTTTTCCCCTTGCCTATTTCTAGCATTTACATGGTCGCAAAAATGGCTAAAAATATTTTATTAAGTATGCCCAGGCCATTATTAGGGGCACTGTCACCTTGTTAGTAAACATTACCTTACAGCAAGTGATGACAACCTGTACGTAGAATTTGTAAATATGATGGGTCTCTGCTATTGGTTGTCATGTGAAGTAAATTCAGACTGATTAAGTGATAGCAAGCAGTTGAGCAACAACAAAACTACCACATACTCCGCCATTGTTGTGTATTCATTTGTGCTTAATTGATTTCTACACCACCTAAAGGGTCTTGTTTTTGGGTGTTTACAGACACAACAGCATTGCGATTTCACAAAGGTTTTGTGCCAAAAAGCGCACCCCTGCCCTAAAATGCACCCCATTCATAGACTTTCATTAGCATTTCCACCCTACATTTAAAAAACAAAACATCAAAGGCCGTAATTGATTAAAACATAATATGAGAAGTAAGAGCCATTTTTAAATACTCTAGCTTCACAAGTAAATTTCAAATAATAATATTGACTGTAATGTAATGAGTCTGTTTCTAAAATTAGGCTTTTTGGTGGGTTTTAAACAAACTTTTACATGGAAAACATTAAATTGTTGTTTTCAACTAAACCACACATTAAACAATTAACTTCACTTAATCTAATTGGTATTGTATTTAACGTCAATCTATTTATTTTTATATATACAGTTGCACTCAAAATTATTAAACCCCCTTTGAAGTTTTTTTTTATATATATATTTCCCAAATGATGTTTAACAGAGAAAGAAATTTTTCACAGTATGTCTGATATTTTTTCTTCTGGAGAAAGTCTCATTTGTTTTATTTTAGCTAGAATAAAAGCAGTTTTTAATTTTTTAAAAACCATTTTATGGTCAAAGTTATTAGCCCCTTTAAGCTATTTTTTTTTTTTTTGATTAGTCTACAGAACAAACCCGCGTTATACAATAACTTGCCTAAATACCCTAACCTGCCTACTTAACATAATTAACCTAGTTAAGCCTTTAAATGTCACTTTAAGCTGTATAGAAGTGTCTTAAAAAATATCTAGTTAAATATTATTTTCTGTCATCATGGCAAAGATAAAATAAATCCGTTATTAGAAATGAGTTATTAAAACTATTATGTTTAGAAATGTGTTGAAAAAAATCTCTCTGTTAAACGGAAATTGGGGAAAAACAAACAGGGGGGCTAATAATACAGGGAGACTTATAATTCTGATTGCAGCTGTGTGTGTGTGTGTATATATATATATATATAGTGCTGGGGAAAGTTACTTTTGAAAGTAATGCATTACAATATTGAGTTACTCTCCCAAAAATTATTCGTTACATTCGTTATTCGAGTTATGCGTTACATTACTTTTGAGCGTTACTTTTTTATTATCTGGCTGAGGCTTGATCTCTTTCAGACCTTTTTTTTTTTTTTTTTTTAAACTAGTGGAGCTCTGCAATTAACAACACACTGTATAACCTACATTTACCTTTAAAAAAACCCCAATGTTAAGATAATGTTATCAGACACCAGAGCTATACATGCCGTATATACAGATTATTGAAAGTTGAAAGCAATGTGTTTGCTACTTTTTTACTATTTGTCTCAAGTGAAATCACTTCCCATTGAGACAATACCCTTTTTTTTTCTTCGTTGCGTTCAAAATAATGAACACATCCTCTCATTGACTGCCTGATTCATTGTGACTAATTGTAATTCAGCAATTTATTTTTAAAAGCTAATTATTTAAATTAAAAAGTAACTCGCATTTACATTTTACAAAAAGTAACAAATAATATTACTTATTTTTGAAAAAGTTATGCGTTACTTTAGTCGTTACCTAGAAAAGGTAATATTACATAACTCACCTTTCTTAATGTGTTACCCCCAACACTGTGTATATACATATATTCTGTAAGAGAAGGGTTCCATTCATCAAACTCAACTCACTCACTCTCTTTAGTGTCATAACTCTATTATTAAAAATTTGTATCAATTTAAGTTAAGTGTGTAAGTTGAGGTGCATTTTACAGCATTTCTCTCCACTACACCGGTTTCAGATTTATGCATTTTAAGTCTCCAAAACGCTGTTTTCTTTTAAATGAAGAGGCAAAACATGAATACACCACTCAGCTAGTAAAATTCCACCATATTATGATTTTGCGACTTCCAACAACAACAAATGCTTACGTGCTCGAATGACAGCAAAAATATTGCACTGTGTATGCCTAGCTTTATCAACCTCTGTGTTCAAATAAAAAGCATTCAGGCTCCATATTGTCAGTTTGATCTCATTCTTCAAAATGGTGGATTGTTATGTAAACACAGACTCCTATACATTTATTAATTGGCTTTCATCACTATTTAAGCTTTTCTTTTTTCCAGATTTTTTGGTAAATTTATCAAAATCACACTTTTGAGCTAGGAATCTTTGGTTATGTTGGCAAATAATGACCCAAGTGTTTAAAGGTCAGACTTTGGCATGTTAATACAGTTGAAATCAGAATTATTAAACCCCCTTTGAATTTATTAATTTATTAATAATCCCTTTATTAATCCGGGGTCGCAACATCGGAATGAACCGCCAACTTATCCAGCACATTTTTACGCAGCGGATACCCTTCCAGCCGCAACCCATCCCTGGGAAACCCCTTGGAATTTTTCTTTCTTAAATATTTCCCAAATGATGTTTAACAGAGCAAGAAAATTTTCACAGTATGTCTGATAATATTTTTTCTTCTGGAGAAAGTCTTATTTGTTTTATTTCGGCTTGAATAAAAGCAGTTTTTAATTTTTTTAAACCATTTTAAGATCAAAATTATAAGCCCCTTATAGCTATCATTTAAGCAATATACAATAACTTGCCTATTACCCTATCCTGCCTAATTAACCTAATTAAGTTAAGCCTTTAAATGTCACTTTAAGCTGTATAGAAGTGTCTTGAAAAATATCTAGTCAAGTATTATTTACTTTCATCATGGCAAAGACAAAATAAACCAGTTATTCGAAACTATTATGTTTAGAAATGTGTTGAAAAATTCTTCTCTCCATTGAACAAAAGTTAGGAAAAAATAAACGGGGGCTCAAGTTCAGGAGGTTTAATAATTCTGATTTCATCTGTATCTCTATAACCACCAAATGTGGATAAAAGTCATTTTCTTGTCTTAAAAAATTCCTTCTGCCAAAATTGTGGAACAATTTTACGGTGTGTGTGACTGGATGCAATTGGTGTGCATGTGTTCATGCTTATGTATGTACGTGAGTGTACATAATAGTGCAAATCTGTTTATATAGATCAATTTTATGAAAAGCGATATATATATATATTTTATATAGTAGTGAAGGAGATGGCCGACAACTCGACTAAGATAATTACTCTAACTAGCTAATGTTGCATCTGCAAACAGCACTTATTTATTATTAAACCTAAAGCGATGGTGGTTCGTACAATGAAGATTCCTAATCAGAAACTTGCACATTTGTGTGCGTGTGATGTACATTCCTTGTGCAGCAAGAAAAACAGTCTTAATATGCTTCATCCTCATGGCTGTGCTTCTGATGAGAATATGCAGCCACGTGCAATGACTCGTACTATTGTTGTTTTGTAAAATATTTGTACTTTTAAGAAGAGATGGGCTTTGTACTACATACATGGGAACGAGGGGATAAAGCTATTTTAAGGTCTTTGTACCTCTGCTTTTAAAATCAATGCATATTTTATAGAATGATTTAGAGCAACTAATGTGAAAATGTCTACTTTTGTGTTAGACTGTTTTAGTAGAGGGTAATGTTGCACAAACTGCACAATTCTTTTTTGTTTTTGCACTTTTTTTGATATAGATGTTGTTAAATCCAAGAAAAAAAGTCAATCCTTCACTTGTTGTGTTAGAACACCTGTTAATGTATATTGTTTATCAGTTATGTGTATGCCATTTATTTTGGCTGACCAATTAAGGTGTTATTAAAGGGGCAGTTCACCCAAAAATGAATATTCTGTCATCATTTACTTTTCCTCCCCTTGTTCCTTTTCTGAGTTGCTTTCGAACTCTGAAGGTATCCTGAAAAAAACATTGCTTCCTTCCCTAAATTATGGGAGTCAAGGAAATTTATAAAAGTTAAAGACATTTTCATTTTTGGGTGAACTCTCCTTTAAGCTTAAATTGCATTTGTCTGTATTAAAATCAACAGACTGGAGGTCCTGGGTCTGTGCTGAAATTGCTGGTCTTGTCTAGCAATATCACGATGTAGCATATGCATTTTTTTTTTCAATACTAAAGCCAAATAAAAAGAAAAAAGTTAATTTACTCACCCTACATAGCTGTGCTTGTGTCTCTCCATGGTCCTACAAGAGAATAAAATCATTTCAAATCCGCACTCTGCTTGTTTATTTAACAGCTGTCATTTATATATGAATCTTGATCAGACTTTGAGAATTTATACAGTTCAGATTTTGGATTTTTTTCCTGTTATTTACAGAAAAAAATGCTAAATAATCTTAAAATTGAAAGCATATTTTAAACCTAAAATGGTGAGGGGAAAAGGTCAGAACTCCAACTTTGTGTGTGTGTGTATATATACATCATATCCATGATGTGAATTTTATGTTCTACCACATTCCAAAGGTGCTCTTCTGGATTGAGATCTGGTGACTTTGAAGGCCATTTGAGTACGGTGAACTCATTGTCATGTTGAAGAAACTAGTCAGACTCTGAGATGTCGGGCACTTTATGACATGGTGTGTTTTTCTATTTGAAGTATCCATCAGAAGATGAGAACACTGTGGTCATAAAGGGATGGACATGGTCAGCAACAATACTCAGGTGGGCTGTGGCGTTAACACAATGATCAATTGGTACCAATGGGCCCAATGTGTACCAAGAAAATATCCCCCACACCATTACACCATCACCACCAGCCTAAACCATTGATACAAGGCAGGATGGATCCATGATTTCATGTTGTTGACGCCAAATTCTGACCCTACCATTCGAATGTCGCAGCAGAAATCAAGGCTAATTGAGGCAATGTTTTTTCAATCTACTATTGTCCAATTTTGATGAGCCTTTGCGAATTGTAGCCTCTTTTTACTGTTCTTAGCTGATAGTAGTGGGACCCGGTGTAGACTTGTTGTGCATTCAGAGATGCTCTTCTGCGTACTTTGGTTGTAACAAGTGGTTATTTGAGTTACTGTTGCCTTTCTATAAGGTCAAACCAGTCTGGCCATTCTCATCTGACCTCTGACGTTTGCGCCACCAAAACTGCCGTTCACTGGATATTTTTCGCTTCTTCAAACCATTCTCTATAAACCCTAGAAATGGTTGTGCATGGAGATTCCAGTAGATCAACAGTTTCTGAACTATTCAGACCAGCTGGTCTGACACTAACAACCATGCCATGTTTAAAGTCACTTAAATCACCTATTAAATCACCTAAATATTCCCCATTCTGATGCTCGGTTTGAACTGCAGCAGATCGTCTTGACCATGTCTACATGGCCAAATGCCTTGAGTTGCTGACTAGAAATGGCTGGTGAGGATGTGTATGTATATGTGTATATATATATATATATATATATATATATATATATATATATATATATATATATATATATATATATATATATATATATATATATATATAGTCATGGAAGTTGTTTGAGTATTGTGAACTGTGTCATGTTCAAGATTCCAGTTCGATCAGAACTTTGTGACATGGCACATTATCCTGCTATATTTGATTATATATATATATATACAAGAGTTGGACAATGAAACTGAAATGCCTGGTTGAGAATGTTTCCTGACTCCTTCAAAACAACCCAAAGTGGCTCAATAATATTTAAATCTGGTGACTGTGCAGTCCATGGGAGATGTTCAACTTCACTTTCATCTTATTCAAACCCCTCTGTATTGCTGTGTGCAATGGTGCATTGTCATCCTGATACACGGCACATGGTCTTTCAGAATTGTTTGGAAGTCCTTGGCAGTGACGCGCCCATCTAGCACAAGTATTGGGAAAAGGGAATACCACAATATTGCAACCTAAAGTATGACTGATCCACCACATGTTTCACTCTGGGCATGCAACAGTCTGGGTTGTTCGCTTCTTTGGGGCTTCTCCACACTATACCTCTCCCGGATCATCAGACAACAATACATGTTTCATATTGTCCACAGCTAAAGATTTCTGCTGCTGGCACCATTAAACCCTGTGTTTGGCATTAGCACGAGTGACCAAATGTTTGTCTATAGCTGTCCGGTAATCTATATTGACCCTGTGGAGTTCCTAACGAACAGTTTTGTTGAAAACACTGAAAAAAAAAAAGTGGTGCACATTTAATTGTTCTTGGTGGTTTGCTGACATTACCTCGGATACAGTGGCTCTTGATAAATCACTTGCTGTCTTGGTCACAAATGCACCAGTGAGATGCGCACCAACAGTTTGTCTTGTTTTGAACTTCATGCCACTCATGATGTTGTGTGCATTGCAATATTTTAAGCAGAACTCCGCTAATACTCTGCTAGCTAAACATTAACACTTTTACTGGTGGAATGTGCAAGCAATCATAAGCACGTCATCCTCTCCAAATTAGTTTAGAAATAAACTCCACTTAGTTAATCCAATTCTCCTATACTGCATGTCTTTAGACTATGAGGAAAACCTGAGCCCCAAATAAGCACTAATGAATATTAAATACGAAAGATTTCCCACAATTCAAGAATTAAATAATTTATTGCATGGCTAAAAGGTCAGATCATTACACTTGACGTAAAGATGATGTACAGTCTATATTAAAATATATACCAAGTGATGCCCTAAACTTCAAATTATAGTAACGTTAAGATGTACATTCCCAAATATATCCACATCTAAAATCACATTTACTTGACATATTACATTAAAAATCGATTCACAGAACTGACCAGCTAGCCAGTGTAATGTAGAGGTAAATATTTGTCTAGTATTAAATACAAAAAACTGAAAAAGCGTACAGTAAGAATAGAAGACATGCGGCTAAGACTTGAAGGGATAGTTCACGCAAAAATGAAATCCCCGTCATCATTTATTCACCCTTCAAAACCTCTTTAGGTCAGCTGAACACAAGAGAAGGTGTTTAGAAGAATGCTGATTGATTGTACTCATGACTTCCATAGCATTTTTGTCCTACTATGGCAGTCAATGTGTACTTCAAAATATCTTCTTTCGTGTTCAACATAACTCATTAATGTTTAAAACCCATATGAGAGTAAACAGTGATGTCATTTGAATTTTTGGGTGAACTGTTCCTTTAATGCAGAGTTTTGAAAAAAGGAAATACAACTTGTTTACAGAGTTGCGTTTAAAAGAAACCTTAGGAAAGTTCATTTTATAAGCATACGTGCAAGAAATATCAATTCACACATGCCGGTCTCTCATCAAGACTTTTCCAACTCAACCATCACTTCAAATAGAACTTTCTCTGTGTCTTTTAAACTCTGTCTGAAGAGCTGAGCGTGTTGCCATGAAGTGCTGCCATCTCCTCCAGTGAGCTCGGCCTCCACAATCAGCTCTGTGCCTCCGGACACATTTGAAAATGAGTGCAGTTCACCATCTGCCAAAACAAGCCCAGCACTAATATTACAAATCAGGCTTAATTAGCAGTAATCATGTTACATTTAACAGAAATGAGCTCTTGAGTTTAGTGACTCAACGCCTACAGTGAGTCTCATACCTCCAGGGAATTCTGTGGTGGTCTCGTTGGTACTTAAACTCCAACGCACAGTGCCTGAATGGAAGGTCTGACTGAAGGCTCGGACTGATGCTGATTTCATCTTCATTCCTGCTGGAGCGCAGTTGAACTTCCAGCTCATCCTCCCAAAGGAAGCGCCCTCTGTTCGTGCCAGATACACCTACAGTACCAGAGAAACAACACAGTGAGTATGCATGAACCTGCATGTCTAATTCAAAGTCAATGTGTTGAAGAGGACTAATATGACATAAAAGATAGAAAACATAACCGTAATAATGACTGCTGTGTGGAACTGATTAATATTATTGGACACTTTTCAAAATAAAATTGTTCCGTTACTGGCATTGATGGTTTCAAAGAACCTTTCCATTGCACACTGCTGGGGAAGTTTTCATCCACTCTGGGGTGATTCTGAGTCGTAATTTGGCCATAACTTGTTCTGTGTTTCAGCTAGCAGAATGATTTTTGGTGACAAATCTTATTTTTACAAATATTTTAAGAAAATGCTTTGTAATGCTTTAAGAAAAAAAAAAAACTCAATAATAGACTCTTGGCAAATTTGCTACCCTTTTGTTATGTTAGGGATGAAACCACTGGGTTTAAAAATGCATCAGATTAATATTTATTGTTGCATAAATCTGTTAATCAACCTCAGTCCTGGTCAAATCTACTAAATGTTTTTAAAAATTACAAGATTTTAACTCTTTATTTGCCAAATTCATAAATGATGTCTCTGATTTAGTGAAAAAACACACAAAATTACTTATTTTCAATATAAAAAGTAGTCATGGAAAAAAATATTTTTTCCTCCCTAATTTACTGTTGGTGGCTGCTAAAAAAAACATCAATACATCAAAGGCAATGTTGTTATTAATCTTTCACATGTGCAAGACTGTGACAAAAGGTAAAAAAATCTAGTCCACGGCTACAATTTCATTGTCCATCAGTCTTAGTACATGATGTAACTACAGGAGAAGAGTCAAGCTTTAAATAGGAAAAACTATCTAAACTATGATGCTAATGTCTGATGCTAACAGTCTAATCTGATTCAATGATATATGCTAAGTTAAGCTAAAAAAGTGCTCACACTAGACCCAGAGATAAAAATAAAATATAAATATCATATAAAATATAAATATAAAAGATAAAATATTAAAACCAACTATTTAACTGTATGGGATTTGTAAAATAAAATGTAAAAAAAAAAAAAAATGTTAAATTAATATTTTAAGGTGGAGTGTTAAAATAAAAAATAAAAAATAAAACTGGCATATTAATAAATAATCAAATTTGTATGTAAATAAAAGTTGAAAAAAAAAAACATACCATCTGCCAGTCATGCTCTTCTTTCCTGAACATGTTTTCTGTCCTCCAGGCCCCTTTCTGCCATCCTTGAATAGTCTCTTGGCCATTGCTCACTCTGTAGTAACAGTCTTTGGTCACATTGTAACAAATGTGGAAGCGTTTGCTTTCCTTCTCAGATTCTGAGGGTGTGAAGACATTTTCCTGTGTGTCCTGGGAAGAAACAAACATTAGTAACGTCAATCAAATTTATGCATCTACTCTAATGTCTTTTATGACAGATCTTAAATCAAGCAAAATCGATTACGGTCAAGCATCTCACCTCTTTAGCATTGCTTGCACCAGTTTCTCCTCGAGCTGCTCTCCAAGCCAGGGATCCTGACATGCGGCCACCCAGTTCTCCAGGTTGAGGACTTTTAGGAGAAATAAACTCCACCAGCTCCACCAGCAGCCTTTGCAACAGCTGCTGCTTTCTCTCTGCTCCTAGAAACTGCTGCCTCTTTAGGAAAGAAGTGGCAATGAGAGGTGAATTGTTTGTCTAGATTAACTATGAAGGGATCTTTAGTTTGATATAGTGATGTCACTGTAATGGCAATGTAAAAAAACATATCAGTATTCATTTTCATATAACTACTTTTGATGTCACAGCATTAATTACAACGATTATGCATGTCTTAAAGGGTTAGTTCACCCAAAATGAAAAATAAACTGTTATTAATTGATCACTTTCATGTAGTACCAATCCCCCGAAACTTTCATTCATTTATTTAATTTTAGATGAAATCCAAGAGCTCTCTCTGTAGATAGTAGTCCAGAAAGTCCAGAGATAAAAAGTCCAGAGAACCAAAAAACACTGCCAAAACATGCCACGTGACTTTAGTGATACAACTGTAATCATACAAAGCTCCAAGAACATTTTTTGTAGGCCAAAAAAAAAAAAAAGTATGTATTATACAATGTATTGTACTGTGTGCAGTAAATCACACCCCATTGCCATTAAGTCAGCAGTGCAAGATGCAAACATCATATATCATTTTAAAATTAAACAGTTTAAATTTGTATTTTTATTGGTATAGGCCTTCAACATCTGACAAAGGGACCATCGATAAATGGGACCTTTGGGTAAATTTACATTCTTGGGCAATGTTGATTAATGTACACTGTCCTTTGTTGTGGAAAAAAATTAATAAATGTAAGAAAATTATTACCTGTAGTAAATGCATTGCCTGACCTGATAGGAAGGTGTTTTACCATTTTTTGAAAGACAAAAATGTTCTTGGAGCTTTGTATGATTACAGTGGAACCACTGAAGTCACGTGTAATGTTTTTGCTTCCTTTTCTGGACTTTAAACATCTCAGGACAATTGCTGTCAGAGCTCCAGGATTTTATCTAAAATATCTTAATTCATGATCAAAATAAAATGAGATTTATTCATGAGATTTATTCACCAAGTGTGCACAAACACACAAGAAATTCTGGGTTTACTGTTTTCTACCCTTACTGATTTCTTATTTCTTTGCATGTTTGTCACACTTTAATGTTTTAAATCATCAAACAAATTTGAATATTAGGGCGTACTCACACTATGTACTGTTGCCTTGAACCGGGTCAAAGCATGCTTGTACCCCCTCCTATCTCCCCTGGCGGCCCGTACTCACAATACATTCTGGCCTGGGCACGCTTACGTCATCGATGATGCGCTATTCAGTAAGCACTTTCGCACAGCACAGTGGACATTGCTTTAGTTATATTGTTTTAGTCGTTTGATATGCAATTACACGCAGTCAAATATTTTGCCGAACAGGTCAGACACTTTTGACACTCATAAACAATCATAAAGTCCTCATGAATTAGGAGGTTTGCTGAAGGTGCAGCTGTCATGCAGTGAGGAGTTTGCGTCTTTAATAAACGACGACAGTTTGCGTTCATTGAACAGTAAGAATGATTAATTAATCCATATGAAACATTCCCGTAAAAGTTATGTCTCGCTTTCAGATTTGGGCTCAGGCACGTTTTGCACTCACACACAAGCGTGAACCGCACACTTCTTCCAACCGGGCCTGGGCCGGCCAAGTAATCCGTGCCTGAGCCCGATTCAGAGCACTCACACTTCTCAAACAATCTGGGAAACGGGCCTATATATACACACACACATAAAGATATACATATACATGGCTTTTAAGGTGGTTAATGAGGTTTATTGTGTTACTTTGGGATGTTTGGACTGAACAGGAGCAAAGACTACCTGATCAACATTGCATTCCTTGAAAAAAACACTTGCAATCTAGACGCAGTCAGCTCATGCTTGTAATGCGATATAATCCGTAAACTCTGCCCATTAAAGTAACGGCTTGGTCTTTAAACTGTAAAATCGCGACGATATTTAATTATTGATAGTGGGCCACAAATAGCTTTATCGTGTTCATAATACTATTAATCGTGCAGCCCTACCACACAGCAGGGAAAATGCTGGTTCGTGTCCCAGCTGGGTAAGTTGGCATTTCTGTGTAAAGTTTGCATGATCTCCCCATGTTGGTGTGGGTTTTCTCCGGGTGCTCCACATACCCCCCCACAGTCCAAAGACATGTGGTATAGGTTATATAAATAAACTAAATTGGCCATAGTGTATGAGTGTGTGTGCGAATGTGAGTGTGCATGAGTGTTTCCCAGTACTGGGTTGCAGCTGGAAGGGCACCTGCTGCGTAAAACATGTTGCCAGTTTAATCTGCTGTGGCGACCTCTGAAATAGCTGAAGGAAAATAAATGAATGAATAAAAGTATTTACAATAATTGGCTTTTAGGTTACAGAAACCCGACAATACGGTACTGTATTGCTTAGCCATAAGAAACAGGTAGAATTTAAATGTCCTGAAGATGAACGAAAGTCTTGGGATTAAAATGAGATGAGAGTGAGTAATTAACAATAGTATTTTTATTTTGGGGTGATCATGGCAAAATTTTGGTTCCATGGCAATCAAGGAATGAATACAGTAGAACAGTGATATCGTGTCATTTCTGTATTGCAGATTGTTAAATTTCAGTATCAATAGGTATCAAAATAATGATACTTTTGGCAAAATTACTTTGATGAGGGGATCAGAATGTGAACATACCTCAGCGTTGAGTTTGTTAAGCATATGAAGCAGCCACGTCTCCTGGACTTGTGTGCGTCTGGACAGAACCTCTGGGTGCTTACAGGAGTATCTCCACGTTACATCTGCCACCTGATCCTTGGAGAAGGCCAGGATGTAGGAGAGTTTCTTGCCCCAGCCAACTTCATACAGGAGGGGTTTATCACATGCATTCTCACAAGGGTCACAGTGTATCCAGCGGCGCTGAGACTGAGAGTACACTTCTGTCCACACGTGATCTGAAAACAGGACAATATTTTGAGTTTTTTACACAGCATCATTATGGTACAATAAAAACATCCATATTTGAACTCATTTGATGTTTGTCACATTGAACAAAAACAGAAATTTGATTATTTTGTTGATAAAAAATTAGCCAGTTTTCAGCAGCAACATTTTTCACAGACGTAAAATCACAAATAAAAAAATTAATTGTTAGGGAGTTACTATTTGTTAAGAGAGCTGATCTGAGCATCACTCCTGCCTCTCCTGATACATTATATAGGAGAATATCAGATGTGTATATTATATACATCCAATATGTCTTAAAGTGACAGCAGACAACTATATCTGATACTATATAAAGACTATGGTCCAATCCCATTTCTACCCCTTAGCCCTTCCCCTTACCCCTCGTTTTGCGCATTCACGTGAAGGGGTAGGGGTGTTCCAATTCTCTTTAGCTTAAAGGTGCAAGGTTCGGGGGAGGGGCTAGATTTACTTTCAAAAGTATACTATTCTATACTATGCGACTATGCAGCGCCACTGTTTCGATCCAAGACCAGCGACAATATGATCACAAGGTTTTCATCTTCTGGACCAGGCCGTATCCTGGGCAGCTGCTGTGGTGGTCATGGAGGGGTGGAGAGTATGAGACTGACTCCTGTGACGCTCCAGGACAGACAAGTCTTCGCTGAGGTCCAGCTTTCCAGCCTCCGGTGCCTAGACTGCAGCTCTGCACAAGACATTTGGCCAGAGGAGAAATGGTTATGCCCAACTGAGCCTGGTTTCTCTCGAGGTTTCTTAATTCTTCACTTTCGCCAATTGGTGAAGTTTTCCTCACCGCTGTCACCACTGGCTTGCATGGTTCGGGATCTGTGGAGCTGCGCATAGATTGATTTGCTCTTCAGTGTTTGGAATCTCAATAGTGATTATTAAACCACACTAAACTGAACTGAGCTAGACTGACCTGAACTTGAACATTGAAAACTGAACTACACTATTTCAATTTACTATGAACTTCTATGTGAAGCTGCTTTGACACAATCTACGTTGTAAAAGCGCTATGCAAATAAAGGTGAATTGAATTAAAAATGGAGATTTTCCAGGACCAGGATTCGAAACCAAGAGGTACCAAATTTTTTCAGAATACATCATCTACAACAGCAACATGGCTGCACACGTGAGTCAGAAGATAAATTAGTTTTTTTTTTTTTTTTTTTTTTTTACAACAAGCACATTTTAATTCACTTATTAAGTGTGACAAAGCGGCTTCCGGGTCTAAGCGCTCCATCAAACTTTATGGGGTGACTCGTCAAATGATAATAATAAAGCGCTGTAATACTTTCGAAAATCACAATCATAATATATATATCCATACCTAATATCCGATGGCCAGAAAGTGATTAATTTTTAATAATTTGCTAAAAATTTTGGTATTTGTGATGTAGCAAGCCCAGAGATGTGTGATATGACTAAAAAGCCACAAACGAATATTTTCTCAATTCAAATTAGCAGCGGCTTGGACCTGACAAGCGAATACATTCATAACAGAGTTTGTATTTTACAGTCCTGTTTTTAAAAAAAAAAAAAACAATTAAAAAAACTAAATTTCGCTATTTACCAAATAATAATAATTCCTGTAGTCCCACAACATACTTTAACATCTGTCACTCGATGACACTCGAAAACCCAGTCAGAAAAGTTTAGAAGCTGGGACTTACCTTTTTAATAGTGTCTGGTAGGCTAAAACATTAACTTTGTTTTCTTGTGGCCACGGTGTAATTATTTTGCATTTGTATTTACAAGCTTATTGCCACATTATTTCGTTATGATTATGATTTCCTGAAGATAAATACCAAAAACTAGCTGAAATAACTACAGCAGTCACCATTTGATGACGTGTGCAGGTGTTGTAATGCTGTCACATTTCTAAGAGGTAAATCTGAAACCCTTCCACTGTCTGTTTCAAGGGCCAATGCAATGGGGTAGAGGTAAAAAAAAGAATTGGCATTAGGCCTAAATCTTTATATTTTATTAAAAAAGGAGGTCAAATCCTTCACTTCACTATATATATATATATATATAAAGCAACTAAAAAAGCAATAATGCAATAAAAAGTGGTTTTAAAGGGCACCTAGTTTACCCCTTTTTCCAGATTTATTATAAATCTTTTGTGTCTCCAGAATGTGTTTGTACAGTTTCAGCTTAAAACACCCATCAGATTATTGAATATACCTCTCAGAAGTTTGTAATTTTTTGCTTTGAGCAACTTTTTTGTGAACTTTTCTTTGTGAAAGCAGTTTTTGTGAACTGTGCCTTTAATGCTAGTCTTCCTGCCCACCGTTCCCACATGCCTGTCAGTGTGCCTCAATCTTCACCCCCGGCTGCCTCAAATAACAGACAGACATGAAGGAAGCAGACTTTAGTATTTGTTTTTCCTACTAAGGGAGTAAATGGTTACAGGTTTCTAACATTTTTTCAAAATATTGTCTTTTGTGTTCACCAGAAGAAGACAACTCATAAAGGTTTGTAACCTCTTGAAGGTGAGTAAATGATGGGCAAATTTGTGTGAACTATCCCTTTAGTGCTTTTGTGAAGATATGTACCTGTGCTGTCCCAGATATATCTGGCTTCAAGGCCTAAGGCTCTGCAGAGCAGGGTGAAACAGTTGGCCCATTCCCCACAACGTCCTTTCCTGGTCTCTAGAAGCTTCTCTGGGTTATTGTACCTGCGTAATGGAAAAAGTAACGTAAATATGTTACTATGACAGAAATAACAATGTAAAAAAAATAATATATATATATATGCATGTGGCCTACAGGTTAATACCGAAACATTTATTTTTTTTTACTGGTAGATAAATCCTAAATTTGTAACGATCACAGAAAGATTGACTCTCGCGTCATTAAAATCATATGTATAAAGCATTTAGGCTTTCATGTAAAATACAATGATGACAGAAGTTGTGGTAGGTTATTCTGGATGTGGTGAATTTCATTAAAGGTGTTTTCTGTCACTACTTGTTTAGCCTGCATTAATGCATTCAGTGTAAGCTACACAATTAATCATTAAAAGATCGGGATCTTAACAGCCACTCAACATAAATTATAAATGATAGTGATTTGCATATATTTATTAATCGTTCGAATTGCTGCATTGAAATCTGTGCTTGAAAAATGCAAAAATCAAGATAGAGATTTAGTCAGATTTTTGAGTTAGTTATGAAGTTACAAACAGTCAAATAACACAGAAGTACTGGGATAACAGTTTATAGTTTAGATAAAAGCCACTAATGTTTATGGTAAAGAATAAAATTACCGTCATATGCATTTAACAACACTCAAAAAAGAAATTTGTCGGCAGCAATTACATTATTTAACCAATAGGTGGTGATAACCAGCCATCAAAAATATGCCACTGAATAATTCCTCAAAAATGACACATCAAGCAATTTTATGAGTAAATAACTGAATTATATGTAAGTATCAGTTGCACAAATGATAATGTAACATTTCAGCAAAGTAGTGGCAGTTAATTTTTCACAGTACTAAATATTTTATAATTTTTTTTCGCTGAATAATCAGCTGATTATGTCTATGTTTTGTTTTTAATAAACTTACATGTTTTAAGTTCTGTTTGTTAAAACCAGAAGTGTCTTGCAGTACTGTTTTGTAATAAATGAAAAGCAAATTACTTGTTTCCTTCCCTTTTTGCCTGATCCGAAAAATGGTCCAATTTGTGACTAAAAACCATAATGTGATCCAAACTGTGAGATTTGTGATCCATTACACCACTAAATCTAAGCTCTAGGCTAGTTTTTAACCTTACATTTTAATGTTCACGAGAAAGAGCGCTTGTGTATTTAGCTGCATCATGTATATTAACTTTTATGTCATGAGATTAATGTAATCACAGCTCAGTATGAACACTTACATGTATAAATCCTTTAAACTATTCCTACCATAATGATTATTTTAGTTTCAAGTGGTAATTGTAAGGAATTAGATGCAAGCAGAGTATGGCTGTCTGTACAGCACACAGAGCCATCTGCTGTTAAAATTCTGGAGGGTAAAAGACGTAAAAAGATGGTAAAATATGTACCCTTTAATAGAGTAGAGATTAATATGGATATAGTGATTATATCTTGTTTTTGTAATATTTTATGGTGCCTTTTAGAGGATTAACAGTCCATGGTCCCAAAAGCCTTTTGTTTTTTGTATAAAATAAACAAAAACATTTTAAAAACTTTCTGTTCCATATAGGAAAAAAAAGTCATTCAAGCATGTAACAACATGAGGGTGGGTGATTAATCCTGTTATTCCTACGTATCAATTTAACATAAAGAGTAAAAAAAAAAAAATTCCAATGATAACAAATATTCAACTACATTATAAGAGCAATTGTTGCTGAAAATGAAAAAGATGATGTACCTTGGGAATCTAGTGGAGAGTTGGCAAGTATGACAAAAGTGGTTCTCTACACGGCCTGCATCCCAGTGCAGGTCATCACTGGACGGGGAGAGGGATCCGGAAGGCTGGGTTTTACCTCCACACTGTATACATGGCAGATTATCCACCCAGGAAAAGAAGTCACTTTTGAACCACTGCAGCAGGTCAAGAACTAACATGTCTTCTTCACCTAGACTGCATGCTGAGAGTAAAATACAACACACTAACGTGAGTCAGCTTCAGATAATGTGTAGTCTTGACTTAATGGAAATAGAAGTCAGAGATGTCTTTTAATAAAAAAAAATTATTATTATAACATATGAGGCTTTAAAAGCAATTGGGATCTTTTATCTTTGAACAATTCACCTTATTCTTTGCCGACGAGTGGGCGCAGCCATTTGAATTTTTTAGGCTCGAGACTTCTGGTCTTATTCACTTCCATTCATTTTTAGACATTAAAAACTGCTCGTTTCACTGTTTGATGTTGCAAACTGATTTCTTATTACATTATTCTACATGGTCTGTAGTGTCATGCAAACATTTGTTTGTAGAGCAAGTAGTTTGACCGTTTTCTGACGTTTATTATTACTATTAATTTCTCCAATAGGCGGCTGAATCGGAAGTTCTAAAACAATTACGAAAATAGCCACACTTCCACATTTTAGAATAAGGTCAATACAACGTGTATCTTATAAAAATATTTACTGACAAACGACACATGATTTTTTTGTGTGTGTGATTTCGGAGTACATTGTGCTGTGTCTACACTCACTGGTCACTATATTAGGTACACCTGCCCAACTGCTCGTTAACGCAAATTTCTAATCAGCCAATCACATGGCAGCAATTCAATGTATTTAGGCATGTAGACATGGTCAAAAAGATCTGCTGCAGTTCAAACCGAGCATCAGAATGGGAAAGAAAGGTCATTTCAGTGACTTTGAGCATGGCACAACCATGGACTCTTGGATTCAAAGAATAGTGCAAAAAAGAGAAAATATCCAGTGAGCAGTAGTTCTGTGGGCACAAATGCCTTGTTGATGCCAGAGGTCAAAGGAGAATGGCCAGAATGGTTCCAGCTGATAGAAAGGCTACAGTAACTCTCGTTACAACCGAGGTATGGAGAAGATTATCTCTGAATGCACAACAAGTCCAGCATTGAGGCAGATGGGCTACAGAAACATAAGGCCACACCGGGTAACAATCCTGTCAGCTAAGAACTGGAAACTGAGGATACAATTCACACAGGCTCAGCAAACTTAGACAATAGAAGATTGTAAAAACGTTGCCTGGTCTGATGAATTTTGATTTCTGCTGCAACATTTGGATGGTAGGGTCAGAACTTGGCATTAACAACATGAATGCGTGGATCCATTTGCTTTTGCATCGACAGGCTGTTGGTGGTGATGTAATGGTGTAGGGGATATTTTCTTAAAACACTTTAGGCCCATAAGTACAAACGAAGCATTGTGTCAACGCCACAGCCTACATGTGTATTTTTGCTGAGCATGTCCATCCCTTTATGACCAGTGTACACATCTTCTGATGGCTTCTTCCAGCAGAATGTCATAAAGCGCTAACCATCTCAGTCTGGTTTTGAACATGACAATGAGTTCACTGTACTCAAATGGCCTCCACACTCACCAGATCTCAATCCAATAAAGCACCTATTGGATGTGGTGAAACAGGAGATTTGCATCACGAATGTGTAGCCGAAAAAAATACGCAGCAACTGCGTGATGCTATAATGTCAATATGAACCAAAATCTCAGAGGAATATTTGCAGTACCTGGCCTAACTCGATACTAGTATGGTGTACCTAATTAAGTGCTCAGTGAGAGTGTGTGTGTATATATATATATATAAATAGATATGTGTGTGTGTGTGGAAGAGTGTTAAGCTGTTTTTATGCATCCTAGCAGAGCTCATTAATATTCATAACCATTCCAAATAAGGTCAAAACCAAGCTTCACCTATTTTTCCTATTCGATTGGCAATTCCTTTAGTTATAAATGAGCATATTTACGGAGAACCATTTATGGACAACCATTAATGTAGAATTTTTTAACTTAACAAAGGCCCATACCAACTATGTTGATATCAGAGAACAATTTAACACATTTAATCAATGCAATCTATGGCCTTAAAGAATATCGAAAAGTATTTATATAAAATTGCCAAACTAACATAAAAAATAAATAGTTAGATATAAATAGGTAGGCAGGTACTAGTACTGGTCAGACAGATAAACTTACTAACCTGCATCTGCATCATTGGCTTGTTTCAGTCGTTCTTTAGCCCTGGACCTGAGCAGTTCATGAGGTATGCATTCCAGAGCTTTCTGCTGTAATTCAGGATCCTCATACACTAACACATGTTGAAAGTTTGACTGTACTGTTCTTTGGAATGTAGCACTGCTTGACTAACAGCAAAAAACAAAAACATAGAGGTAAAATTAGTGTAGAAAAGCCAAGGAACAAAACAAGTACAGTTATTAATTCCAATTATTAATTTATCATTTTATTTGGTAGTACAAAAACCTCCTAAAGTAGTATCGAATTTATGATATCATCCTGAATAAATAAAAGCGAACAGGATCTTAAATCAAATATTAAACAATGCAAATCTCACAGTGAATGGTATAGAAGCAGGTGCAGGTGTAGGGACGGCAGCAGCAGCAGGGCCTGCAGAAGCAGTGGAGGATAGTGATGGTGGAGGTGCAGGAACTGGAGGAACGCTGGCATTCTGTGGACTGGACGCAGTATTGCTCGCACCAAGTCTCTGGTCTCTCTCAGCAGCGATCGTCTCCCGCACCTGCCTCAGCTTCTCCACAGATGCTGACCTCGGAAACACCAGGTGGGTTTCAGCCTGAGAGGAATGAATAGAAATATCAATTCTGACATAAGATGACGCCTTGATGGCGATATTGAAGACTTTAAAGACACATTGAAGACTTTAATGTTATATGTTCAGAAAAGTATTTTTGCAAATTATAAAAAAGGAGATCATATTAGCAGCCAAAGACCAACATTGTTTACAGTAAAATAAACAGTGCTAATGTTATTTTGAAGTCATACTTGCATGCTATTTCTGACCAAATATTCAAAGTAGCGTAGTAAACAATATAGGGCAGGGCTAAACAATAAAGACTGCTTGATGGCCCGGGGTCAGTGTGCGAGATAATCGGGACAGTAGACAGGATTATTTCTGGCCTGATTGGACCAGTGCTGCTACGTCACTAAAGTTTTATTTGTCTGCGACTATTTGTCAATTGCATCCAAATACATCGAGAAACAGTTTGTGCTTTTAAGCATTTAAACACTACATTCTCTGTGATGTCGTAAAACACCATATTGCTTTTCAGGTTCTCTCATCTGATTGGATGTTGTGAGCATGTTGTTTTTTTCAATAACCGGGTAACAACAGTACAGTGAAAAGGAGTTGACATACAATTATAAGGCTAAAAGAAAACGTCTGTTTCTAATGTCTTGGAAGCAGACATTTATGTGGGTACAACATAGGGCTGGGCGATTTGACAAAAATGCAATCTTGATAATTATTGTCCATATTGAATGATAACAATATATATTTTAAAGCTGTTAATGCTTCCAGATTTAAAATATTATCCCAACAATGACTAAAGCCACAAAAATTAGAGAGTCTATTAAATGGTATGACATATTTTCGGCCGATAAATTTTCGTGGCCAAAAATTTAGTACATCTCTAATATCAACACACTTTAGATTCTCATTGTCGCACAATTATTTTTTGTGGTGTGATTGGCTCTTAGATCAATATAGAGTAAAAAAGTCCAGAGCTTATTACTGTTAATGACATACATTTTATCACCCAGCCCTAGAACAACATGAACAACATAAAATTTATGTGAAGTGATGTTTTGCACACTTAGCCATCAGTTTGGCGAATTTGGCCACCTTTTGTTAAATAATTTTGAATGACAATAAAACACCTGCACATTTTCCATACTGCTCTTTCTGTTTGCAAAACACTTTGAATTTTGCTTATTATACATGTATTTTGAAAATATTTGCATTTTAGATTCGCAGACATTATTTTTGACACATTATTTAAAACATGTGACCAAGAAATAGCAATAAACTTTTTTTTTTGAGAAGACATCACATTAAGCGTTTTCTACCCCACTGAAGTCTATCAGAAGGTTTCTTAATGTGGCTCAATGTTCCTTAACAACAAGTGTAGGGAAACCACATTTCTATCGAATTTTACTTGTGATTCACACTGACTTTGATTTTATAAACAGCTTTTTTAACATTTGGTTTTCCTCGTATGTTGTAAAATTTTGTTAAGCCTTTCCTTCTTATGGACTTCAATGCGGGAGAAAATGCTTAATGTGATATTGTTCACTTTTTCAATAGAATTAGGGCCCGTTCTTTTGACAATAGTTAGTGCTAATCACAAGTAAAGTTTGACAGAAATATGGGTTTTCCTGGTCTGTGTTAAAATACGTTAAGCTGTTTCCTTGAAATGGACCTCTCTAGAGAAAAAGCTTAAAGTGATATTGTTCACTTGATACACTTAAATAAAAGCTTGTTCTTTTAACAGCAGAAAGTGTTTGAGTTTCTTTTTTATAGAAATTTGATTGTCTCAGAATTTTGTTAAGTTATACCACATCAAGCTCTTATGATGAACTTCAATGTGGAAAAAACATTTAATGTCACATTGTTCATCCACCAAATCAGGGCTTTTGCTAGTAGTTGGTGTTAAATACAAGAACAATTTCATAGATTTTTAGTGTGCCCAATTTGTGGAGGTACATTCAGCCATGTTAAGTTTTTGTCTTTTATAATAGACTGAAAACCCATAAAGTAAAAATTTTAACTCACTAAAACTAGAGCTCATTCTTTTGACATCAGAAAATGTTTGTCACAAGTAAAATTTGAGGGAAATGTTATTTTCCCTGTTTGTTATTTAGGTACATTAAGCTATGTTAGCTTTTCTCTTCTCAAAGGGGGAGAAAACACTTAAAGTGATGTTTTTCTACTTTAAATACAAGAAAAGTTTTACAGAAATTTGGGTTTCCCTGGTTGATGTTTAGGTATGTTAAGCCACGTTAAGTTTTTCACCCTAAGCATTTTAGAATATTCCACTTTAGATGTGGAAATGGGGCTCATTCATTTACTGGTAGTTCATGTGAATTACAAGCAAAAAAAATTTTTTATTTGGTTTCCCCCACTTGTTGTTATACTACTTAAACCCACATTAAGCTTTTTCCTTCTAATAGACTTCAATGGGGGGAAAACGCTTAACTGGATGTTTTTCATTTTATCTATGGAATTGGGAATTGTTCTTTTTTACAGTAGTTAGGGTTAATTACAAGTAAAGTTTGACAAAATATGGGTTTCTCTGGTTTATGTTTAGGTACATTAAGCTACGTTAAGCTTTTTTCATGTTAAGTGTTTTAGAAAGTCCACTCAGACATTTAATCACCAACCTCCTCAAATCCCATCTCAAAGAGACATTCAACTGCTCCTTTTACAGGCAGAAGCTTGGTGGAGAATGTTGGGTTTCCAATACGAATTGATCTGTACTTCTCCTCATTTGGGTTCCTGAAAAATACACATACAAGATGAATCAAGTAAGAAATTACACAATAACAATAATAGAACTATTGGTAGGTTAGCGCCAAATTCAATATAAATTGTCTAGGGATAAAGGAAATAGGAAAGTGTTATAGTCTGCATAAGACATAAGAATCTATCATAACCAGCAGTGAAGCAAACAACATTCCACCCGGCAGACTGCAATGTCCTCCAAACAGCTCACTTAACGTTACCTTAGGATGTTGTCCGCGTATGTAATGAGCAATTTAGAGACGTCCAAAAACACTTCCGTGGTATTTTCGCACAAAGCAAGGACTCCTTGAGAGCCAGGCATGATTATACGTTAAACTTACTGTATAAGTTACAGTAAAAACATCCGTGAGACAACACGGAAACGAGTTTCCCCTAAAGTTGCCTATACGTAGCTGTCCGTTCTGTGCCTGGTAGATTTTGTCTAGAAAATCATTTTGATGATTACGTTGAATTTTTTTTTTTCCACAGGATCATACGATTTAAACCTGTTAAGAACACGTTTCGGCAGAAATGAACAGCCTTAATTTTAACATAAATGGACAGGCGGCGGCACCAGAGACAAAAATTATGGCATAATAAAAGTCGTTTAAAAGCCCTTATTAATTCAAACATTCAGTTTATTATAATTTAATGTTGGCATGTGGGCTTAAAAATGTAATATTATATCAAACTTCAAGATAAGGCGTATATTACACAGTATATAATCATTAATTTATTTTCTTTTCGGCTTAGTCCCTTTATCATTCTGGGGTCGCCACAGCAGAATGAACAATATATAATCATGTTATTTTATACAATTATTATAAAATTAAAAATTGTGAGTTGCATTGCTACATTTTTAAACAAAAGCAAACAAAAAATTACACATTATGATTATAGGTTATGTTCAAGGATGTCGTTTTTAAAATCGTAAATTGAATTTCACTAAAATAAAAAATTGGTCATTTAAATAATAATAATAAATAATAATAAAAATAATACATATATATACAATTAAAAGCTTATTAAATAAATCATACAACCAACAACTTTTAATTATATTTATACAATATTTTATTGTAAAAAATGATGAGAAAAACTGACAAAATATGTCAGTTCTGTTTATATGTATGCCATTCTTAACAAGTATCGACTCTGCTCTTATTTTATAAGATTTCATCGACTTAAGATCAACATAAGAAACTGATTCGCTACACATTCTCTCCTAAATGCTGATCTCAGATCTGTTTTATTACTGTGAGCGAGTTCTGCGTCTTCTTGTTCCGGCGGCCAATAAGGCGCGAAGTAATCAAGCGGGGGAGCCTTTCCATTACGCCGAGGTCACTGTAAGTTTAAAAACGCTTTATACAGCAATAATATTATAAACTTCATGATATCAATAATGTCTATCGAGCGTAACATTACGTTCATTAAACTTTGCTATCAAACAACTTATTCTCGGTGTTTGTTTGCAGCGTCGGCTACACGTGGAATTTCTGTCCTTTCAAACTTGAGCAGGAGTTTCATAAGCTGAAAAACAATGGCAGAAAAACCGATATGGGAGCAAATCGGCAGTGGATTTGTCCAGCATTATTATCATCAGTTTGATACAGACCGCGTGAAGCTCGCCGACTTGTATGTAAGTGGATAATTGTCAATTAAACTGTCAGTAAACACCGTGAACCGAGTTTTTGTTCTATTAATAATAAGGGTTTGTTTGTCGTCAATGTGCTTTATCCGGGTTTTATCACTTGTAACTGATTATAATATTGGCTTTTTTCTTCTGAAGACTGACGCTTCCTGTTTGACGTGGGAGGGTGAAGGATTTCAAGGGAAGAATGCCATCATGACCAAACTAAATGTAAGTTGGCTTATTTCACACCAGTTATAACTGCCGTGTTCAAAAATTGTCTGAAGTTTAATTGGATCCCATTGGGATTTTGCATATTTGCAGAGCCTCCCTTTTCAGACCATTCAACACAGCATCACAGCTCAGGATCATCATCCAACACCAGACAACTGCGTCATGAGTATGGTCATGGGCCAGCTCAAAGTAAGATATTATGATAGATTGCGTATTTTATATGAGTAATTTAGTGGAAAGGGCCCGTTTAGAATTTTTTAAAGCCATGTCTTATGCGGACTTCACATCAGGACTGGGCGATATGTAGGGACAGAATCTCCTGACATTTTTTGCTATTTCTGCTGAGAATTTTGTTTAAAAAATCTGCAGGTTTATGCAGAATGATTTTAGGAGTATCGTAACAAAAAACTTTATTCATGAAATAAAATTTTTTTTTTTAACTTTAATGTTAATATGCAAATCCAATTGAATCCACTTATTTGGTAAACAAAAGCAAGTCTCTCATGTAATATATCTACTTAAATACAGAAATTATTACTTTACAAACTGTATTGTAAATAAATCATGAACATTTTCATATTACTATTATTATACAACAATAATTATAGTAATATTAATAAAAAAACTGAATAAATATAAATTTACACAGGTAAATGCATAGACTCAATGATGGGCTAAAAATCTTCGAAATTCTGTGCTGTCAGATTTCATGTGGACCTAGGGGTATGGTAAAAATGCAATATCAAGCATTCTTTTCCATAACGAACGATAATATATGTTTTGATATAAATTGCTTAAAGTTTTAAAAAATACTCCGACAGTCAAATAATTCTCAGGAGCTGGAAATCAGAAGACGCCTCTTACCTTCAATATTGGGCAGTGGAACTTGCTAGAGTGGCTGCATTTGAAAAATGTCTTATAAGTAGGCCCACGCGGAATCTGCACACACAGAAATCCACAGATTTTTTTGCTAATGATTTTTTTTTTTTTTTACTTTTTATGTTTCTTTAGTTTTAAATAAATATCAGTAATAATATTGACTATTATGGAAATGTTTTAATGATTTATTTACAATACAGTTAAGTAACATGTTCTGTCGTTTAGTAGAGATATTATGAGATATTATATGAAAGACTTGCTTAGTTTATGAAATAAGTGGATATAATTGGATTCGCATTGTAAACATTTAATTAAATAAATAACTTGATTATTTATTAAGTTAAAAACATATTTTTTATTTCATATATTAAGTTTTTAGTCACAATATTCCAATGATCATTCGACATAGATTTTTTTGAAAAATTCTGTGGAGAAATAGCAAAAAATGTCTGCAGATTTTGTCTGGCCCTACTTATAAGCAAATGGACAAGTTAAACCTATACTATAAAAAAATGGTACAAGTACTTAACCTGTTTGGAAATGGAACAGTAATAAATGTATAAGAAATACCGATTGTGACAGTGTAAATGGGATATGTTATTGACTGAATTTACCTATTCATTTTATTTGTATTTCATTTTAATTTTCTCCTTATTGTATAAAGATGAAGGCTTTAATGTTATTTAATGATAGCCAAGTGGGTACATTAAAGTTGTTGTTAGGGATTAGTTTTTGTTGGGTTAGTTAATAGGGTAAAATGTTGATTCAGTATCCCATTCTGAAATTTGCCTGAGAATCAATAAAACTGTTAATCACAAAAAAACATCCCAAAAATGACTGAAGCCACAAAAATTTGAAGATTCATTAAAATAAAATTTGAAAATATTATTTATTAACAAAAACAGGCTTTCCCAGGGATAGGTTGCGGCTGGAAGGGCATCCGTTGCGTAAAAACTTGCTGGATAAGTTGGCGGTTCATTACGCTGTGGCGACCCTGGATTAATAAAGGGACTAAGTCGACAAGAAAATGAATGACTGAATAAACAAAAACAGATGACATGATTTTTGCAGTTTCCACATGTCTATGATATACTTATGATTTTACAATATAAAATATTATATTCTGAATAACTGTTATTTACAGCATATAAACAAACAAATTTTTATTGCATTTAAAAAAAATAGTTTTAAGATAAATTAAAATTGTAAACTGTTTTCCCCAATCTGCAACAAACTGCAAATGTGTTGTTTTTCACTAACTAACTTTTTAGATTATAATATTATAGATTATAACTTTTTAGATTATATATGCTGAGAAAGGTTTGATTAATATGTGAAGTTTTGTAATATTTTATAAATGCTTATTTTTGGATATCTTTTTCTAGGAAGGCATTTGCTGACAACTTAAACCTGACCTATTCTCTCTCTCTCTTTCTCTACATATTTTAGTTTGAAAGAAAATAAATCAACAATGTCTTTAATGACATTTTAAACCTGATAGTATTCAGTCAGTCAAAATTCTTGCTGTTAGTTTACGTGGAGCAGTGAGTCAGTGTGTTTTTCACTTCTGCTGCTCGACAGTTGAGAGGTGAGGCAGCTCTTCCCTGTAATTCACCTTCCCTCATGAGGAGCGCATGCTCTGTTTGGAGTTTATAATGTCTGGATCAGCTTGAATGGCTGTATGAGAGTACACAAAATTAAATCGCTCAGGTGGTCATGGTGACAAATCTGGAAAAAGTGGCACTTTAATACACTGAAGAACATCCACAGCTAAACGATACTGGTTGACACAGCATAACCTAATATCAGCTCTTATTTTTGGCCAAAAAATTTCAGCAGCTGAAAATTCAGTGCATCTCTAATATCAATACAATTATTGATTTTTGTTGTAGCAAAGTTCTGCTATGTGATTGGCTGCTAGATAGGGCTGTGCAATTTAATCGAATCGCGATTTGAAATGCGATTAGCTAATCGCAAGAGGCTATATATATATATATATATATATATATATATATATATATATATATATATATATATATATATATATATATATATATATTACTAGAGCAAATGTGTGACTACCGTCCGTGTGTGACAGTCTTACTAGAAAATTGAGTAAACAAATCGAACTAAGTGGAATGCCCACAATAAAACAAACAAGACAAGTGGGTTGATGGTGAAAGATTTGTTTAATTTCTGAATATTTAAAAACTAATTTTGAATAAAAGTTGGAGTAAATTAATCTTTTCACGTCTTTTTTTAAACTTAGACTCAATGCATTTTAGCTGTAAAAGGCTTCAATCCAGAACAAACAAAATCCTAATATCTGTAAAAAAATAAAATAAAAAATCACAATTATATATTTACCCCAAATTGCACAGCCCTACTGTTAAATTAATATTGAGTAAACATATCCAGAGCTTATCATAGTTATCAATATAAATCGTATCGTGACTTAATATGATTTTTTCAACCCAACCCTTCACGTTGTCAGACATTTCTTACTTCTGAAGTTGTATGTTTGTGTTTTTTTTTTTTTTTTGCGCGATTAAAGAATCAACAATCGCTGAGCTCTCCAAGATCATTTTTGCTTTTTATTGGTGAAATAGGGTATATGCCCACAGACATTTAATTTCAGTTAGCCAGCTATATGGCTTCCGGTTAACTTCCATTCTATCCATGTTTTTAAAATATGGAAATTAATTTTACTTTTTGATTGGAATTGGGTTTCTCATATAGCCTAGTGTTTTGATGATCGATTTGTTGTTTTTTAATTTTTACTATTATTATTATTATTTTATTATTTACATTTTTACAATCAATTAAATGTTGACTATTACGCTTTATAGAATGTACATTTAAGTAAAATGTAAATGTGACCGTGTGAACAACATTTATATTAATACATTATATTTATATTAATTCTGATATTAGTATTTTCTTTATAATATATTATGACTGTTATTTTTAATAAAATAATTTGACAACTCTTATTTATGATGATTCTAATGCTGTTCACACCAGACGCGTAACGCGCGGATAAATTGCGCTATTCGTGCGTAAATAGCCGCGTGAACATTTGAGTTTACTCGCTTCATTCGCGCGTCAAACCACACTTCTTTAGCGTGTCAAATTCACTTCAGAACAGACGCGAATTCGTGTGATGGGCAGGGCTTCTGTCTGCCTGAAGACTCTAGGTTCATAGCTACAGTAAATGGCTAACATGGATTTTATGAAGACAATAACAGTGTTTATGTGCTTTATGAAGACTGAAAAACAGCGTTGATACGTTTAGGGTCGTGTCTGAGTCCACTACATCCTTTCAGAGGTGCATCCAGCTCTGTGAGCTCATAAACTCCTCCAGAAACTTAACCTGGATGACGGAGGCTTTCAGCGGTGCTTCTGACTGAGCCAAGCCGAGTTTGATGAACTGTTGAAGGCTGGAGGATTTCCCTCGGGACACCGATAACAGGTTCTACGTCAAAATCACGCCCCCACAAGAGCAAGCTTCTGATTGATTAACGCGGCGCGAATGTACGCTAAAATTCAGATTTTCGAACTCAAGAGATTCGTGTGGAACGCTCGTTAAGCGCGTCAAACGCGCAAAACGCTCCATTCGCCCTGCGCCATTCGCGCAAGTTGCATCATTCGCGCCGAGCCTTTCACGTGTATCGTGCCGCAGCATGTCTATTCGCGTGTTTGCATTGACTTAACATGTAAATCACTCGCGCTTGATGCGCGTTCTGCGTCTGGTGTGAACACAGCATAACGGCATTTAAAGAAACCAGTGATAAGCAGGCTGTAAAACAAAATAAAAATGAATATTGATATTGTATTTGTTTTGATTTTACAGGCTGATCAGGACCAAGTTATGGGCTTCCAGCAAGTCTTCTTGTTGAAGAATTTGGATAACAAATGGGTCTGCACCAATGACATGTTCCGATTAGCTCTTCATAATTTTGGAGCATAATATGAAATATTATGTTCATGCAACTTTTGTATCTGGAGTGCGGGGTCATGGTTCACATTCCAAACTGTTTTCATCCAATTTTTCCAAGGATCTTGAAGGTTTCTGATCATCTCCAGATAAGAAAAGGACATGTTAAAAACTGATTATAGTAATCAAATTTTGTATGTTGTGGCATGCACTGGTTGACAATAACTTCAGTTTGGTAATAAATCTGTTCAACCCATCTGTCAGTGCATACATATGTTTTGTTATTTTAGGGAATATGTTGATTTGAATATGTTGATGATGATCTTCTACATAATAATAAGATATATTGCTTTATTGACAAAGGCCATGAGGTGATAAACTGTCAGGGGAAAACATGATCCAACTAGATTGTAGTCATTCTGCATATTATACCTCAAATATAATTTTACGTGAAGATTAAAAATGAGCACAATTGGCAGTGACAGATACACACTGAGTCATCTAAAACAAACAGCTCTGGTCCTGAATCACGATATGGCAATGAAGTTGTAATTTCAAAGGAAGAAACCAAAAATAATGTTTATATGAATGTTTTGCATAACAAGACTTAGTCCAACAATTTCCATGTGAAACAATTCCATATCAAAATAATTAAAAGACAATAAATAGCTATTTTTTTTTTTTTAGAATTGCTGTCTCTTTCTGTCCAAGATGCAATTTGTTTGTTTTATTTGCAAAGTATATTGGAGGACACTGCAAATTTTTTTTAGGCCTAGGTTTTTCTTCTTGTTATAGTACAGTATTTATTTTCAAATTTATTACCTTACACGAATTTTATTTAGGTTTATTTTTACCTCTAAAATTAGATCATTTTTATATTAATTTTAATATATATATATATATATATATATATATATATATATATATATATATATATATATATATATATATATGCTCCCTTGCTGCCCCCTGGGGTTCTCCGGAGCCCAGTTTCGAAACCCCTTGAATAATGCATGTTTACATTGCGCTAAGGGGTCAATTTGTTATGATTATTTCAATGGTTAAGCAATTATCGTCACTAAAGTTTGTTTTGTAACATCAAAACAAGACACTTCAAGTGCTAACATTTCTGCATCAGACATTATTAAATGTTACTTAATAAAACATGCACTGTGAGATTACTGTAACTTTTATTCATGAGGTGACACTTATTGTATTTTAATGACATTGTCAATTATTATGAAAATTTGGGTCCACAAATTAATATTTATTCAAGTACTTGTGATTTTATAAATTTATCTTTTTTGAAATTAATTCTTAAGCATTACATAGTGAGTGAGTTAAATGTCATAAATAAATCGCAAAATTGCGAATTTCGAAAATTTAATTTTCTAAAAAAATATATTTTTTTCAGTTTTCATCACGTTTGACATGCCAGCCTCTACATCACTCCGCTCAAATTGTAAAAAAAAAATCAATCTATAAACAAACCTAATAAATAGATGCGTTAATTGCGTCAATACTAAAATTCGTTAATAATTGTGCGATGCATGTTACGATGATCATAATTATTATTTAAAATGTTATCGAATCTAGTAAAATCCCACTTAAAACTTGCAAACGTGACTTAAATTTTTTTTAAATTACATTTTCGAACAAAAAAAGCGACTATCGTGTTGATCAAACCGTTCATTAAGACTAAAAAAAACTTCCAATGTTATGTCTGATGGAACTGTTGGTCATGACATAAAATCAAAAATGGATCATCAGAAATTTCATGCACCGTAAATGCCAAGCAATTTTTTTATATGCCTTAGCTAGTATTATTACTTGCTGGTCACCCATTGGATGAAGACTAGTGGTGTGAGATGACTTCAGCAACAAGACCCCTCCCATCTTGTGCAGTTGCTCAGCAACCAGCTCATTGTTCAAGGTGCCATCTAGTGGCTCTACATGTGAATTACAAGAAACCGCGCCCTCTAGTGGCCAGACCTCTTGAATGAAAATGCCTTATCATGATGAATACATGAAACATAGAAAGTAACCACAACCTGACTAAGTCTCAACTTAAAAGTTGATTATGCTTCCCCACGTGGTTACAACTGAGAACCAGCAGAAGTCATACAAAAGAAAGTTTTGGCATGTCAAGCCTGCTTAAATCCGATTGGTCAGGCTCGCAGTATGATAATTACCCTCTTGACGTCACTTCCCAGTTGTTCAATGCGCCATTTTCTCGACTCTAAACGGCAAGCACAATAAATGGGTCCTACTTCCAAATTTTAATAAATACAATTAATAGCTGATTTCCATAACTGAGAGCACAGACTTCTTGTTGGAACATCCTTACATCGTCTCATCATCCTAACTCGTCGGTTCTGGCAGACACGCGGATTGGTGAAAGTAGGTAAATCTCCCTGGGTCGGTGTGTGGCGCCGAAAAAAGCTAATGTCCTCACAATTAGATAGCGGCGAGAACATTAGCTTTTTCGTTCAGTTGTCGCGCGGTCGGTGTGATCAGGAAGTAGAACGAAGTGCATTAGCCGAGTGCTCTGAAGAGGTTACTTCATGACATCACTGCGCTATTTGGAATCTTGCTTTCTAGAAGGGAGTCTTTTTTCCTGCAATGTGAAATCGCTCTTGTCGGTTTTTTTCTATCGATGCGGCGCTCTTGGAATATTATTTTCGCCCGGCTATAGAGTTACACTGGACGCTATTGTTTGGAAATTTCCGTGTGCTTTTGGCGGCGGGGTTTTATACGTTTGGGCAGCGGTCGCAGTTAATGCTTGCAATAAATAAATAATTACAGCTCGAATTGGATATGCTTTTGGGCACATTTAGATCATGGAAGTGCAGTCATTTGCAGTTAGGATTAGTTTATTTTAATCGATGCAGAATCGAAATTTGTCATTTTTATCCTGCATTTGTGCCCAATATCTGACATGTAGCACAAAATGATTTTTCCACATGTTCGGTAATACAAAGCTGTTCTCGGTATGCAATAATTAGCTAACGTTAGCCTTGCTATTGAATTCACCAGATTGTGTTGAAAGCGCTACACATTCAACAGGCAGAGATGATGAATATATGTGGTCAAAAATATATATATATAAATAAATAAAACAAACACTTAATGTTTCTTTACCTTTCATCACTAGCATGCACATTTTTATAATGCTAGGATCTCATGTTTGTTTTTGAGCAATGGAGATGGGATGTTAAATCAGCCTCATAAGTCAAAAGTGAAAACAAGCATCGTATTTATAATTGTATAAGAGTTGAACTTCGAGGGAAAATGTCCCTAAGATCTGTTTAATTTTATTTTTGTGACAGACTTATATACTTGAAATTAAAACATGCTTATCTGTTCCTGAATTATGCAAGCTGAATGCATACTTAGGGATAAGGCTAATAATAGATATGCTTTTATCTATATATTTCAATGTATCATATTATATGCACATTATGCTATTATACTGTTACACTTACCACAGCTAATTATGATACTATAATGGGGTTACATATATTGTACATATATACATTTATTTGCTTGGAATACATTTTAAAAACTTTGAAAACGTCTGCGCATGTGCTTGACCCTGCATTCATATAGATGCACAGATTGCAATCTGTGCATGTGTTTAAATTAGTTTACTTATGTATAATAATGAGAAAGATTACATTAATTGAAATAAGTTCACCAAAAAAAAAATCAAATAACTTTTTATTGTACGTGTACTATGAGGAGTGAAAAGCTTAAGTGCTGGCTCCAGACAGTGCAAAATACAACATATTCCCAAAAAACAAAAACAATATACAATTAGCAGTGTTGACAGTAATGCATTTAAGACAATGAATAGGTGTACAGATAGTCTGACTGTTGATGGAAAATTGTTGTAGGCAATATTGTTTTAAGTAACGATTGGTTAAAGTGTAGTGCATGCTATGTCTTGAAAATACTACCTATTTACTCATCTTTGAGAAGTTCCTGACCTTTGAGTTTCACTATTATGCTGAACGCAAAATAATTTATTTTGAAGAAAGCTGAAAATCTGTAAGCTTTGACTTCCAAAGTAAAAAAAAAGCACATGTCATAGAAGTCAATGATTTTCAGCATTCTTCAGTATGTATTCCTTTGTGTTATGTATTCCTCCTGCTAAAGCAGGTTTTTAACAAGTGAAGATGACAGTGAATTTGTCACGTGAAATGATTTTCCAGGTTGGAATAAACTGTCCTATTTTTTTTCTTTCTTTCTTGAGTATCCTAATTATTAGCAAAAGCAATTCAGGCTTTGTTCACACATGCCCATTCACCTGATTTATTTATTTAAATCTGGACTGAATGTACACACTGTTATGCACTGATTGTATTTTGATCCTCACTGTACACTGCAATCGTTCAGGATCTTGTATATATATCCATGCTGGTTTCTATAGAAATTGTATATAGGTTGGTGTCAGCTTTGTGCTCTACAGACACACACAGTGACAAGCAGTAAACCACTGCAGGTTAGTTGAGCTGATAGTGGCATATCCCTACCAACATTCAAAACTACTTCATTTTTCTTTACAATAATCTTGGTCGAACAGTACAAATGGTTTCCATTTATAGTGTCTTGTTTTTATATAAATAGTTTCCAGGCTAAAATGTCTTTCCAAAATGTATTTATTTAGTTAGTTTATGAATGGTTGTGTGTTTAGACCTAGCTAGCTAGCAATTCCAAATAGTTAAAAACAACCTGAGCAAACAGAGTAGAAAATTGGTTTACATTTTTTTTGTGTAATAATATTATAATACTACGGAGTATTTATTGTAGTACTGTATAATTAGGCTAGATGATTTTAATAATCGTCTATAGATAATTATAAGATTCACAGAATAATGAAATATAATGACATATAAATCTCTTTCAGGTGTTGCACCATGTACCAGTTTCCAGTAAAAGGTTTGGAGAAGATCCGCAGAACAAGGCGAAAAGTAAAAAATATTCTTGGAGAATTTGGACTTGAAGCATGTCTTAATCTGGGCCAAGTATGTTTTCTTTTAGTAATGCAGATGCATTCACATATGAATGACAAATCTAATTTCAATGTGAAACAAAATACTGAAATTTACACACATCTCCCCATTTTGTTTATCAGGAACTCCAGGAATATTACCCAGGAGACAATATTTTTGATGCTACAGACTGGTGCAATTTGTCAGATGGGTTTGATGGCCGATGGAGAAAGAAGGTAAATTATAAATTTCGTAAATGAACTTTGTTTTTACAAAGCAATACATTTAAATATTAAACATCTCTAAATGTTGTGTTCAAACTGGCTGAAATTCTAAGCAAGAATTTTCCATCCTCAGTGGGAATATCGGACACAAGGATTGTGCTGCACTTTGTGTAATTTCTCCACAAGGTCTTGGCATACATACAAAACCCATGTTCAGCGCTACCACGATGAAGAAGAGCACATGTGCAAGCTTGCAGCCTGTGCTTCCTGCCCGTTTATAGCCCACCCCAGATTGGTCTGCAAGCATCTCAAGTTGTTCCACAATGAAGATACAAAGTCAGAAACATCTGCAGCCCCACAGCTGCCTCCAAGAGCTGTGAATGGCACCACATTTCAGTGCCGAAGATGTCATATACAAGATACTCTTTTGTACAGCGTGAAAAAGCATGTTCTTCTATATCACTACACTTCCACATTAAATAAATATGCTGGTCAAAGAACGGAGCAGGAACTTGTGGCCCTAGGAGACCGGTCTCAGAAGTTCTACTGCAAAAAGTGTTACATATCGGCGGAGTCATCCGAACACTTGCTGTACCATCTTCTGACCTCAGATAAGCACAAGGAACTGGATGTGCATATCAGATCTTTAATTTTTGAAACCGATAATAAGAAACAGTTCCCAGCACTTGCACCAAAAGCACAAGGGCCTTCTCCTGTCATGATGATGAAAGATCAGCCAGCCGCGACTGCCACATTGGCCGCTGGTGGAATTACAGGAGTGGAAAATGGTGGTTCTGCAGTCATTGCTACTCCTGGAACCAGCCAGGCATTTCTTCCAACTCAAGCTTCTGCTCTTGTTCAGCTTGCTAGTGCTGAAGCAAAGGGTTTACTGAGGCCTGGAGTCCCAATGGGTTTTCAGAACACCCAAATGCCCAGACCTGCTCTACCTCCTCCTCCTAACAGCATTCCTCCAAACCAGATGCCTGTCAGAGTAGGCCTACCTAACCAGGCACAACTACAACCAGTTTCACGCCAAATTGTCCTACCACCAGGTGTTCGGCTTAACGTACCTGGTGTTAGGCCACCAACTCCTCAGTCCTTTTCTGCTAATCCAAGGCTTCCTCTAAATCAGCCACCCTCTGGAGGAACCATGCTAACTTCTCAATCTCTTTTGAGCCACTTGATCCCCACTGGCAACAAAGTCGACGGCTTGCCCACCTACACACTTGCACCTTTGCAGGTCCTGTCAGTCCAGGCAAATAACTCCCAAGGAGTCAGCAAACCACAATTGCCTCCATCCCAGAACAATCCAGCTGCTCAGCAAAACAAACAAAGCAGCGGCTTATCGACCCCCAAGCAAACCAAGAAGTGGATCACATGCCCTATTTGTAATGAACTCTTCCCATCTGATATCTACGAGTCCCATCCAGAGGTTCACAAAGAGGCAGCTAAATTGCCCAAGGTTGGCCTTGCTGCTCGTGCTCCATTTTTGAAAAAGATGCCAGACAAGACGGTGAAATGCCTGACATGCAAGATCCTGATTTCGGAAAAGGGTGTCTTTGAGCACCTGCTTCATGGCATGAACTGCTTGTTTTGTTCAGGGCTCTTCTACTCCATCAAGCAACTTGTCGACCATATCCAGATAGAACATAATGTGTCCCGAAAGAGCAACTGTGATTTCATGAGGCGTGAATACAGACTGTATACTGATGATTCAGGGAATCTGCTTTTCCCTTACTTCGATATCAGGACCACAGCTCCTAAACTTATAATGGGTGAAAAGGAGCTCAATCTTGCATTGGTCACAAGCTCCCTCGATTTGATTTTTGTGAAGATGTTGCCCAACAATCCTCAGGGTGTTAACCAGCAGTACACCCCATGCAAGATGCCTACACCCAAGCCTGACAGTACAGAGTGCCCCTTCTGCTCGGAGAAGCTTCTGAACAAAGAATGCTACCACATGCACCTCAAAGAGAAGCATTTCATTGTGCCCACTCTGCATGCTATACTTAAAACCCCATCCTACAGATGCCTCTACTGTGGTGGTGTGTACACTGGAAAAACCACCACCAAGGCCATCATTGTCCACTTGGCTAAATGCCGCAGTGCACCGAAGAGTGTCAGAGAGAGCGATAAACTGACTTTAGGATTGGCTGTTACTCCTAAAGCAAACCGAGCACATGGTTCATACCCGGCTCATCCAAGACAGATCACAGGTCCAACCCCAACTTCCGCTCAAGCTTCTGTTCCTTCCACTCAGCCACCAGAATCAGAAGCAGAGATGCAGAGTAAGATGCGCCTGGAAATAGCCTTCAGAGAAGCAATGGAGGCGAATAGAAAAGAGCGCGAGGAACGATTGGCAAGAAAGAGAAAACTTGAGCGAGATAGGCTGGCTGGTCTGACCCTCCCCTCACCTGATATAGTAGTCGATCCTTCTGTAAAATTAGCATTGGATCCTGCCGGAATGGAGTTACGTACTTTTGAAGATCGACGAGAGTTTGTCAATAAGTATTTCAACACCCAGCCTTACCCTCTCAAGAAGGAGATTATTGCCCTGAGTGCCCGTTTACTGCTTAACAAAACTGACGTTGCATGCCAGATTAGCTCAAAGCGCACCAGATGCATGAAGAACATACAGAAGATGAAGGCTGTGGTACTTCTAGGCTTCAACATGACAGAGGTCATGAAACTGAAGCATGACCTTCTCATCCCAGAGATTGAACCAGAGAAGGTGGCCACAATGGCAGATACAGATATGGAGGTTGACCAGGAGTAGCTTTACAGCACTAATCAAGACAAAAAAATGACTTGCAATGCAAGTTTTACTAAGAGACTGAATTAGTATGTGTTCCTTGAAACAATGCAAAATATGTTCCATTTTCACCGAAACTAGTGTTAAACTGTTAACCAAGTCGAAGATTTAAGCAGGTAAAAATGCATTGAATTTTGCTGCTGTTTATAATCTTGTGAATACTTAGGTTTTGTTTCATGTTATTCATTTTAAAGTATACATGCATTGTTTTTCCACTGATGTATCACTTCAAGTAGGTCCATTTAAAAATAGCTGTTTGTAGCCCATTTATAGTTGTAGGGTTGAATATGTTTGTGATTTATACTTTTCATATATGCCAAACCTCATAAACTATTTTTGTCATATTTTCTTTATATATTTGTTTGAATTTAAGAGTTTATAAACTTAACTGTTTCCACTTTTCTTTTAGACCTTGTATCCTACTGTTAATTCACTTTATTGTCAAATTTCATTTATATCTTGCTTGCCTTATACTTTTATAAATATGTTATTCCTATTATTGTTTCAAACTGATTTTGTTTCTTTTTTGCCAAAAATGTTTCATATAATATGCTTATATAAGTGACATCTTCTCAGCTGATGCATTTTAAAATATGAAGCTTTGGAGAGGAGTTTGACTTGCAGTTCATTTCAATTGTATAATAATTGTAAGCATCATGATATTACGACTCTTGGTTTTCCATTCAATTTCCCCCTGTTCAGTATTTAGTATGGTAAACAACAACATCTAAACTTACATATTGAGCTGTGTAAATAAATTAGAGCATATATCCGTCCAAGTGTACTTCTTTTAATTGTATGTTTGTGTAGTGATGGTTACTTGTTATTACCTAAAGCATATTATTGGAGGACAAAATGTACAAGTTAACCAATTTATTGTTTATTTAAACTATAAATTACATTACACAAATGAGGAAAATAAAATAATTGTGATCATATTATTCGAAGATGTCCTAAGATGTTTATCAGCTTACATGTTCATGTTCTGTGTGATCAGCTTAAACTTTCTTGACTTCGACTGATGCTGCGGTCACACTGGATTTTCTCTCCATAGACTTCCATTCATATGCACGCGAATGCGCCGGACTAAAAACGTAAGCTCCTGCATCAAGTTTACAGTTCGCTGCATTAAGAAGTTCAAGCTTGGTGAACTCTGACTTGCGAAATCGCATCACTTGACTGCGTGAGATCAATCGAAGATCGCAACATGATCTCTCTGGACAGAAATTGAAAAATATGGACCAATCGCTCGCTTTTTGCATTGCCGTACTACAGAATTTCACAAGCTCAAACTCTAGTGTGACCACAGCTTAATGCTTTAAAACTTGTTATATTAAAGATTAAGTACATATAACGATAAATACTTTTTTGTTACTATCAATAGTTACTAATTGTATCTTTCTATTTAATTAGAAAGTACACAAATAGGGGAAAAATTATATTTTATTTGAAGATGTTTTATGTTTGTTTTTTTTACCTTGTTTTCATATTGTGATTATCCGTTTAAGAGTTTGTTTTGATAAATGCTTAAAAAGACTGGATATATTTGAATAAATACATAGGTAGTTAAAGGTCTTAATAGATATTCAAATATCTTAACGTGTTTATTGTAAACTACCCATTTGTTTAAAGTAAAAATGTTGTGGTCAGATGTAATCTGAAAAAAAAAACCACACTTTAAATCTCGTAAATCTCTGTAATTACCGGATGAGTTTGAATGAAATATTTCCTGCCTGCTGATACATACACAAGGCTTCAAGAACGCTGCTTGGTTTTCTCCAATCCAACAGAGGGCGATGTAGATATCAGTTAGTAGACGTTTGTACACCATACCCGGCGTCGTTGCTGTAGGAAAAACATTATTTCGAAATTGTTAAATACCTTATTAATTCGGAACGAACGCCAAATTTAGCATACGAGACCTATTTTAATTGTAAGGTAAGAACTGATTGTATTTATTTTTCTGCTTTATTACTCTAATATTGTATGGCATTAAAAAGGTTCTAGAATTTTCAATGCTAATTGCTAACATACATTCGGTATTTAAATTGTATTAAGAGTTAACTTTAGTTTATATGGTTTCATTCTGAATATATAAATCTGACAAAACACCCCCTCTGCCTATTTAGAAGTGTGTTTGGCATAAATCCGGCAAAATGTCGTATATGCTCCCTCATCTTCACAATGGCTGGCAAGTAGACCAGGCTATTTTATCCGAAGAGGACCGTGTTATTGTTATAAGATTTGGCCACGACTGGGACCCTACGTGTATGAAAATGGATGAAGTCTTATACAGCATCGCTGAGAAGGTATTGTATGATATTATCTAATATGTAAACGCGAAGACGCACGTGGACACCTTATAATGTTATTTTTTTCACTTAATTGATTTTTGGTAATAATAAGTTTTGTACGGTCAGTCTATCAGTACTTTGGGCCTAATAGCAAGTGTTTCCTCAGGTGAAGAATTTTGCAGTCATTTATCTTGTGGACATCACAGAAGTGCCAGATTTCAATAAGATGTACGAGTTGTATGATCCTTGCACAGTCATGTTCTTTTTCAGGTAAGTTTTCTGGGATACAGCCAATTAAGTCAGCAGTTATGGGTTAAAATTATATTATATAAGTTTATAAATCTTTATCATCTTAATCATATCATTATCATGTCATCAATAATTGTAACAACATTATTATTTCTTAACATAACTTAATTTGAATAAAGTTAAGTTCAGAATTATTAATGTTGTTACACTTGCAGGCCACTTTATTAGTTTCACCTTACTTATACCGGGTTGGACCCTCTTTTGCCTTCTGAATTGCCTTAATCCTTCGCAGCATAGATTCAACAAGTTACTGAAAATATTCCTCTGAGGTTTTGGCACATATTGACATAATAGCATCATGCAGTTGTTGCAGATTTGTTGGCTGCACATCCATGATGCGAATCTCCCGTTCCACCACATACCAAAGGTGCTCTCTTGGTGGTGATGTGGAGAGACCCCCCTTATGATTGTAGAGCGCTTTGGGTATATGACCATACACAATAAATGTGCTATATAAATACACTACCTACTTATTTACTTTATTGGATTTATATCTGGTTACTGTGGAGGCCTTTTGAGTACAGTGAACTTATTGTCATGTTCAAGAAACCAGACTGAGATGATTGGTGCATTACAACAGGTGCATACATATATATATATATATATATATATATATATATATATATATATATATATATATATATATATATACATACATACAATCTACATTATAAAAGTATTATTATTGAAGTGTCTCCGTCTTCTGAAATTCAAAAACTAAAGGACAAGTGCAAGAGTGAAGCGCGAAAAAAAAAAAAAAATAGAAGCCCAACAAATTCAGGATCAAAATTGTTTTAGCAACCTGAATCGTGAACAAACTGGCATGTTTATCTTCGCTTTTTGGACTATTATGAACCGGGAATGACAAAATTACCATCTAACAGAGCTTACATGTGCTGGTGAAGATTACAGACAAAGATGAGAGGTTTGCACTGACTGTGGGCTATATTGCGTGTGTTGATGTGTGTAGTTTTTCCTGCAATTAATAATATACCGTAGACTGTAAGGGTCTGTATGTGTTCATTTGTTGCATTCATTTATTTATTTTATTTAATTACAGATGTTACACTAGCCTATTTTGCACTGTCATTGTTCTGCAGTTATAATTAAATCCTGTTTATAGAAAAGTTCGTAATAAACATTTATAAACAAGTATTTGTGTATAAAGCATCTGTTTTGTGAGAAGTGATTCTCATAATATATGTAAGTGACCCATACAGCTTTACTGTAGACATTTATTCGAGCAAGCATGACATCGACTTAACTCTCGGCCATACACCACGCCCACCAAAAGGGTACCCTTGGTGGTGGAAACGCAAGCCTGATAAAGGTGACCCGTACCAACCCGAACCGTACCGTACTGTACCATTCAGTGGAAACGAGCCATAAGTGATGCATTGAGTGTATGCTTTACTAAACAAATAGGTCTTTAATCTAGTTTTGAATTGGAAGAGTGTGTCTGAGCCTCGGACATTATCAGGAAGGCTATTCCAGAGTTTAGGAGCCATGACCAAAAAGGCTCGACCTCCTTTACTCGACTTTCCTATTCTAGGTACTACCAGAAGCTTCATAGACCTTGTCCATCTACGAAGGACAAGGGAGCTCTTTCATTTCATCCAAAATATCTTAACTTGTTGCAAAATAAATAAAGGTTTGGAATAACATGAGGTTGAGTAAATTGATAAATTGATAGATTTTTTTGGATTTTCTATTCCTTTAATACAACTTGCAGTATATCTGGACCCTTCAGTGTGTATATCTGGACTCTTCAGTGTTCAGACTGATGCACTCTAATAAATTAACTAGCTCTATCACTGTTAATATGTGCAGTCATATTTAGATATGTGAAGGAAAGAAGGCACACACACACCTGAATGCTCATGCCTTTCTTTTTCTCTCTCTCTCTCTCTCTCTCTCTTTAAAGGGTCACAAAACCCCAAAACACATTTTTGAGATATTTTTGACAAACAAATGCCCCCATTGCTAAAAACACTCTTAGAACACACATATTTCATGGCGGGAAATGTCTCCCCCTAGTGGTTAAATGTAATACAAGTTTAGTTTTGTAGTTCACGGGCTAGTTAAAGAAAATTCAGTCATCTTTTACTCAATCTTGTATGAGTGTCTATTTTCTTCTGTTGAACAAAAAATAAGTTTTTTTTTTAATTTAAATTCTGCAAAACTGTAACCTTTGACCTAATGCTTATAAGTTTAACCTCAAAACAACAGATTTTGAGTTCAATGGAAAATAAGGTATGGAACCACTTAAGGAAGAGTAAATGAGTAAATCTTAATTTTTCGTTGAACTAATTCTTAAGGTTTGATTTAACATCAATTCATTGCATTGTCCTTGAGGTTATATTAATTTTATAGTTGATATGTATGACACCTTTTTTCACTTTTGCTTGTCTGTCTCAGGAACAAACACATCATGATTGATCTTGGCACTGGTAACAACAACAAGATTAACTGGACCATGGAAGACAAACAAGAGATGATAGACATTGTTGAGACCGTCTACAGGGGGGCGAGGAAAGGACGCGGTCTTGTGGTGTCCCCTAAAGACTACTCCACCAAATACAGATACTGATCTCTGGATTATTATTATCCCATCACAAAAGATATGTGCATTCGGAAGTGTGGTCATTTGGACAGTTTAATGGTCTTGTTTAGCATTTTCAGCTTTATGTATAAATGTTACTCTGTTGCAATTAAAGAAACCTTTGTTTTTTTTAACATCTAAAATAAAACATTTTTCTTCTGTTTTATTTCTAAGCTGTTTCTGAATATTATGTTTATGCAAATGATACATGAAATAAAACACCTTTACTGTTAAGAAATTAAAAATGAAAGAACAGAATTGTTAATCATTTTCATGCTAAGAAGTTAAAGTAAATAACACATGATGCAGAGGAGTTTGAATGGCTTTCTCAAATTTTGCAATCCAGTCAAAGCTGTATTTTATAACATGTATCATTGCATGATTCTTTGCAGTGACTGGAATTTTTTTTAGTCTTATCACCAAAATAGTTGATTTATTTACTGATTCTTTTAAGAGCTGCTAGTTGCTAGTGTGGGGCTGGTTTGCTGTGAGCATTTCCAAAGTCAGGGTTTCTGCATGTTTCATCAAGTCAAATTTTAGCCTTTTTAAGACCCTTTTGAATTAAATTTTAGACTTATACAGGGCTAAACACTAATGGTTTTTTGTAATAGCCTGTTTGTGCCAAACAAATTAGGGGGAAAAATCTAATTTAGTTATTTCTTAACCATTTATCTTAATGTGTCTGACTTTGGAAATATTCACCTGGAGTAACTTCACAAACCTCCACAGAAACTTCACTCATGACTTCAGCCTCTACTTAAATTTTTGAAAAATAATTGTTACATAAAAGGCACATCCACAAAGGACAATATTGCTAGGAAAAGCACAACAGCTACTATATTCAAAATGGATGCATTTCCAGAAGAAACATCTTCTGGCATGTCAGGAATTACAGCAAATCCAGTATTATTAAACAACTCCTCCGGATATCATGAAAGTATCAGGGAAGTTCTCATCAGAGCTGAAATTCATTCACTGCAACAGTTGTACTGGACACAGCTGTCGAAAAGCAATGACTACACATGTGAAAAGTGGACAGTTTGTTCTTCAGTTGCAATTATATTGGTGGTTTCAAAAAGTTTAAAAACACCACTACATAGGATTTCAGTTCAGCCATTTAAATTTAACCTCTGTAACTGAATAAATAACATTTGTAACTACACCATCAGGTTACACAATCTAAGAATTGCACTGGAGACATCCACAGTATTTAAGCAATGACTTTGCTGAAGCAGCAGCCTCAGCTGAAGTGATGTCTGTTTCCATATCATCTTCTGATCCTGCAATTGCTGTCAAAACCACTTATGTTCAAGAAACTACTTCCCTCAGGCTCAGACCCATGACAAGTCAAGAAATGCCAAGAAAAGAAACCTCTTCTCCAGTAGATGCTTGACCGGTAGTTTAGTTGACAATTGGGCAGCTGGTTAGCAGTGGTGGTAGAAGTTCCATTACTTGCCTAAAAATGTAGTGCAAGTAAACGTATCTGTTGTAAACATTACTCAAAGTATGAGTAAAAAGTAGCCCTTTCCAAAGTGCTCAAGAGTAGTGAATTGTGAATATAAAGGCTAAATCGTTTACTTGTAATTTGTGCATGTGTGTGTAAACGTAACATTCTTTATTGCATTTAGTCAATGCCCAGCAGGCACACAACGTCATAAAACGTTAATATTAGGTTAGATTTAGGTTGTGATGTCAGGTGACCAAAATTCAATATCTAGCCAGCGTCTATAGGGACAACACTATTTTTATGTCCAATAATGACGCCAAAAGACGTTAATATATGGTTGATTTTAGGTTGTTAGAAAGTGGTCAAACTCCAAAGTCGAGCCAACATCTTAAACCACTATCATATTTTCAAATACTGACATTTATTCATCAAGTATGGCAACCAAAATCCAACATCTGATAGACGTCATAGTGGTAACGTCCACACAACGTCAAGCTGTAACATCATTAGACGTTGATATTTGGTTGGTTTTAGGTTGGACATTGGCCTGTCTTTGAGTTCTGACATCAACCCGATTATCATTTCAATCTGACATCAGAGTAAAAGGTCAATCTGATGTCATGTTCTTGTGCCTGCTGGAAATTTAAGGCTATTTCGGTCATCAAACAGTAAACATCTGTCATCTTCTCATCAGTGACATGCATCTAGTCTCTACGTCATTGTGTGTAAAGATTTTGGACATCTTCTTGGACACTTTTAATACTTCCAAACAGTTTTCTGCAATTATAAATCATCCATGTCTTGAAGTAGTTCATTATAATGTAATTTTACCTTCTATGTGTGATTTGATTGGACGGGAATCACAGGACAGATTTTTCTAATCCCCATAGACAAGAAAATATAGCGCAGTGACTGCAGGTTGAAAGAAAGTAGTGGAGTAAAAGTACCAATACAGCACTAAAAATGTACTCAAGGGAAAAGTTAAAGTACACATTATTCAAACTACTTAGTAAATTCAAAATTCTAAAAAATAATACTCAATCACAGTAATTTGACTATTTGTTATGTGTTACTTTACACCACTGCCCATTAGTCCCTTTCCGTTAATACCACATAAACTAACTGACAGTCTGCAAGCAACTTGAGTTGTTGGAGCCACTTCAATTCTTCAAACTAGACAAACAACCGTAAATGATGCCCATGTGAATATTGCTACTTCCCCAGCTGATCCTTACACTAGTCTGGCACAGGTGATACGGTAAACTTTATGTGGGGAGAGATATCTTTTCGCTTTCTTACCAACCACAGCTGAACCAACAGTCTGCAGTCAACTTGTGTTGCTGGAACAACCGTAATTCCTCAAACTCTACAAATACCTGTTATTGATGTAGAAACTGAATGTCAACCTGCAACTGATGTTTGCTTCAGTAGTACCCATCGTAAAAGTAGAAAGAATATTTTAATTCATTTTCCGAATTGATGCCAATACTGGTGCTGGTAATAACTTTGTATGGGGTTTCTCCATTTCATCCATTTCCTACCTAATACCGCAACAACTGACAGTCTAATGAACTCTGATCAATATCATTATCTTCTAGTTACTGCATCTAGAAGTACAGCTGTTGCAGAAATGACTTCTTCAGCACTTCTATTGAGAGAAGAAATTACATTTGGAGCCATTCCAAGCAAACCTTTACATGGTAGAATCAGTTGGCTTTGGATGGGTTTTCTCAGATATTCCATCCGCTCCTCACAAGCCAGTTGTAAAGTGTTGACTAATAAATAAATAGCTGTGATAAATATCACTAAGTCCCTCATACTTGGAGTTTTCCACTAACCTACTTGCGGCGTAAGTCCTTTACACTTGGAGGTCTCCGGGCTGCAGCGAAATATACTTGAACAGTTTTAGACACCTCTACAAATCATTGGATTCAAGTGTCCCAATCATTGCCAATCAAGTGTTCCAATCAAAAAACACATATAACTCTATAACTCTAAACCAGTTCTTACAAAAGGTTTTGATAATTCATAAAACTCATCTCTACTGTAAAAAAAAACAAAAACAAAAAAAAAAACGGCTTTTATTCTACCTAAAATAAAACAAATAAGACTTTCTCCAGGAGAAAAAAATATTATCAGACATACTGTGAAAATATGCTTGCTCTGTTAAACATGATTCATTCATTCATTCATTCATTTTTTTTTGGCTTAGTCCCTTTATTAATCTGGGGTCGTCACAGCGGATTGAACCACCAACTTATCCAGCATATGTTTCACGCAGGGGCGAAGCAGTGGCGCAGTAGGTAGTGCTGTTGCCTCACACCAAGAAGGTCGCTGGTTCGAGCCTTGGCTCAGTTGGCGTTTCTGTGTGGAGTTTGCATGTTCTCCCTACGTTTGCGTGGGTTCACTGTGTTCCCCACAGTGCTCCGGTTTCTCCCACAGTCCAAAGACATGTGGTACAGGTGAACTGGGTAGGCCAAATTGTCCGTAGAGTATGAGTGTGTATGTGTGTGAATGTGTGTGTGGATGGTTTGCGGCTGGAAGGGCATCCGCTGTGTAAAAACTTGCTGGATAAGTTGGCGGTTCATTCCGCTGTGGTGACCCCGGATTATTAAAGAGACTAAGCTGACAAGAAAATGAATGAATGAATGTTTCACGCAGCGGATACCCTTCCAGCTGCAACCCATCTTTGTGAAACATTCATACTCACTCATTCACACTACAGACAATAGTCTGTTTTCATATTTTAGCGAAAACGTAATTTTTTTTCACGGCAAGGCTGACATTTGCACGGAATTGCTCACATAAACAAATTTATTTTTGAGTACAGTGCATAGTGCAAAAGACCTTTATTTTGAAATCCCGGGATTTTGCTGAACTTGAGATGCGTTTGATGGCTGTCTTCACACCCCTGAAAAAACTGTGACAGAGCAGTTCGGTTTCTGTTATTTTAAAGACATTGAAGTTTCTACTCAGTAAGTATGCTGTTGTTAACTTTTGCAAGATGTATTTAATGAATTTCGGAGCACGACTTTGTAGTTATTACTGTATTTTGTTTTTTCAGAAAGAGAAATTTACAGTTCAATTAAATTAAGGGTTTAGCTAGACATTGTCAAAACACGTTTTGTTCGACACATTTTTAGCAGTTAATTTGTTACATTGTGATGATGTGTATTTATAACGCAGCGTTTCTCAGCACTTCTAACTTACACTGATAGTGGGAATGATTTTGTCAGCATTTTACAATGATGGGAGGAGTTTCTTTCCCTCTTTAAAGCAGATAAATCTTTATTGCACGTCAATTTGTGTTTCTTTCTGGTCAGTTCTTCTGTCACTGAGGGATTGTCACTGTGCAGCAATGTCTTACCTACCAAATCTCTTCAAATACGTTGACGAGCACCAAAACGAATATGTTGAGGTAATGACATTTTCTTCTGTATAATATATGTTCTTTAATATAATATAAAATAATGTTATATAATATATGGTTGTATTATATATTAATATGTCTAAAAACAGCTTTAAGTTAAATATAACTCACAAAAGTCAATATATATATATATATATATATATATATATATATATATATATATATATATATATATATATATATATATTGACTTTTGTATTGTGCCACAAATGAATAATGGATATTTTCTAATGTAAATGCAATCATTTTGTTTGTAAGCGCCTGGCACAATGGGTTGCTGTACAGAGTGTGTCTGC